CTTTGGAGGAGTTTAGACCTTAGACTTAGACCTTGGAGCATATATATAAGTATGTGTATAAAAAGCTTTTTGAAAGTGTCAGTGATTTCACAAAGAATCTCTGGATCAAAACGTCTGCTTTACGATCGCATTTTTCGCCATTGCCAAACTACACCTGCTCGTTCGACGCAAACTCTTGACGTCACCCACAACTAACAACAACACCTGCCTCCCGCGCTCACTGATTGGTCGGATGGAATTCAACCGATTGTAATCGCTAACACAGGGACCCAGACCCAGACGTTACATGCAGTGAAATGATGATTGAGCGAAGTGTACGGATGGCCAAGGCCAGGCTACCGCAGAGGTGAATATCTTAATATTCATTCATTCACTTCTAAAGTTCAAGAGAGATGAGTGCTGCACGTGGGTCTAGACACTAGGGAAAAAAGACGTATGCTGTATATAATATAGTTAGAGCCGGGACTTTAACGCGTTAATTAAGATTAATTAATTACACAAAAATTAGCACTTTGAAAAAATGTATGCATTTTAATCGTCATCTCTATTTTTGCCCCGCGGAACATTTCTCACCAGATTGGTTTCAGACGGACCGATTGTACAGGAGCACCACGCAACTTTTATTATATTTACTGAATAGGGTTTTACTAGCTTGGAGCTGAAGAACCCAGGTGCTCGGGGGATTCTCGCGGTACTGCAGACTGAACCAGACTAAATTCATGTGGGCCATCCAGAAATTTTCCACATAGAACTCATTGTAAACTAAAACAGCTCGACCTCAGCTGACAGAGAACCAACAGCTTTCATAAAGGTCAGAATTTGTGGGGATTTTAGTGTCCCTTGTCATCCTGAACTTTTTTTCTTCTTAAATCCTTCGGTTTTCTTTGAATTCAGACTTTAGTGCCACAAACTCTGCCCGTCTGGCTCCTGCTCTGATGAGCAGCTCTGATTGGTCAGAGTGCGGCTGAGCCCCTCTGTGCACGTGCATGAAAGCCACACATGCATTTTTCGCGCAACGCATCATGGGAGTTCATCCACTGCACAGAACCGAGAGGACCAGACGATGCCCAAATACAGGCGAGTTTCCCATGGATCTTTGCGAGTTCACAGGGACTTCGGCTAATCTTTTCGGCTCCCATGTTGACACATAGTACCACTGAGCACAACCATTCATTTGAACACGGCACCATCTTGGATCGCCGAGGCTTGGCTTGTTCTCCGCAAATCTAACCTGTCTCCGAACCTCCCAATGACAGAACTTTTTTTCTTCTTAAATCCTTCGGTTTTCTTTGAATTCAGACTTTAGTGCCACAAACTCTGCCCGTCTGGCTCCTGCTCTGATGAGCAGCTCTGATTGGTCAGAGTGCGGCCGAGCCCCTCTGTGCACGTGCATGAAAGCCACACATGCATTTTTTGCGCAACGCATCATGGGAGTTCATCCACTGCACAGAACCGAGAGGACCAGACGATGCCCAAATACAGGCGAGTTTCCCATGGATCTTTGCGAGTTCACAGGGACTTCGGCTAATCTTTTCGGCTCCCATGTTGACACATAGTACCACTGAGCACAACCATTCATTTGAACACGGCACCATCTTGGATCGCCGAGGCTTGGCTTGTTCTCCGCAAATCTAACCTGTCTCCGAACCTCCCAATGACAGAAGTGACTCAAAGAAACACTGCTGGCTCTGTGCAAAGTGTATAAAGTTTGTGTTTGGGGCGGTACTACACTCGCACGCTGCTGCGAAGAGCTGTGGAAGAGATTAACAATGCATTAGAGTTAGACAAAAAAAAGTATGCAATGGGCATATTTATTGATTTAAAGAAAGCTTTTGACACAATTAATCATTCACTATTGTTAAAAAAACTGGAAACATACGGAATTAGGGGAGTTGCTCTTAACTGGATGCAAAGCTATTTGTTGGAGAGAACGCAATTTGTAAAAATGGGCGAGCAAACATCGAGCTGTTTGGAAATTTCTTGTGGAGTGCCTCAAGGTTCAATTTTGGGTCCAAAATTATTTAACTTGTATATAAATGATATATTTAGGAATTCAAAATTTTTGAAAATGATTCTTTTTGCAGATGATACAAACATGTTTTATTCACATGAGAACTATGGCGAACTAATTCGGACTATTAATGAAGAGCTAGAAAAAGTGAAACATTGGATGGATAAGAACAAACTCTCTTTAAATCTAAAAAAAACTAAAGCCATATTATTTGGAAATCGTAAAGTAGATAAACAAAGACCTGAAATACGGCTAAACATTGATGGAGTACACATTGAAACAGTATCTGAATATACATTTTTAGGGGTGACAATAGACGACAAGCTGTCATGGAAACCACACATAAGACTAACACAGTCAAAAGTAGCAAAAAGTGTTGCAGTTATTAACAAAGTAAAACATGTTCTGGATTTTGATGCTCTCCGCTTACTGTACCACTCACTAATACTACCTTTCTTAACGTATTGTATAGAAATATGGGGCAATAACTATAAAAGTTCTTTGTATTCCCTCTTTATATTACAGAAGCGTGCGGTAAGAACTATACACAAAGTCGGATATTTTGACCACACAAACTTTCTATTTTTAAAATCTGGAATTCTGAAACTCCCTGATTTGGTGACACTACATACAGCTCTTCTGTTATATAAAGCAAATAATAATATGTTACCAGGCAATATACAGAAACTTTTTTGTGAGAATGAAGGAAAGTATAATCTAAGGAGAGGTGGTAAATTCAAAGTCCCGCTGGTGGGATCTACGAGGAAAAGTTGGTGCGTGTCAGTGTGCGGAGTCAAACTCTGGAACAGCCTGGAAAATCATGTAAAAGAATGCAGAACTATGTACATGTTTAAAAAGAAATACAAAGAATGTTTGATATCTAAGTATGAAAATGAGGAGGTGTAAAAGGTGTATAGTGAGAGGATCCAAAAGAAAAAGTAACTTATTTGATCATTCATTAGGAAATCTAACACTATATATGAAGGTGCTATCTTCATTTGTGTGTATTTGGGTGTATTTGTAGTATGTGTATTTGTAATATGTATTTATAGAACATATGTGTATACATGCCTCATGTACTGTGTATATGCACTGTGTATATATAGGTATGTATGTAATGTTTAGGTATGTCTGCGAGCATATGGTATATGTGAGTATATATATCTATATAGGAATATGTATATTGTATCTTAAATGTCTTTTTTCTGAAAATAACTATGAAATGGTGTTGTGAAGGTTCACTGAAGGAGCTGGTGGCATAGTGGTGTGCGATGACGGCATGGTGACGGAGGTGTGGTGGCTCTTGCTGGTCCAGGATGCGGAGGGGCACTGGTGTGGTGACGGCCTGGTGATGTGGTAGGGCTTACATGCAGGTGTCACTGTCTTCTCCCACTACACACTGCCACGAATGGATATGATTTGTATATGTTAGTAGTTTGAATATAAACACTAATGCTATCAATTTGACCAAGTGAAAATACTCCATTGTCTGGTAAAAGGGAAAAATGAAATAATAGTAATAATGATTATAATAATTAAAATAATGATAATAATAATAATAATAATAATAATAACAAAAAGAGGAATATAAATAAATAAATAAACAAATGAAGTCGGCTGAACGTGGCCTGAGACCGGTGGGATAGGGTGTGTGCAGTTCTGGCTCGATGCCTTAGTGCGTTGCTGGTTGTTGCTGCTCTGGTGCCTGCTGTGACGGGATTGGCTGGGGTCACTGTGCTGCTTGTTGCCGTGTTGTTATGCATGACTTTGCTACTGGCTCCGGACACACAGGGGTAAGTGTGATGTGCACAGGGGTGGGAACTTATAAGATTTTTTTCTTCCTCCCACTCCTTTTCGAGTTTGAATGATGTCAATATTGTATCTGTAAATGGTTGATTTGATGTACATGAACTCGAAATAAATAAACACTCAACTCAACTCAACTCAACTCAAGCCGTGGATGGAAAGTATATTTCTAAATATGGTATTGCTACCTAAAGCTGGACTTGAATAAAAATAAACAATATTTTTGTTGCTTAAGCTTATGTATTTCAGTCATTATTCAATGGTAAAAAATTACTTCTCACTGTTCTCAGGTCAAATATTTAAATGCGATTAAAATGTGATTAATTGTGATTAATGCATTACAAAGCCTCTAATTAATTAGATTAATTTTTTTATCGAGTCCCAGCCCTAAATATAGCGTATGTTTATTTTTAAATAAGTGCATGTCACAGGCCTTTTTGAGGCTTCCAGTCTTCTTTGCCGACTTCCATGCTGACCTGTCGTAAAAACGGTGCGTGAAACAGGTGGTTTCTGAATATCTATAGCCGTGACTTTAATAAATACGTTATTTTTGAGCGTGGCATTTATTATCAGCAGCAGTTGCGTGCGCTCGGATCTGGGCGCATCTTACACGTTCATAAGTCCTGCTTCGGATTTTGCGTATTTGGAATACACACTAAAAATATACACCCTTTTCTGCGCAAGTTTCATAAATGAGGGCCATTGTCTTTATGAATCCAGATATGAATTTAGAGATTTCATGACAAGCAACTGTGGTTAAATTTCTAATTCATCAATCAACAATATGCCCAAGCCAGTACTTTTCCACTGCATGTTTTGGTTACCTCAAGGTTGAAGCTACAGGCACTGTGGCAAATGCTGATTGGAGGACTTCATTCCTCCATGCTGTATATTATCACTTGCATTCTGTAAAATCTCTGTTCGTGCTGTCTCTACCAATTCTTCTGTCTGAATTAAAGACACAGTCTCAGACTTTGTCATCTTCTTCATGAGCCATATAAGGCTTGACCAATCATATTTCTTCATTCAGGGAAAACTCCAGATTGCGTTAGCAACTATCAGGGCAACACTTCTGTCCCTGTTACAGCATGAAGCTAACAATTGGAACAAAAAAGAAAATTGGTGGAGAATCTGAGCAGTGTCTGCAGAGCCTCTGTTTTCTGAATGGTGTCTGCCAGGCCTGTTACTGTGAGAGGAGCTCTGAGACAAACTCTGGGTGGACCGTGTAGTGCCCGCTGTGGAACGCTTTGACCCGATGAAAACAGCTGCAGCGTCTGGAACAAGAGAAATATGGAGTATGAGACAATAAGTTTAGGAAGTGGATGGGAAGCTCCTATACTGTGGAGTCAACTCCCCATCCACGTCTCGCCATTCAAGGCTTTCAACAACCCTCTTGCTTAAGTACCATAGGTAAGACACAATTATGTTAAGTCCTCTGAGACAACTGCTGTTGTGATTTAGGGCAATACACAAATACATTTATTTGAATTATGGAGTATGAAATGACTACATGAGTTAAAAAGGACATACCCATAGTCTAGAGCCCCAGAGGAGAGCGCCCTCTGTCTGCGGTGGCCGTGAACAGTGTTTTGTCCCCACACACTGAAACAGGAGAAGCCTTATTAGTGTGGAGTGGACAGGGGGCGGAGACCCAGCCAGTGTAAATCTAGTGATTATTAAATGTTACAGAATTGTAATATATTTGAAATGTTTTCTCACCTCGCATCTCTCCCTGCATTAGCGTCAGCAGTACTCCTCTTAAACACAGGGGGGAGCTGTGTCACTGTTCCCATGTTGAGCTGAGTGCCCTTCTCCTCTGTGGGTCTGGTCCTGATCAGAGGAAGAGCAGTACCACTGTCAGACTGTAGAGGATGCACTCCAGTACCGCTGTCAGACTGCAGGGGGCGCACTGCGGTACCACTGTCAGACTGCAGGGGACGTACTGCATTACCACTGTCAGATTGTAGGGGGCGCAGTGAAGAGGGCTTCAGACTACGAGGAAACAAGAAGTCCTGTGACAGAAAACGAAAAACACTAACCGTGATTTGAACAAATATTTCTCAAAAAAAGAAAAAAACCGTGTGAACATTAGTGAGACACACACGCACGCATGCATACATGCACACACACACACACTCACACGTTTGGGTTGAGGGTTGTTCCGTCGATGAGCTGAAGTCGGTCGAGCTTCAGTTCTGAAAACTCGACCTGGAGATGAGAACTGTTCCTGGTACACAGTCTTGGACCAGGCCCGGATCTGGGACCGGGTATGAGTCATGGTCTGAGCCTGTGTCTGCTACCTGTGTGTGTGTGTGTGTGGCTGACAGACCTGCGTTATCAGCTGACTCCTCCCCTCTGTGGGGGGGGGTCTCTGCGGGGGGTGGTCTGCTGTGCTCATTCTCTTCTCTGCTGTTTACTTTGTGGGAGAAAACATCAGTGAAGCAGAACTGTCACCTGAGACACACACAGAGAAGCACAGCCCCTGACATACGCACGAGCACCAGTGGGTGACACACATTACATTGCTCTGTGTGTGACCTGTGTGTCCATATTTCATGAATGAAACACAAACTCGTCTGGTTGTGTTTATCAAAGCTGTTTTTTGTCAAATAAACAAGTTTTTTTCTGTACATTCAGAGCATGTGTGCTCTCTCGTCTGGCTCTCTGGTCTGGCTCATGGGCTCTCCACTGTGGTCTCTCTTCTAGTCTCTCCTCTCTTCTGGTCTCGCTTTCTGGTCTCGCTCTCTGTTCTCTCTGGTGTATGGTTCAGAACAGAAGATAAAACCATGATTTTTAGAGTTGTTTATTAATGTATAAAACCTTTACTGATGATTTTAGAAAGAGTTTAGAAAAGTTGACATCAGAGTTATGATGTCACAGAGTTCTACCCTTCACCGCAGCTTTGAGGCCAGAGTACAGAGGGTCCAGGGTCTGTGGAGAGAGAAGGTAGTGTATGAGTAGTAGTGATAGTAGTAGTAGTAGTACTAGTAGTAATACTGACCTGAACGCCAATATACACCAGTCCCAAATAAACAGCGACACAGCCTCCAACAAACAGATCAAAGGCAGCAGGTTTCACTCTGAGGAACAAAGACACTTGTGTGTAGTAATAATAATAATGCATTGGTTTTATATAATGCTTTTCAGGACACTCAAAGACGCTTCACATGTCAATGTTCTTTCACTCCATACATGGTGGTGATAAACTACTTCTGTAGCCACAGCTGCCCTGGGGCAGACTGACAGAAGCGAGGCAACCAGTATGTGCCATCGGCCCCTCCGACTACCACCAACCATTCACAGTCACACCAGACTCAGACTCATTCTAGGCAATGTGGGTGAAGTGTCTTGACCAAGCACACACAACAGTTTGGCACTTTACAGCCGCCCCACTGTGGCACCTGGTGTTATATACTGTATAATAATAAATCAACTCAACTATGCCGACAGACGTAAGCAAGATTTGTGGCTCTCTCAGACATGTCACTCCTTTTAGACGCAGGGGTGTCCAAACCGGTCCAGAAAGGGCTGCTGTGGCTGCAAGTTTTCTATCAGACCCAACAGGAGCAGAGTAGACTCCACCCATTTCCTCAAGAGAGTTCAGTCTTAACCTGAAGATTTGAGGAAATGGGTGGAGTCTACTCTGCTCCTGTTGGGTCTGATAGAAAACCTGCAGCCACAGCAGCCCTTTCTGGACTGGTTTGGACACCCCTGTCAGGCTCCTCTGTCTTCCATTCGTTACCTGTATTAATGACACCTGTTTGAACTCGTTATGAGTATGAAAGATACCTGTCCACAGCCTCAAACAGTCAGACTCAAAACTCTACTATGGCCAAGACCAAAGAGCTGTCAAAGGACACCAGAAACAAAATTGTAGACCTACACCAGGCTGGGAAGGCTGGCCACAGATGTTAAAACTCGAAAGCTCCTCACTATCCATGGCGGGTTCTATCCCAAATCCAGCACCCTGAGACTGTACGTAAGCCTTAAAGAAGGAGGCCGAGGGCTAGTGAGTGTGAGAGCCATTGTCCAGGACAAAACATCCAAACTCCAAACCTACATCATAAAGAAGACCCTCAACTGTCTGAATTTTTCAGACAGTGGCAAGATGAGGAGGTGCTGGAGGAGAGCCCATCATGGGAGGACAAGCCCCTACACGGCATGTACCACCGGAGCATAACAGAAGTGGCTGATCTCAAGAAGTCCTACCAATGGCTAGAAAGGGCTGGCCTACAGGACAGCACAGAGGCACTCATCATGGCTGCACAGGAGCAGGCCCTGAGCACCAGAGCAATAGAGGCCCAGATATACCACACCAGACAAGACCCAAGGTGTCAGTTGTGTAAAGGAGGACCTGAGACAATTCAACACATAACTGCAGCATTGAAGCATAGTTATTTCCAATGTGGGTGGTTGTCATATAAAAGGATCTTTTCATTTTAGTCTTAATCTACACTGTAAAAAAACATCTAACTGACTTGAATGAAAGCATAGACAGAAGAGAAGACTTTATTAGGCCATTGAAGTCATTTCTTCTACCGGTATGTTAAATAAACTATACACTGTAAAAAGCAATAACAAAAGCAGAGATTGAGAATCTTTTTTTACACAGTCCAAATACGTTCTTTTTGGAGGGGATTGGATTATCATAAACTTTTTGCTTCATCCAATTCCTTTTGATTCAGATTCATTCATTTATTTGCCATTTGCAGTAAAACCACATTGGAAAACTGTGCAAGACTACCCCGGTGTGCACCAGACAGAGAAGACGACACACACCAGAGCTCTTGCCACGGGGCCATCTTTACGGCGCCATGCGACAAACAGTAGAATAAACAGCAGAGAGCAATAACATACAGTTTCACAGACAGTTGGATAGACACATTTGTGCTTTGTATAAAGCACGGATTTTTTCTCGGGATGAAGCACCTCCTACAGCCGGCCCAATGTGGCTGTCAGAGGGCGGCAGGGTCAGGGAGGGGGTGAGTCGGAAACACAGTGAGGAGTGGAGGGGAGGGAGGGAGCAAGATGGATAGAGGGAGGCGGGGGTAGGGGATCCAAGCTGGAGACTGAAATAGTGTGAGTTGTTGTAGATGGGACCTTTGTTATTATGGCCTTGGCCCGAGGAATGTGAGATAAGAGTGGAGAGAAGGCACAGGAGGAGAAAAACACATCGCCTCAGGGGGACAATATTAAATGCAATGTCAGGCAGATATTTTATTAAATCCAATTAAACCGAATTGCGGCGCCCTCAGACCTCCGTACACAGGGGCAAATCCAAGCCGGGTCAGAGAGTTCAAGCCTGACACACAATGTCATTCAATCTCAACTCCAGAGTTTGGATGTGACATTTAGAGCAAGGACAATTTTTTTGAATCATTGTGAGTTAACCATGACATTAATGTGATTAATTGTAAACTATTTAAATCATTTTATAGCACTACATTAAATACATAAACCCATTACCTGTACACAATGATGTTCTGCTTCATTTGATCAAAGAAGGAGATCTCAGGTTCTCTGAGGAGCACAGGTACAAGTGAAGGAGAATGCTAATACTGCTGCTGCTGCTACTGCTGCTGCTACTACTGCTACGGAGGCTACAGGGGCTGCTGTTGCTACTGCTCCCATAGCTACAACTGCTGCTGCTGCTGCTGCTGCTGCTGCTGCTGCTGCTTTCTACTACAACTGCTACTACCTCCCCATCCCTCACCTCCAGTCCATCTTGAACTCAAACCTCTTCACCTCCTTCAGTCGGACTCTGAACTCCTGCTCCACTGAGTCCAGGACCATGGCCTGGTCTGGATCCTGGTCCCAGAACTGAGCCGGTCTGGGCACTGAAGTGAGAAGGGTGAGTATAGAGGAGACCCGGGAGTCCGACCAGTCCTGAAACCAGAGACTGTGTGAGATACAAGACCAGAGATGGAATGAGACCAGAGACAAAAGACTGTGAGACTAGAGACCAGAGAGTTCTCTCCAATGGATCTCTCTGTGGAGAAAACTCACATGTGTCCTCCATCTGGTCCATCTTCTCCAAAGCTTATAACCAGAGGTGAGAGTGAGAACATAGAGCTCTGACTGCAGATGCTGCTCCCTCTTCACAACAGTCTGATACGGCGACAGCATCACTGCAGACGCCACACAGACCGGCTGTCAATCTCGTAATCTAAGACCTCTGTACCTGAAGAGGACCAGGACCTGTTCTCTCTCTGATCCAGAACCTGGTTTCTCTGGACCTGGTCCTGATCCTGGTCTCTGTGCATCATTTTAAAACCAGAGGAGATAGATCCTTCCAGGCAGTTGCTCTTCACCTTTGGAATAAGCTTCCCCAATCTCTGTGCATCTTTTGAGACTGTTGTTGATTTCAAGTCCCAACTTCAGACTTACTTGTTTAGACAGGCTTTTTTCTCTACACTGTACATAGGCCTCTGTGAACTGTGTCCATGATGAGGACTGTCTTCTGTGTATGTGTTTTAAATCTGACTTGTTTATGTAATATTTTATCTGTATTTTTTAAAGTGAAGCCCTTTGTGATCCTGGCCTGTGAAAAGCGCTATACAAATAAACTTTACTTACTTACTTACTTACTCTGGACCTATGGACCGGTTGTCATGGTAATTGAGTGTTACTAACCAGCTGTCCTCTGAAGAGTTGCACCTCTTTAGGAGAACCCTGTGAACAGAGACTCACATCAACAAGGACAAGTCCAGTGTCAGTGTTGGTTCTGCTGGACCTCAGAGCTGCATTTGACACAATAGACCAAAAAATTTTACTGCAGAGGTGAGAATGTGACATAGATCTCAGTGGAACAGCACTTGGCTGGTTTAAATCCTATTTTTCAGATTGGTATCCGTTTGTTAATGTGAACCATAACTTCTCAACCCTTTTCAAAGAAAAGTTTTGTTTGCCACAAAGATCGGTACTCCCGATTGTATCCACACTGTACTTGTGGCAACATCATCATAAAGCATATTACTTCCACTGCTATAATGACGCACAGATTTACCTGTCTGTGAAACCAAACCAGACAGATCATTTAGAACTAGTGCTTGTGAAGAAGATGACAAAGTCTGGGATCGCGTCTTAAATTCAGACAGAAGACATGTTTTATTGTCAATGGTAGAGACAGCACAAACAACACGGACAGAGAATGCAAGTGTATTATACAGAGCGGAGGCATGGAGACCTCCAATCAGCAGCTTCCACGGTGTGCTTGTAGCTTGGCCTTCAGATAGACAAAACAAGGGAAAAGTACTGGCTTCTGCACATTGATAGAATGATGAGTTTTTAACCTTAACAAAAGTTGCTTCAAAGTGTTATGAAATCTCACACTTGCATGAAGCACCTAAAAGCTCCTCAACCCAGAAAAAACAGTAAGTTATCTTAGTTGGCCTAAAACATCTGCGCGACTCCCTCGCTAATCAGATAATCACTCCATAATGTTAGTGTAGCCCAGCAACGCTTCAAGGGCCCCGAGAAACACTTTAAGGGCCCTTAGCAACACTTTAAGGTCCCTAGCAACACTGTAAGGGCCCCTGGCAAACCTTTTTTGCTAAACTTAAGAACAGTCTGATCATTTCCATTCATCATCACTGTGAGGGGAAACAGTCAGAGACAGAAGTTACCACAACATGAGCTAAAATCAGGACTATCCTTCATAAAAGTGACACAGTAAAACAAACCCATGCATTTGTCTTGATTACTGTAACGCACTCTGCTGACAGCGTTCCCTATACCCTCTATAGCTTATAGCTCATTCAAAATTCATCAGCAAGGCACTTAACAAGCACCATGACTCCAGTCTGAAAAGTATTCCACTGGATTCCTGTGGAGTATCACATTTAAAATCCTTCTTTTAACATAAAAGGCCATAAAATGCACTAAAAGAAGGGTCAGTCCTGGATCTACAGTCTCAGTCCTGGGTCCACAGTCCATCTGTTTCGTACCAGGTGGGACAGGTTGAACATGAGTCGTCCCAGAGCCTCAGCGATGATAAGTCCATTCGTCCTGAGGCTGCGCAGGTCGACAGACGACCTAAACACCAGAGGACCATGAAGATACCGCACAGGGGCACACTCCCTCTCCCCCCCACAAGTTAGACTCACATGGTATCCAGGACACTCCCTCTCCCCTCTCTCTCCCCCCTCTCCCCTCCTCTCAGGTGGGACAGGCTGAGGGCTGAGATCCTCCTCACACTGAAGCGCTCGTGCTCCCAGGACACTGACGACTCTCCAAGGTTTATCTTCTTATGGAGCGACGAGAAAGACCAGGAGGGGAACCTGGACTGGACCACCTGAGAAGATCAGAACCAGGTGTAAAACAGACTCAGTCCTGTGTCTACAGCCTCAGTCCAGACTTGGATGAACATTAGAGAATATTAAACTCATACCTCGTCCAGGACTTGTGTGAACTTCCATAGCGGAGACTCTGGTCTGGGTGGTCGAGACACGTGGGCAAACATCTGCTGGCCGGCTCCAAGGGTGTCCAAGCAGAGGACCAGGGCCACGTCTTGCAGCAGGCTGGACTCTGTGGAGGGTTAGAGGAAGATTTGAGACCAGAGATCAGACAGAGGATAAGACCCGTTACCAGACAGAGGGTAAGACCTGAGACCAGACTGAGGGTAAGAACAGAGACCGGTCTGAGGGTAAGACTGAACTGGACTGACCTGCGTGGTCCAGGTTCTCCTCAATCCAGCGTTTGGTTCCTATGAAGTTGAACTTTCCTCCTCCAGTCAGAGCAAAGAGCAGATTAAACCTGAAACAGAGACTGAGGTACTGAGACCCAGACCATTGTCGTTGTAGTAGTAGAAGTAGTAGTAGTAGTGGTAGTAATAATAGTAGTAAGAGTAGCAGAAGCGGCAGCAGCAGTAGCAGCACTAGCAGTATTTGCAGTAGCAGTAGTTGAAGTAACAGCAGTAGTTGTATTAGTAGTTGTAGTAACAGCAGTAGCAGTAGCAGTAGTAGTACTCCTCACTGGGGCCTGTTCCTCTGGTCGTTGTACAGTTTCCTGAAGAGTCTCATCAGCTCCAGAAGCAGCGTGACTCCACTAGCGTTTGAGTCAGCACCATACGACAACCACTAAAATACACACACGTACACACACGCACACACACACACATTACACAAAGATTTAATTTGTGATTTTTTTTGAAGAAAGACCACAAAGTAAAGACATCAGCCATCAGACAGGTCAGAGGTCAGGGGTTAGTAATACAAACAGTGAACACTTCCAAGAGCTCGGTTCAGTCCATTATTCACAATTGAGTCTGGACCACTGCAAATTTACCAACACATGGCTGCCCACATACACACGAACCAGAACAAGGAGAGCGTTAGGGTTCGCCATGTGGTCCATGTTGTGGTCAGAGGAAAGAACTTATTGCGCGGTTCGAGCGGAGCCTGCAGGGACTCACCGGAGCCAGACCAAATGAGTCGTAATGTGCGGTGATGACAATGGTGGGTGGGTCCTCGCCGGCGCCATGGAGACAGCCCTATAAACAACAACAACAGTAGCAGTTCCAGTAGAGGCAGTAATAGCAGTAGCAGTAGTAGTAGTAGTAGTAGTAGAAGCAGTAGTACTCGATATAGCCGCAGCAGAAGCAGTAGTAGTAGCAATAGCAGCAGTAGCAGCCAGCAGCAGCAGTGGTCCCTTACCTCCAGACTGTACACAGTGGTCTCCTTCGTTGGTCTAATGGGGCCGTTGTTGCTGACGATGACTTGAAAGGACGTGGAGGTCACGAGGCTCCTGAAGACTGAGAGGAGACATGAGACCAGAGGCCCTGCAGACGCCGCTCAGACCACATCACAGTTTGGACTGACCTTGGTGAAGGAGGGAGGAGCTTTTGGAGGCCTGGTTCTCCTGCAGTTCCTCCCTCATCAGAAGGAGGTGATCATCTTCAGGAGCCACGTAGACTGGAGTCTGCACCTCCTTCTGGAGCAGCTGCACCTCTGCCTCCATGAAGCTCTGAGGAGGTGAAACAGCGCGTCTGTCAGCTTCAGTCAGCTCTAAACAGTCTTTTTTTGTCAGCTCTCACCTGTCGCGCCTCCTCACTCATGCTGCTCATATTTTTTGGCAGTAGAATCAAAATGGCCGCTGCGTTATTGGTCTGTGCCTCCTTCACTAGGCTCCAGGTGACCTCCTCTGCCCCCATCAGTACGCACCTCCTGCTGAAAGAAGAGTCGAGGGCCGAGACCACTGCTGCGGAGGAGACAAGGGCGGACCTACATCCTGAGGAGGAGGAAGAGAGCCATTTGAGGAACAGTCTTCTCCACATGAGGGGGACAGAAATTAGAAGTAGTGAAGAAGATGACATAGTCTGGGATTGTGTCTTAAATTCAGACATAAGACATGTTTTATTGTCGATGGTAGAGACAGCACGAACAACACGAACAACAGAATGCAAGTGTATAATACAGAGCGGAGGCATGGAGACCTCCAATCAGCAGCTGCCACGGTGCCATGTAGCTTGGCCTTCAGATTGACAAAACAAGGGAAAAGTACTGGCTTCTGCACATTGATAGAATGATGAGTTTAACTTTAACAAAAGTTGCTTAAAAGTGTTATGAAATCCCACAGTAGTTTCTAGATGTAGCAGTAGTAGTAGATGTAGCACTACCAGTAGCAGTAGTAGTGGCAGTAGTGCAAGTAGGAGTAGTAGTAGCAGTATAAGAACTAGCAGTAGTAGTAGCAGAAGTAGCAGCTGCACTAGTAGTGGTCAGTTAATACGCAGTAACAACTTGTTTTATCACAACTATGCAGACGACACTCAGATCTATGTCTCACTGACTGCAGGAGAACATGGACCAGTGGATTCACTCCTTCACTGTATCCAACAGATCCACTGATCTGTGGATGCATAACAACTTTCTCCAGCGAAACACAGACAAAACTGAAATGATTGTCTTTGGTCCCCAGAAACAAAGAGATAGAGTCATCTGTCATCTACAGTCCCTCTCTCCAAAAACCGTTTAAATCAGGTCAGAAATCTAGGGGTAATACTAGACTCAGACTTAAATTTCAATAGACACATCAAAACAGTAACATCAGCAGCTTTTTACCACCTAACAAACATTGCCAGGATCAAAAACATAGTGTCTAAAGCAGACTTGGAGATTCTTATCCATGCATTTGTCTCCAGTAGGTTAGACTACCGCAGTGGGCGTGGTACGATGCTTTTTTTTTTTGCCGTACTTGAATAAAGTGTTGACAGTGACGCTCTGATTGTCTGACTTACAGGCCCCGTCCCAATACTCGCACTTCCACCCTTGCGCCCCTCATTTGCGCGTTCCCGATAAAGGGTGCGAGGTCTTTGGCCCCGCCCCCTTTGCGCCCCTGATCCACACTTCGCCGTAGCCTGCATCTATGCGCACTCTGGCGAAGGATATTGCTCATAATTCTTTGCGGTACACACCAAAACGTCGGGAAAATGCATTTAAATATACATTTTGAAATATATATGTTGTATGTGTGTAAATAAGTTTTGCTATGTTAACTGGAAAGAAGCATAAACGTCTGAAGAAGAATTACGGACATTGTGTTTTAACAATTTAATAACTTTTTAAAACAAGCGTTTATATAACATTCAATTTAAACTTTACACTTAGTACAATAATCTTAGAATGTATAAAAACTGACCAGATAAGTTAGTTACCCACATTTAACTTAAAATTATACAGCTATCTCTAATTAAAAACAACTAATATACATGTATTTTAACGTGTGTGAAGCAATTCATTTTGTTTCCCAAAGGGTCAGACAAGATTACCTTTAATGTTTATAAAGTTTAGGTCTGAAAATGACCATCTCTTGACGAGTCGGCGACGTAACCTGCACTCAGTGAGCACTGTCCCAATTCCGCCTTTTTTGCACACTTGCAACCTGCGCACTCCAACCCTGGTGTGCACTTCGAACATGTGCCGTGCACACTTCGTAGAGGTGTGTAGGGTGCAGTGTGGGTATTGGGATTGGGCCACAGTCTATATGGAAGCATTAGGATAGAGCAGTCCTTCTACAGTGGGCGCGCCCCCCCCTCACTATTTGGGGGGAGCGCGGGAAACCGCGGGAAACTTATTGTTTTATCCTGTACGTGCAACGGGATTCCACATGCTCCGGAGCCGCAGTGGTCTGATTCCCGGAGCGTGGCCGCTTTGTAGTGAAAGACAGCGGATCTGTGAAGCTGCTTAGATAACAGCGGCGCGGCACTGGACTCCTGTTAGTGCCCAGAGTCAGGACTAAACATGGGGAGGCAGCATTTCAGATTCATGCTAAAATCTGGGACAATCTTCCTGAAAATGTGAGACAGGCCTCTTCTCTGACAATGTTTAAAACCAGGTTAAAAACAGTTCTGTTTAATAATGCATCAGTTTTATAAAGCGCTTTTTTGGACACTCAAAGACGCTTTACATGTCATTATTCATTCACTCCATACACGGTGGTGATAAACTACTACTGTAGCTGCCCTGGGGCACACTGACAGAAGCGAGGCAACCAGTATGTGCATACAACTGAGGGATTATATATTTTTTGTATCTTTCTTTTTAATGTACTGTGATTATTTATGATTTTAATGCCATCTTAATTTGTTCAGTTGCCTTGTGTATAAATTGTGCTATACAAATAAACTTGCCTTGGCTTGCCTAGTGGTAGCAGTGGTTCCACCTCCAAGGCAAGGCAAGTTTATTTTTATAGCACAATTCATACACAAGGCAATTCAAAGTGCTGAACAAAACAAGAAAGCATTAAAATCATAAATTATCACAGAACATTAAAAAGAAAGATAAAAATATAAAATCCCTCAGTTGTATGCACAGCTAAACAGAACTGTCTTTAACCTGGTTTTAAACATTGTCAGAGAGGAGGCCTGTCTCACATCTTCAGGAAGATTGTTCCAGATTTTGTTCCAGGCCTTTCAGTGGGAAGTTTGAATGTTCTCCCCATGTCTACGTAAGCTTTTCCCAGGGGTGCTGCGGTTTCCACTACCACTAAAAACATGTACAATAGGTCTGGCATGCGCCTCCAGTACGGCGACCCCGCTCTCATGTGTGGAGTGAGAGAGAAATGCCCACAACAATTATACAGCTATATATATCACTCAGTAGCAGATGTAGTGGTAGTATTAGTAGTAGTAGTAATACTTCTTACCGTACTTGTACTTCCCCAGGTCGTACTGCTGCATCCTGAAGGCTGTAAACTCATATGAGGAAACGGAGCCTTTGAGCAACACACCCATCAGCAAAATAACCACCGCCCTCATGTCACCTGTCAATCAGACTCAAGACTCATGTATACTGTACAGACTCATGTATACTGTACAGACTCATGTATACTGTACACAGAGCGCCCACTGGTGGAGCTGAACTGCAGACATGCTAAAGTCCCTCTATGCTACATAAATATACAGTGAACAGGTCCTTACCTCAGCGTCTGTATCCTTACTTTGTGTCTCTCCTTTGTGTGTCCCCCTTTCCTGTGTGTCTCTCTTTTGTGTGTCTGTCTCCTGTCTGCTCTGGATTACCCTTTAATCCCATTAGACTCCAACACTGCACTTTACACAGTAATCCACAATAATCCACGCACACATTTTTGAATAAACTTTAGTGACAATAAATTAAAACAACAAAAAACAAATATATTAGTGTAAACAAGAAAAACAAAAGAAGCGAGAGTGCAGACCAAAGACAGTAATGCGGTCTCTCTCACTCTGGTCTCTCTCTCTCACACTCTGGTCTCTCTCTCTCACACTCTGGTCTCTCTCTCTCACACTCTGGTCTCTCTCTCTCACACTCTGGTCTCTCTCTCTCACACTCTGGTCTCTCTCTCTCACACTCTGGTCTCTCTCACTCTCACTCTGGTCTCTCTCTCTCACACTCTGGTCTCTCTCTCTCACACTCTGGTCTCTCTCTCTCACACTCTGGTCTCTCTCTCTCACACTCTGGTCTCTCTCACTCTCACTCTGGTCTCTCTCACTCTCACTCTGGTCTCTCTCTCTCACTCACTCTGGTCTCTCTCTCTCTCTCACTCTCTGGTCTCTCTCACTCTGGTCTCTCTCTCTCTCTCACTCTGGTCTCTCTCTCTCTCTCACTCTGGTCTCTCTCTCTCTCTCACTCTGGTCTCTCTCTCTCTCTCACTCTGGTCTCTCTCTCTCTCTCTCTCACTCTGGTCTCTCTCTCTCTCTCACTCTGGTCTCTCTCTTGAAAGCAGAAAAACAACAGTTTCTCTCTCTGGTCTCTCTCACCCTCTCTGGTCTCTCTCACCCTCTCTGGTCTCTCTCACCCTCTCTGGTCTCTGTCTTGAAAGCAGAAAAACAACAGTAAATGTAAACACATCTCATGTTCCGGTGTTTTGGCGCCACCTTCTGGTGATCGGGAATTACACAACTCACTGACACACAGAGCGTCTAATGTGTGGAGCTGAGGACAGGGAATTTTGGCTCTGATGAACGAGGACAGGAGGTGTGGAATTCTGGTCAGCTCTAGTGCAGTTGGTGACATGTTCTGTCCAGCTCAGTAACACGTGAGCGTTCTGACCAATCAGAGAGGTCGATTTAGTGAAAAATGATGGATAATTAAATAAATACAATACGCCCATAATGAGGACCCTGGTGAGGACCCCGGCCTCATGGCACAAACAGTTCCCCAGCCATCCTGTGAAACGTAACATAGGCCGGGGTCCAACCCACAAGGACCCGAGTCTGTGTGCGACCAAGACCTCGAGGACCCGGGTCTGAGGGCGACCGAGACCACAAGGACCTAAGTCTGTGGGCGACCCAGACCACAGGCAGCAGAACAGAAGAATTATGGACAAACAAGAACATTTAAAAGGGGGAGCAATGGTCATCAGTCGGCAGAGGGGAGATGGGGCTTCAACTCGAGATGGGAGACCCCGAGTGAAGCTTCGGATTCCTGACAGTGTTCAGAGATGACTGCCGTAAACTCAACCTGTCATGCTCGTTCAGCCTTGGGCGCTGAGGATCAGAGCATCACGTTCAGACCTTCAACCGTGAAACCAGAGAGAAGACATTTGTCCTTTTGCTTCTCAGGTATTCCAGACTTTAGTTCTACCCTTGCAGGCTTGGGTAGAACCATAGTGGTCTATGGTCACTCTCTCCAGGCTCTCTCTCTCCGGGCTCTCTCTCTCCGGGCTCTCTCTCTCCAGGCTCTCTCTCTCCGGGCTCTCTCTCTCCGGGCTCTCTCTCTCCGGGCTCTCTCTCTCCGGGCTCTCTCTCTCCGGGCTCTCTCTCTCCGGGCTCTCTCTCTCCGGGCTCTCTCTCTCCGGGCTCTATTGTATCTGGCAGGCTTGGGATGGCCCACTCTGGCAGCACATACAGGTCGCACTCACGGACTTGGGTGGGATTAGGTCCAGGTCTTCATCATCTGGGATCTCGTCCAGTCGGTACCCGTCCTTCAGCAGCTGGATGTTCAGGTCCTGGTTTATTTGCTGAAAGAAGAAGAAGAGAGGTGAATTGGTGAGGAAGTGGAGTGGTGAGGAGATGGAGGGATGAGAAGGTGGAGGGGTGAGGAGGTGGAGGTGGTTTAGTCTAGTTTAGTTTATTAATATCCCCATTAGCCACTGAGATGCAGTGGCTAATTATCCTGGGGTCTCCTCAAAATCATTACATGCTTTTACATATTATTTTATATATAAATCACACACACTCATGACGATATGATAGCTCAGTGAGAAATCAATTAAACATTAAAAAAAAAAAAAAAAAATAACAAAGTATCTTACTCTTACAACATAGGCATAGGGAATAATCAAATTCTGTACAGTTTAGAAAAGGAAAATCAATCAATCAATTAAAACATTAAATCTGCCAGAACCCCAGAATGTTCTCCAGTGGCTTCAGTCCCACTCAAATATAAAATATTTACAGTATATCATTTTTAGTTTCAACAATATATATACACATACACAGACACAGACTCTTATACACTTATATATGTTATTTAATGTTCATGTGTGAAAAGATTGATTTTCTCACTCTCTTTGATCAAAAAGGAGGGCAACATGTTCCATGCAACCATGGCTCGATAGACTAGTTTTCTGCATTTTATTTGTTCTGCATGCATGGAGCACACACTTTAAATCACTACTTTGCGGTGTGGCATGATCATGAGAATTTGACAACAATTTCAATTTATAATATATTGTTTCAGGATTGTGTGACAACACAACATTCCTGATAAACGTTAATACATAATACTGTGTTCTGCTTTTAACAGGTGAAGGGGTGAAGGGGTGAGGAGGTGGTGGAGGGGTGAGTAATCCTGGTGTCATGTGGAGAGGACCAGGACCTGGACCCTTCTGCTGTCCAGCACTGGGGTCTTATGTTTCAATCTCACAACGACTGTGACAATGGTCCGGATGGATCTAAAGCAAATTTAAGGTGGATTTAAGATTGAACTGAGGTGGAACTGAGGTGGAGCTAAGATGGAGCTGAGGTGGAGCTGACGTGGAGCTGAGGTGGAGCTGAGGTGGATTTAAAGTGGTCCGATGACTTAACGGCAGTAAAGGTTTCAGTACCTGGTCCCTCAGACATCTCACCTCGGCTGAGGAGTATCCAGACGAGGAGTATCTGGACACGTCCAAGTCCTCATCACTGAAACACAACACCATCAGCAGAAAGCAGGGTCAGAGCTGGGGTCAGAACTCGAGTCAGAGCTTGGGTCAGAACTCGAGTCGTTTGCCTCACCTGTCCGTGTCCAGAGCCACTAGTGGTGTCTCGTCTGGATTCTGGTCTAAGGAGGAGTATCCTTTGTTCGGCACCACGAGTCTGAGGAGAGAGGTCAGAGGTCAGAGAAGGAAGAGGGTCAGAGGTGTCAGTTCCAGGTGCTGTTACCGTGAGCGTGCGGTCTTCTTGGGCTGCTGGTTCACGGGACTCCCCCCTGAGCTGCTTTTCACCGAGGCTTTACGAGCCAGATCCCTGTGCTTCTCTGAGGGCCACAGGGAAAAAGAGGTCACTCACTTAAAGATCTGAAAATCTGAAGACCTAAACACCTGTAGAACCAAAGACCCAAAAATCTAAAGACTGAGGAAGGGGTGTGCTCCTGAGTGCCCCTCTCTTGAGTCCGTGTGAACTACACTCTGACCTAGAGACAAATTCCATACGTGCAGGAGAATGAAGAGGACCCCTTTCTGTATGCGTCCTGCATTTAAAACTGAGACTAATCCACAAAACTGAGGTTGTGAATGTGATCAGCACAGTTGTGTGCTGCTGAGTTTCCTCAGCAGCACATCCCCACACCAGGACCAGCATCAGCATCAGCATCAGCACCAGCACACTGACCCATAGCCTCCACAGTTTGGTCGTATAAACAGTTCATTTGATAAATGTTGGCTACAGCTCATACTCAACATTAAAAACCACATTTAGAAAACATTCGATAAAAGAGGGATAGAGACCCGAGCTCTGAACACTCTGAATATAACTTGTATCGAACTCGAGACTAATATAGTTTTAACCATGTGGGTCTATAACCATGTGTATTCTTAAATAAAATCTACAAAACCTTTGTCTGAAAGTTGTGCCGATTTAAACATAACCTTCAGATTCCATTGAGCGTTTAACTCCTGTTTTGGCTGTTTACGAGTATTTTCAGTCTTCTTGCAAGCCTGCTAGAATCACTGTGACCACTGTGCAGCTCTCTGATTGGTCGCTGCACGTGTCGCCGGCGCAAAAAGTTCAACAATGTTTATCTCCTGCCTGCGTCGATTTGCCGCTACCGCGCCTCTGCCACGCAGTCCGAGCATGCGTGCCACGACGCACATGCACTTCCACGCTCTAACAAACGTCACCATTGACTTTGCATTGAAATTCTCTGCAACACATGATCCGGTCTGAATGCCCCATATGTGACGGATCACCATTTTTGGAAAAAGTATATTCTCAGTAAGTTGTATGTTTATCACACAAAATTATAATCACACATGTCTGTCATTAGACCCTTGTAGATCGCTGCGCTTCACACAAGGGACTGGGTCTCCTTCATAGTGTATGAATTTCAGAAGGTGGGGCCTTGTAAAAGAAATCTTTGTATGTGATTGGATTAACCACTTGTCTGTTATCTTGAATGACATGTTCCTTCAATCACTCACATCAAAGCACACGATTCAGCACTTGACTCCTCACTGCGTTACAGGGTTGCCAAATGCCAGCAGGATTTTCCAGCCCAAAACCCGCGAGAATGCCCAAAAAAAAAAAAAAAAAAAACACCCAGAATGATTTGTTTTGGTTAAAAACATAATGCTATCAACTTCGGCTAACATGATTCTGTTTTTGTCTAACTATTTATTACCTACAAAAACGCTTGGAACAAAAGTATGCAGGAAACCACCCAAGTGATGAGCACTTAAACCGGTACTTAAAGCTGTACTAACTGACTTTGGGATTTTGAAGCCGCGGACTCGCTGGCCTCGCTCTTTCTGCTTTTTCTTTCTTGCCCATTCTTCCTTGCAAAACAGCTCGAGCTCAGTGAGGTTGGATGGAGAGCGTTTGTGAACAGCAGTCTTCAGCTTTTTCCACAGATTCTCGATTGGATTCAGGTCTGGACTTTGACTTGGCCATTCTAACACCTGGATACGTCTATTTGTGAACTAGGGATGTAAAAAACTATGCATTTTCATGACCGACCACCGAGCCTCATTAACCGGTTGAAACCGGTTAACCGCGTAGTTTAAAATATTCCACGTTCTTTGAAATAGCAGCCATTTCGAGCCGCGTACTTTTCATAAGTTTATCTATGCGTTCTACTAGATCAGAGCTGAGACAGCGGCGCCAAAACCCGCAACAGCTTCGGCACCTTTGCGCACAGAGAACTGCTTTTTTAATCTTCCCATACTGTGCTGCGGGTTAAAGCATTTTTAAGCAAAAGACGGCTTGTTCACATGGTCAGAGCAGCTAGTTACACGCCGCGTCTCGCAGGTCTCCGCTAAAGTTTAAAAGTGATGTGTGTGGATCTGATCTAATGACAAGGACCAGCAGCACAAACATGTTTCATGTGTTTGACTGGGGCGCCGTATTTGCGAGGATTCTTTGGGCTGCGAGACATAGAGGTGCGCGACAGACCGGTGTGTGTGTGTGTACAATACATGTATGTGTGTGTGTGTGTAAATATAAGCTCCAATGTAGTTCTGACCTGCACTAGTGTGGAACTTTGGCGGTAACAGAGGGGAGAGATGATGCGTGTGGATGTTACGTATGGAGGGGGTGAAAGTGTGTGTGTGTGTGTGTGTGTGCGTGCGTGTGCGTGTGCGTGCGTGCGTGCGTGCGTGCGCCATGAAAGTCACCCGTAGTCTACTAATGCATTGGCGCACACAGCTAGATACGGACCCGCTCGTCACATCGTACAAATAGGGCTTATTAATAGCCTTATTAAGAGACCTCCCCTCTCCGCTTTTTCTTATTTTTAACCGACAGCTTTGACCGGTTAACGCTGTGACGGTCAACCACCGGTTAAACGGTCACCGATTTACATCCCTATTGTGAACCATTCCATTGTAGATTTGGCTTTATGTTTTGGATCATTGTCCTGCTGGAAGATAAATCTCCGTCCCAGTCTCAGGTCTTTTGCAGACTCCAACAGGTTTTCTTCCAGAATGGTCCTGTATTTGGCTCCATCCATCTTCCCATCAATTTTAGCCATCTTCCCTGTCCCTGCTGAAGAAAAGCAGGCCCAAACCATGATGCTGCCACCACCATGTTTGACAGTGGGGATGGTGTGTTCAGGGTGATGAGCTGTGTTGCTTTTACACCAAACATATCGTTTTGCATTGTGGCCAAAAAGTTCGATTTTGGTTTCATCTGACCAGAGCACCTTCTTCCACATGTTTGGTGTGTCTCCCAGGTGGCTTGTGGCAAACTTTAAACAAGACTTTTTATGGATATCTTTGAGAAATGGCTTTCTTCTTGCCACTCTTCCATAAAGGCCAGATTTGTGCAGTGCACGACTGATTGTTGTCCTATGGACAGACTCTCCCACCTCAGCTGTAGTTATCTGCAGTTCATCCAGAGTGATCATGGGCCTCTTCGGTGCATCTCTGATCAGTCTTCTCCTTGTTTGAGATGAAAGTTTGGAGGGACGGCCGGGTCTTGGTAGATTTGCAGTGGTCTGATACTCCTTCCATTTCAATATAATTGCTTGCACAGTGCTCCTTGAGATGTTTAAAGCTTGGGAAATCTTTGGCATGGCGCCGTAAAGACGGCGCCGTGGCAAGAGCTCTGGTGTGTGTTGTCTGGTGCACACTGGGGTAGTCTTGCACAGTTTTTCCAATGTGGTTTTACTGCAAATGGCAAATAAATGAATCTGAATCTAAATCTTGGATTCCAAATAAGGCTTTAAACAACAGTATCTCGGACCTGCCTGGTGTGGTCCTTTGTCTTCACGGTTCTCTCTGCGCTTTAAACAGAACCCTGAGACTATCAAAGAGCAGGTGCATTTATACGGAGACTTGATTACACACAGGTGCATTCTATTTATCATCATCAGTCATTTAGGACAACATTGGATCATTCAAAGATCCTCACTGAACTTCTGGAGTGAGTTTGCTGCACTGAAAGTAAAGGGGCCAAATAATATTGCACACCCCACTTTTCAGTTTTTTATTTGTTAAAAAAAGTTTAGATTATCCAATAAATTTCGTTCCACTTCACGATTGTGTCCCACTTGTTGTTGATTCATGACAAAAAATTAAATTGTTATATCTTTATGTTTGAAGCCTGAAATGTGGCGAAATGTTGAAAGGTTCAAGAATACTTTCGCAAGTATAACAACATAGAACCATCAACAGCTCGCCTCAAATTGCATTAAAAGTGACATCTTTGTCTCAATTAGTTTGTGAATAAAAAAAAAAAAGTTTAAATACGGACTTAATGTCCGCTATCTTGGTTTGATTTGGCGGAGACGCACGAGAAGGCGGTGCAAACCCGACACCGGCAATCCTGATTGGCCGATTATTTTTTGATCTCCTAAAGGAGTTTGCAATGCACTCTATCCCAGACCCTTGTGTACAGCGAAACACCATTGGTGGAGCACAGGGGGGGGGGGGCTACATGCTTTTTTTGCTTTGCCGTACTTGAATAAAGTGTAATTGCCCATCCACTACAGAAGTCGACAGTGGCGCTCTCGTTGTCTGAGTTACAGTTACCTCACTATTTGGGGGGAGCGCGCACGACCGCGGAGAACTTGTTTTTTGGCCGCTTTGTAGTGAATGACAGCGGTTCTTTGAAGCTGCGCGGCCAAAGCTAAGCCATGTGACCAGCACGGACTGGACTAAAATTCACTAAATTAAAGCTGGGGTACCTAAATTTCCCTTGCATTCATATGCATGATGGTTCTGCCCAAACGTAAAATGAATAACTCAAACAAAACAAACCACAATAGAAGTCTTGTTTTTTATGGTGCTTTTTTGCATAATTAAGAAAGAACCCTGTAAGTCAATATTTGAACTTTTTGGGCTAAGAGCAGATTTTATGAGCCGATCCAAAGATTTAAGGAGGGGGGCGCGAAATGTCTGTCATAGGCTGGAGCAAAATATGGGAACTTTAACTAATTAAACTCGTTGTCTGAGTCGTGGCGACAGTAGCTCAGTTGGTAGAGCATTGGCCTTTGAGCCAGAGGGTCATGGGTTCAAGCCCGACCTTCACCATCGACTCTCACTGATGTCTGCTGTCGTTGAGTCCTTGGCAAGACACTTAACCTCTGGGAACACCAGCCACAGTGGGGCGACTGCGGCTGTAAAGTGCCGAACTGCCGTTGTGTCCTTAGGCAAAACACTTCACCCCCATTGCCTAGAATGAGTCTGGTGTGTGAATGATTGGTGGTGATCGGATGGCACATACTGGTTGCCTCTCTTCTGTCAGTGTGCCCCAGGGCAGCTGTGGCTATACTAGTAGTAGTTTATCACCACTGTGTATGGAGTGAACGAATGATGACATGTAAAGCGTCTTTGAGTGTCCAGAAAAGCGCTATATAAAACCGATGCATTATTATTAATGACTATCATTGAGTCATTAATACGCATACCATTCGCATGTTCTCGCAGTGATGGTTTCACTGGTGCCAGACTAAAGCTCAGATAAGTCAGTTAACAAACATAACTTCATCCACTTCAAACCCCTACACACAAGATTCAGTGGTCAGGGACAGACCGAGTCCTATTGCAGAGATGAGGCGACATTACCTATCTGCACCTGCAAGGGGGATGGTTTGTAGCTCAGAGCCACAGTTTCAGATTTAGAGTCTGTGGCTTCAAAGGACGAGGTTCGTGCCTCCTGCAGACAAACAAACAGTCAGTACAAAAACACAGGGCCCTCCCCCAGAAGAGCCTAGAGAGTATAACAGGTACTATGGGTAATGCAGGTACTGCAGGTACTCCGGTCCCTGATTTATCACACGGTCTCGATCTAAAAATAACCCACCCAGGGAGGAAATCCTTGAAGTAGCAGCTGTATTTTATAAGGCTGCAAAACCCCTCACCAGAGAGGGAAGAGAGATACGTAAAACTGAGGCACCAGTGGGTAAAAATGTTATGGCTTTAATGATGACTGTATTTAAAGATGGTCCCCCTCCTCTCTCCCCTCCCCCTCTGTACAAAGGTCCCCTTCAGTCCAGGGCCACGCCCCCTCAGGTCCTGCTCTGAGGTCAGGATGTCCTCAACAGCTTCATCTCAATCCCATTATATTTAATCTTATATCTGTCACTCATACGGCCTAACACGTTGCTGCATCCTTGCAAACGCAAATTAAATTATATTGTGGTCTGTACATTACAGACCTCTAATATACCCATGTATCTAGTTCCTGGCTCTAAAACAGGACCACCATCACTCAGCCCAAAGAGTCTTGAGTTATTATGTGAGTCACTATTTGAACCCAGTCAAATAGTGACTCACAGGGCTCTTACACAAAAGATGAAGACACCATGTCGTTGTTTAAACACGTAATACTGATGAGTATAAAGTTAAGTGCCCCTGCTTTAGTCTTATTGCAGCCCTAAAGCGTTATGTTATAATTCCAGCTCTTAGCCTCCACTAGCATCACAGCTAACACTGACTCACCAGCGGGTCCCCGTTCCCTGGAGGAACCTGGAACCGGTCCGTCTGCTCCATCATCCCGTGTGCACCTAGACTTTCCGACACGGTGAGGGCTCGGTGTTTTACCGGGACTGTAACGGGACATAAGCTGGAGAAAAGCTACAGAGCATCCTTTCAGTGGTGACTGAGCACAGCCTCTCCCAGAACACATCCGGGTCCTCACAAGGGCTGCGTCTGAATCCAAACAACAGCCGCCCTCCTCCTACTGCCTCAGACCTGGATCTACAGCATCAGTCCTGGGTTTCTGAGTGGTTCCTTGCTGATACAGAAGGATCTAAGGACAGTGATAATCCAGGACATTTATTATCATTCATGGACTATGATCATCCCACTCTATGGCTCCTATGTGTTTATTATTGAATTTCCCATGTTTGATTTTCTGATCTGTTATGAATCCACAACTTTGTAACGTCATCCTAGACTAGTGCTGATGCTGGGCTGATTGAAGTGGAATACGAGGACTTGTGAAGTTTGCCTCATGTCTGAGCTTGAGCCTTGGAGAAACCTGTTTCTGTCCTACATTAATATACTAGCAGCAGAAAACTTAACAAATAATCACTGGCTAGTGGCCAAAATCATTCGTAAAATACAAGGGGGCGGGGTTAGAGTGAAGGGGGCAGGGTCGTGAACACAGGATCACGGCAGTAGTTCTTTAGCTCTGAATGTTTCACCTGTGGATCTAAAGCAGTCCTGAGACCAGAACAGAGACCAGAAACTTGACAAGGGATTGTCAACAATCCTGACGCTGATGGGCGGGGCTCAGAGTCAGAGGAGGCGGCGATCCAAATGCAACAATCACAGGTGAGTGACCCTCCAAGGCCTCAAAGCATCATGCATTTTCTTCTGCCTTATCCAGTGCCAGGTCACGGAGGCAGCAGTCTGAGCAGAGTTGCCAAAATGTTCCTCTCCACACACATACTTCCTGAGGTGTTCCTGGGCAGCTGAGAGACACAGTCCCTCTGTGTGTCCTGGATCTTCCCCTGGTCTCCTCCCGGTGGGACATACCCAGAACACCTCTCCAGGGAGGTGTCCAGGAGGCATCCAAAACAGGTCTTCTCTCTTTAGAGGGGCGGCACTAACCAACAATGCACATTACCACAGAAGTGAGGGAGGGGACGTAGAGCTCTTTGCCGCAGACCGTAAATCTCTCCTGTGTGAGATCAATAAAGTCTATCTTATCAAACACAGAGGTAACACTTCTTTCTGACCTCAAACCACTTGGACCTCACAGAAAGGAGGTCCTGAGATTTGCACCTGTGGCTACACTCTCCTCCCTGCCTGGGAGCCACCCCAGTTCTGCACCACCTGGCCTCGGTCCTCGTTCTGCAGGCTCAGTCCTGGATTTGCCCCTTATGGACCTCTATAACCCTGGTTGCATTTCCTGTGTTTAAACTGTTTCTTCTCTGATCCATGTAGGCGAATGGACAACTTTGTTAAGTCGAGTAAAGTTGTGATTTAGGGCAATACTTTTTTAATTTAATTGACTTTCTTTTCCTGTGACTGCTTGTAGTTGAAGACTATCTCTGGTTCAGACTTTGTTCATACCTGGTCCAGCCCTAAAGTGATTCATGTGTGCTCAGTGTGGAGTCAGTGAGTTTCAACACAAGGGCCACGTACACTACACCCCTGTTTGTCTTGTTTCCAACAGTACATGTCGACAACCAGCCTTGTCCTGGTTCAGACAAGGCTCAGTCCTGGTTCAGGTTTGGACCAAACACCATTGGAACAAATGCCCATCTCAGGAAATTGACTCCAGATAGCATACATTCAGCATTAATTCTCTGGTGGGACATCACACTCTGGAGATGTCACCAAGTTCTCGTACATCTGAGACTTGTGAATACTTTTATTTCATCACAAAAAAACAACTTTCAGCAAAAACCACAATTTGAACAGAAACATGTCCTTCACAGGGTCCATTAGTCACACCTGCTGCATGCTGGGAGATGTAGGCACATGTGCACTCAGCTGCAGTACAGTCATCTGTACTCCCTCACCTCTGGGGGCAGTGTGGGGCTGCAGTCCCTCTCCTGTGGGGGCAGTGTGGGGCTGCAGTCCCTCACCTGTGGGGGCAGTGTGGGGCTGCAGTCCCTCACCTCTGGGGGCAGTGTGGGGCTGCAGTCCCTCTCCTGTGGGGGCAGTGTGGGGCTGCAGTCCCTCTCCTGTGGGGGCAGTGTGGAAACAAGTCCCTCTCCACTCCTCTAGGGGACAGCAGCGTTGAATCGCTCTCTCGCTTTGTCCCAGTTTTTTTGGTTTTTGGTTTTGTTCAGTGATGGATCATCCACAGAAACAGCCGGCGCAGCCCCCAGACCCGACTGGGCCTTCCGGATCTGCAGCTGGATCTGACAGCAGAAACCAGATTATCATCAGATTATAGTGGGGGACAGAGGTGGACACAGGGAATGTGGTGAACAGTAGAGGACAGCGGGGCAGGACTCACCGGGTCTTTGATGCCAGAGCCCTCTTTGCCCAGACCTTCTCCCCTTTTCCAGCCCATCTTCTCCAGCATCTGTCGCCCTTTGTTCCCCTCGCTGATCTCTCTGAAACACAGCAGCAGAAAGTGAGCAGCAGAAAGTGAGCACCAGAGTGAGCGACTTGAGACCAGAGAGAGAGACCAGAGCGAAACCAGAACGAGACCAGAGAGAGACTGTGTACATTGCATCCGGAAAGTATTCACAGCGCTTGACATTTTGGTATGTTACAGCCTTATTCCAAAATTGATTCAATTTTTTCTTCACAATTCTACACACAACACCCCATAATGACATAATGAAAAAAGTTGAGATTCTTGCAAATGTATTAAAAATAAAAATAAAAAACCACATGTACATAAGTATTCACAGCCTTTGCTTAATACTTTGTTGATGCACCTTTGGAGCAATTACAGCCTCTAGTCTTTTTGACTGATGCCACAAGCTTGGCACACCTGTCTTTGGGCAGTTTTTCCCATTCCTCTTTGCAGCACCTCTCAACCTCCATCAAGTTGGATGGGGAGTGTCGGTGCACAGCCATTTTCAGATCTCTCGAGAGATGTTCAATTGGATTCAAGTCCAGGCTCTGGCTGGGCCACTCAAGGACATTCACAGAGTCACAGAGTGTGCTTGGGGTCATTGTCCTGCTGAAAGATGAAGCGTCGCCCCAGTCTGAGGTCAAGAGCACTCTGGAGCAGGTTTTCATCCAGGATGTCTCTGTACATTGCTACAACCATCTTTCCCTCTACCTTGACTAGTCTCCCAGTTCCCGCAGCTGAAAAATATTCCCACAGCATGATGGTACCACTACCATGCTTCACTGTAGGGATGTATTAGCCTGGTGATGAGCAGTGCCTGGTTTCCTCCAAACATGACGCCTGGCATTCATGCCAACGAGTTCAATCTTTGTCTCAGACTTTTGGCAAACTCCAAACTAAGGAGCGGCTTCCATCTGGCCATACAGGCCTGATTTGTGGATTGCTGCAGAAATGGTTGTCCTTCTGGAAGGTTCTCCTCTCTCCACAGAGGAATGCTGGAGTTCTGACAAAGTGACCATTGGGTTATTAGCCACCTCCCTGACTAAGGCCCTTCTCCCCCGATCGCTCAGTTTAGATGGCCGGCCAGCTCTAGGAAGAGTCCTGGTGGTTCCAAACGTCTTCCAATTACGGATGATGGAGGCCACTGTGCTCATTGGGACCTTCAAAAGCAGCAGAAATGTTTCTGTAACCTTCCCCAGACTTGTGCCTCGAGACAATCCTCTTTGAGGTCTACAGACAATTCCTTTGACTTCATGCTTGGTTTGTGCTCTGACATGCACTGTCAACTGTGGGACTTTATATATACAGGTCTGTGCCTTTCCAAATCAAGTCAAATCAACTGAATTTACCACAGGTGGACTCCAATGAAGCAGTAGGAGCATCTCAAGGATGATCCGTGGAAACAGTATGCACCTGAGCTCAATTTTGAGCTTCATGGCAAAGGCTGTGAATACTTATGTACGTGTGATTTATTCGTATTTTATTTGTAATACATTTGCAAAAATCTCACACAAAATTGTTTTCACGTTGTCATTATGGGGTTTTATGTGTAGAATTTTAAGGGGAAAAAATTAATTGAATCCATTTTGGAATAAGGCTTCCACCAGCCTTTTCCATCTGGAAAAGGCTGTTTTGCTGCTGGAGTCCTCCTCACTCTCCATCTTTCTATGTGTGCTGTAAGCACTAAACACCAACACCCGCCACTGTGAATGCGGAAACACCAGTGACGTTGAGGTTGGTGATTGGTCTGAAGTCAGTGCCTCATCAATCAGATGAACATGTACAGTGCCTTGCGAAAGTATTCGGCCCCCTTGAACCTTTCAACATTTCGCCACATTTCAGGCTTCAAACAAAAATATAAAAAAATTATTTTTTGTCATGAATCAACAACAAGTGGGACACAATCGTGAAGTGGAACGAAATTTATTGGATAATTTAAACTTTTTTAACAAATAAAAAACAAAGTGGGGCGTGCAATATTATTTGTGCAGCAAACTCACTCCAGAAGTTCAGTGAGGATCTTTGAATGATCCAGACAAAGGAACACACCAGGCAGGTCCGAGATACTGTTGTGGAGAAGTTTAAAGCTGGATTTGGATACAAAAAGATTTCCCAAGCTTTAAACATCTCAAGGAGCACTGTGCAAGCAGTTATATTGAAATGGAAGGAGTATCAGACCACTGCAAATCTACAAGACCCGGCCGTCCCTCCAAACTTTCATCTCAAACAAGGATAAGACTGATCAGAGATGCAACCAAGAGGCCCATGATCACTCTGGATGAACTGCAGATAACTACAGCTGAGGTGGGAGAGTCTGTCCATAGGACAACAATCAGTCGTGCACTGCACAAATCTGGCCTTTATGGAAGAGTGGCAAGAAGAACGCCATTTCTCTAAGATATCCATAAAAAGTCTCGTTTAAAGTTTGCCACAAGCCACCTGGGAGACACACCAAACATGTGGAAGAAGGTGCTCTGGTCAGATGAAACCAAAATCGAACTTTTTGGCCACAATGCAAAACGATATGTTTGGCGTAAAAGCAACACAGCTCATCACCCTGAACACACCATCCCCACTGTCAAACATGGTGGTGGCAGCATCATGGTTTGGGCCTGCTTTTCTTCAGCAGGGACAGGGAAGATGGCTAAAATTGATGGGAAGATGGATGGAGCCAAATACAGGACCATTCTGGAAGAAAACCTGTTGGAGTCTGCAAAAGACCAGAGACTGGGACGGAGATTTATCTTCCAACAGGACAATGATCCAAATCATAAAGCCAAATCTACAATGGAATGGTTCACAAATAGACGTATCCAGGTGTTAGAATGGCCAAGTCAAAGTCCAGACCTGAATCCAATCGAGAATCTGTGGAAAGAGCTGAAGACTGCTGTTCACAAACGCTCTCCATCCAACCTCACTGAGCTCGAGCTGTTTTGCAAGGAAGAATGGGAAAGAATTCCAGTCTCTCAATGTGCAAAACTGATAGAGACATACCCCAAGCGACTTGCAGCTGTAATTGCAGCAAAAGGTGGCGCTACAAAGTATTAGCGCAAGGGGGCCGAATAATATTGCACGCCCCACTTTTCAGTTTATTTGTTAAAAAAGTTTAAATTATCTAATAAATTTCGTTCCACTTCACGATTGTGTCCCACTTGTTGTTGATTCTTGACAATTATTCAATTTTTACATCTTTGTTTGAAGCCTGAAATGTGGCGAAATGTTGAAAGGTTCAAGGGGGGCGAATACTTTCGCAAGACACTGTATATATCATAAATCAACAGGATCTACAGAGCGGCTTATTCACGGGAGAAAGTATCGCGATATATCGTCACACCCCAGAGAGAGAGAGAGCGAGAGCGAGAGAGATATGTCTATATATATAGATCGATTGATATGATAGATAGATCTATCTCTCTATATCCTGTACACTGCACAGGATGTTTTGACTCCAATGCAGACAAGATTTACATGGGTTTCAATGGGAACTGAGTTGTCCCATCTCTGCTCATAAGTACAAACTGTAATGCGCTGCAGAACGTGTGTCTATACTTTATGTCAAATGTAAACGGCCCTGTGTCACTGACTTACCCCTCTGTTTTCATCACGGCACATGTGAGTCCAACAACCAATGAATAGCACTAGCATATAGCGCCGCACCGCAAGTACACTGAGTCGGGGTGCGTTCACAGACGGTGGAAACCGTAGGAATTTTTTGTTTTGGGCGGAAACAGTGCGGAGAATACAGGAGGGAGGAACTTTCTCTCGTAGCGTTTCAAAAGAGAAAACAGATTTCACTCAGCTTTCAATGGAAAACAAATTGTCTGCCGTTCATGACACATAATATGAACTAATTCACGTTCAAGTTCTTTATTAAAAAATGTGTTGCGTTCAGTTTAACGTTCACAAAAAAATTGACGTGTTCATTGAACGCGTTCTTTTGAACTCGTTCACGCACAACACTGGTCGTCAATAACACCGTTTATGACCATCCTCTCAACTGTAGACATGTATATTGTAAAGGAAATATGTTTTACATCAGCCAATAATTTCTGAGAGGTTATCTCATCCTCCCTTCTCTCATGACAACACGAGTCCTATCATGAAGTTTAAAAAAAAGTTCATTGTGCAACTTGAGTAACGTACAGTAACGGCATGTCGGCAATGATAACGGCATTATAGTTACAGTCAAAGTAATTACATAGATTACTTAGATTAAGTTTGTTTCAACGCAGTTATTCCCATCACTGGTTAATAGCTTGTTTAGAGTACCTTTTCATGATATGCAATTTTTTTTAGATGAGGATTTTTGGTTTCTCTTTATTTTTTTGCCAAAAACATCAATATTAAAACAATAAAAGGCTTGAACTACTTCAGTTGTGTGTGATAAATCTAAAATATATGAAACTTTATCACAATATGCATTTTTTTTTTTTTTTAGAAGGACCTGTATAACAGCATATACTGCCATATATACATTGTATGACAGTATACATTACTCACGTGTGCACAGACGCTGGCTCATCCTCTCGCACAAACCCGTCACTTCCCACAGCTTGTCTGCGGCTCTCGGCTCGATCTTTGTACTGAGAACTCCTCATCACTGACACCTCCTCAGTGCTCTGTCCCAAAGAGGCAAAGAGTGACGCACAGGGACATTGTAATCACACAGTAGATAACATGTTTTCTAATCAGACGAAACAGCACCAAGACTATTTCTGATGAGACAAAAGTTACGAGCCTGAACTTTAGAGAGCAGCACCTGCCTCTGCACCTCTTTGTCCTCTCGGCTCACTTCTCCTCCTCACCTGTATGCCGTACTTGGCCTTGATGCTCTTCAGCTGCTTGACCCTCTGCGCCTCCTTGTCCTCTCGGCTCACTACTGCTCCTCCTCCTGCACTTCCTACTCCACCTCCTCCTCCTCCTCGGGGGTGCTTGCTCAGGTGGGCAAGGATCTGTCCCGGTTCACAGCCGTCACATGTGTCTGTTCCCTGGTGGATGTGGAAGGACAGGACAGTGTCTCCCATCTTCACCTCGTCTCCGTGGGTGAGGAGGTGCGGGGGGCTCTTCTGCTTCGGCTGGAACACATGATCATCATCTCCCCACCCTCTCCTCGGAGGGGGTGGGGGTGTGCGTTTGTACATAGGGGTCCGGGGTGGGGGTCTCTCTTTAAAGTATTTACGTTCAAGGGGTACTTGGGTCCCCCTCTTAACTCATTTACTGCCATTGATGTAACATGAGGTCAATAGATGTCAACGTTGTTTTTCAATCTTTTCCTGTCCGTCTGTGTCCCCTGTATCATATATGTCTGGGGTTTGGCTGTACAGTATTTTATTGAGCCAACAGGTGGCAGCAGAACTGGGTGGATGTCTTGGTTAAAGCTCACTGTCTGAGCACTGTGTGCAGGAGAGACAGAGGTGAAGCGAGACATGGAGGAATATTGTCAGGGTCAAGCAACATAGTATATGCGTCTCCAGAGCTGACAGAGACCATGTGGAGGGTCAGGGCAGCAGACCAGCGATGCACCCCAAAAAAAGCCACAGAAAAGTGGACTATTGCTAAAACTATCACTGAGTCCACACCAGGAGCCAGGAGCAAAGTCCAGTTATGGTCACAGCGCTCGCTGGACTAAACAGAACGACACTCTCTAGATGTAACCACAAAAACGTGCACATAAACGCACATACAAACGCGCCCAAACACACACAACAGTATTCTATTGCACTTATAGAATATTGTCTGTTCACTTTGATTTATTGTCATTTATAGTGTTTATCATGGTAATTTTGCTTATCTCTGATTTCATCTTATTGACATAAATATAGCGCCACCTAATGGATGAATACTGTCCATTCTTTATGCCAAAGTTTGTCATGGGCTCTACTTTCAATATGTAAATTTTGACGTTTATTGGATGAGTACATTTTGAAATATTCAAACAACACTTTGTGGATGTGGGTGTGTGTGCCATAAAACAATATTCAAAAAAACTTTCTCATAACGTGTTGTTGCTGTTTTCTAACATGTAAGATCCTGGACATGTTTTTGGAGATGCTAAAGTTAAACTAAATAGTGTTATAGTCCCTTTTCTGCAGGTTCGTCCGTTTGCACAAACACCTCATTTTCTCTGCTTTTTGTCACACTCCTCTTTTCGACTGGAGATTACAGGAGAACGAAACAATCTTATTTTTGCTGAAAGTAGACAGTCCGGTTTCATATTTTTCATAGTCATAGCACACAATATTCTGTGAGTCTTGAAAATCAGTGAAGTCATAAAAAATGGCTGGCAGTCAATGAGTTAAGGGGCTCACTTGTGGGGGTCTCTTGGGGGTCTCACCTGGAGGATGCGGTTGCCGTTGATCACAGTCCCATTCTGAGAGCCTTGATCCACAAGGACATAACCCTGCAGCTCAGGGTCATAGTGCACCTCAGCGTGGAACTGCGGATTGAACACACGATTTTAGACAACAGTCCAAGAACTTGTGTGTAGTTTCTGTGTTTATCTCCCACCTTACTGACTCCCAGCTCCGAGATCCTGATGGCGTGGTCCATGTTCTTCTCTCTGCACAAGAACGTGGCACAAACCAGAGACTGAGCCCCTGATGTACAACAGGATTATAGCTGTTCATGTTTAGGCTAAGCAGGGCAGGGGGTGGTTAGTACTGTGATGGAAGACCTCTGGGAACACCAGGTGCCACAGAAGGGCACCTGTGGCAACAGCAGTATTTCTTCCCCACTGTCTTTGGAGGGAATGAATAACAATGGGCCTCATTCACGAATATCTTCTTAAGAATCTTCCTAAATTTCTTCAAGTTCTTAAGTAGATTTCTAAGAATAAGATTTCTATGTCCTTGATCCAGACTCAGACCCTAATTATTATAGCCAGTGGTATGCTGTGTTACTAGCATTGCATATACAGATTTTTAGTCTTTTAATGTGGGAATAACACCGGTATAAGATTGTCCTTTATTTATCCCATAGTTGGGAAATGTCATCGTACATTACAGCAGAATAAAAAGTGGTAAATAAGAGCAGTCAGCTTGCACTCAAACATGATCTATTATTTAAGATCAGAATCAGAATATTTTTTATTGCCACGTAAGTAACAGGAAGTCACAAACTTGGAAATTGCTTTGGCTCAGTGCAACAGTCAGAAAGAGATAATAAAAAATAAAGAATAAAAAACACTTCTAAGGAATAAATTTAAATTTAAAATAGAGTTACAGTTACTATTTACAATATACAAGTGCACATGGTGCACACAATGTAAGGTGACAGCAGTACAGTGAAGTAAAGTGACGTATGATGGGCAGTAAAGTGACTTTATAAAGGGCGGGGGGACAGGTTAAGAAGTGTTCAAGAGTCCAACAGCAGAGGGGAAGAAACTGTTCTTGTGGCGGGAGGTTCTAGTCCTGATGGACCGCAGCCTCCCGCCTGAGGGGAGTGGTTGGAATAGTCCATGTGCAGGGTGAGAGGGGTCGGCTGTGATACGACCAGCCAGGCCTCGAGCGACGTACAGGTCCTGCAGCGATGGAAGGCTGCGGCCGATCACTTCCTCTGCAGAGCGCACAATGTGCTGTAGTCTCTGTTTGTCCCTGACTGTGGCTCCAGCGAACCACACGGTGATGGAGGAGATGAGGATGGACTCGATGATGGCCGTGTAGAACTGCACCAACATCTGTGCAGGCAGCTTGGCTTTCCTGAGCTGCCGCAGGAAGTACATCCTCTGCTGGGCCTTCTTGATGAGGGAGCTGATGGTCGGCTCCCACTTGAGGTCCTGGGTGATGGTGGTGCCCAGGAAACGGAAGGACTCCACAGAGGTGATGGGGGAGTCCATCACGGAGGGTGGGGGCGGGGGGGACAGTGCTCTTCCTGAAATCCACAATCATCTCCACTGTCTTCTGGGCGTTCAGCTCCAGGTTGTTACCACTGCACCAGGACACCAGCCGGTCCACCTCCCTCCTGTAGGCGGACTCATCGTTGTTGGAGATGAGTCCAATGAGGGTGGTGATAGTAACATAAAATAAATTAAGACTCTGGAGCTATAATTGCACTTGTTTTGGAGGTATTTACAAATGTGTATTATTGTACTTTAGAAGCAGAGAATATCACCACAATATTAGTAATAATAGCAGCAGGTTTAGTGACTAGTGACTAGTATCAGCTTTTGAGTAAGTCCAGCTTCATGGTAAACATGGTAAACAGTTTTTAGTCACTTGCAGAGAAACAAATTTGTTGCAGAATTCATACGCTGGACTCCGGAGAGGCTGTGCGCTGTGATTCGCTGCTTTGATTTGTCTCTCACCTCCTGGATTTTATTAGTTAAATAAATAAATAAATAAATATAATTTTATTTATTTATTTATATATATATATAATATTAATATCATTACTGTTATTTGGACAACAAACAGCGTATTCAATGTGTATTGTTTTTCCTGTTTTGACTACACTATTTTAGAACCATTTTAAACACAGGTGGGCTTCTGAGTCATCCGCATCATCGATGTTGAAATCATCACAGATGTGGACCCAGGCATTTTTCTGCCTCTCAAGAATGAAAGAGAGATTGCCCTCTAACTAAAGCTTGAAGGAATCAATGAAAAAAAAAAACTACTTTGGGCATGTGTGTGAAGGCGAAATAGCACTGTAATCATGTTTAAAGTATAAAAAACAAAAAAGCGCAATATGTGAGAGCTGAAATCTCTCACTTTAACAACAGCTACACAACTAAATCTCACAGACTCAGTGTGTGCGTGTGTATGGGTCTGCGTGTCTCTCTCTCCCTCTCTCTGTGCCAGTGCGTGTGATTGCGTACCTGCCGATGGTTGCGGTGCAGTCTGCCGTCAGGATGAACAGTGTCCCGACCTGCAGCACCGGAGAGCGCACCACCGTCACACGGACACAAGGGGGCCACACTGAGATACAGAGAAACTAATGGGTCTGGTGATCATGGACAGCAGCTTTATCTGGAACGAGGAGGAGTTAGCTCTGACACCTCCTCTACATGAGGAGGAGTTAGCTCTGACACCTCCTCTACAAGAGGTAGAGTTAGCTCTGACACCTCATGAGGAGGAGTTAGCTCTGACACCTCATGAGAGGAGTTAGCTCTGACACCTGAGGAGGAGTTAGCTATGACACCTCATGAGGAGGAGTTAGCTCTGACACCTCATGAGGAGGAGTTAGCTCTGACACCTCATGAGGAGAGGAGTTAGCTCTGACACCTCATGAGGAGGAGTTAGCTCTGACACCTCTACATGAGGTAGGGTTAGCTATGACACCTCTACATGAGGTAGGGTTAGCTATGACACCTCTACATGAGGTAGGGTTAGCTATGACACCTCCTCTACATGAGGAGGTGTTAGCTCTGACACCTCCTCTTCTCCAGTTGAAGCTGGTGAAACGTGTGCTGTGATGGATTCAGCTGGAGGAAACAGCAGCCTCACTCACCTCCGAGTGTGGGGTCCAGCTCCTCCTCCTCCTCCTCCTCTTCCTCTTCCTCCTCCTCCTCCTGTGCCCTGCCCTCAGACCTTCTTCTCCTCCTCCTCCTCCTCCTCCTGGGCTCCTCTTCCCCCACTACCTCCCCCTCCCCTCTGGATGAAGGTGTGCTCTCTCTGCCGCTCTCAGATAGCTCTCCTTCTTCTGGTCCGCTGTTCATGTCACTGCAGTCACTGTGCGCCTCCTGCCTTCTCCTGCGCCTCGCTTCTCTGCTCCTTCTCCTGCTCCTCCTCTTGGACCTGGAGCGGTTTCTGCTCCCACACTGTGAATCATCGCGGTGCCTTCGTCTTCGCTCGTTTGAAGAGTGCCTTCGGTCTCTGGACACATGTCTCCACCCTGGACTCCTGGACCTGGATTTAGACCTGGACCTGGGTCTTGGTTTTCGCGTTTCTTGGGGCTTCTTGAGTGTGGTTTTAAGGTCTTCGTCAGAGTCCTTTCTGGCCTTTGTCTGTCAGCACAGGGTCAGAATCAGCAGATGTTGCTGCTCCAGCTCCAAGGCTCAGGTCTCAGGGTTTAGGACTTTTGGCGTCAGTTGCCCGTGTGTGTTGGGGGTCAGTTGCCCGTGTGTGTTGGAGGTCAGAGACCCGTGTGTGTTGGAGGTCAGAAGCCCCTGAAGTGTGTGTTTCTGTACCTCTGTGTGGGGCCTGGTTGCAGTAATTGGAAATCTTCATTTTAGCCAACGACCGTGTCACATCTTCTACCTACATCAGAACAGGTCTTTAGTGACGGATTCAATTTTCTGTCCGAGCCCCGAGGGCCGTGTGTCCGAGCCCCGAGGGCCGTGTGTCCGAGCCCCGAGGGCCGTGTGTCCGAGCCCTGAGACCAAAGCCGTTGAAGCCATGACACATGTACAGTGCATTTCATGATTATAATCCTCCTTCGGACCACGCTTTGACTGACACCAGTGTCTGGGTCAGTCCGTGGTCAAACCTTCAGTCCCTGTGGTCTAACCTTCAGTCCCTGTGGTCTAACCTTCACAGTCCCTGTGGTCTAACCTTCTGCCCCTGATATCAAACCTTCTGCCCCTGATATCAAACCTTCTGCCCCCGATATCAAACCTTCTGCCCCCGATATCAAACCTTCTGCCCCCGATATCAAACCTTCTGCCCCCGATATCAAACCTTCTGCCCCTGATATCAAACCTTCTGCCCCTGTATTCTCACCTTAAGTCCCTGTGCTCCCTTCAGCTCGGTCTTCAGCTGCCTCAGTTTCCAGGTCTTCCACTCGCTGTAGCTCCGCTCGGATGTGGGCTTCTCGCTCTGGACCTCGATCTTGGAGTAGAACTCGTACTTCCCACTCTCGGAGCAGTAGTAATAATAGATCCCAGTGTTGTTGTCGTAGTACAGCTGGTTCACCTGCAGAGACCAAAGTGAGGAGGTGTGAGGGGTGGGAGGAGGTGTGAGGGGTTGGGGGGGGAGCGATGTCCTCACAGAGTCATAGTAGAAGCCTGTGCTGTGGTCATAGTACATCCCTGTGGTCTCGTCGAACACGAAGCCAGTCTGACACATGGCCTGCTCCGCTGTGGACCTCAGCATGTCAGCGATGGAGCCACACTCGCCCTGCACACAGCAAGAGCATTAAAGCTGAGGTACAGAAATTTACAGCCGGAGTAAGTTATTTTAAAGTTGGGGTCTTTCAGTTGAAACTACGCGTTATTCATTAGACTACATTTACATGCCCCAGCTTTAGATATGTGTTATTTATGAGATTAAAGTTTTGGTCCCTCAGCTTGAGTGGCTGTAGTAGATGTGGAACAAACCTGTGCAGCTGCAGTTTCAGCGTCTCCTGGGGTAGGCGCTGTATAATCTGTCTCTGGATTCTCCCCCTCAAGCTTTGTACCTGCCCCCTCCTGTGTACTGGTCACACTAGTCTCCCCAGCCTCAGCAACAGCGCTGCCCCCTGCCGCAGGCTCTTGTGCACAGGTCTCCACAACCTCACCCTCAGTGCTGCCCCCTGCGGGTGGCTCCTGGGAGTATGCGCTGTAGTAATAGTTGTAGTAATCTGAAAGACAGAATCCTCATTATTTGGAGAGATCTTTAGACCTAGACAGGGTCTGGTTGAGACCAGTTCTGACAGGGTTAGGGTCACAGTGGGACTCACCCGTGTCGCTCCACACATACTCTTCCGTCTGCGTCTCTGCTTCACTTCTCTTTTTACCTTTTATCTTTCTCTGGTGAAGCTCCGCACTGAGCTGCTCCACCTGAGGTCACACACAGAGTTCACACAGAGTTCACATAGAGCTTAATGTCTGCAAACCCGAAACAGTGTGTGTGTGTGTGTGTGTGTTACCTCAGCCCCCTAGGTGGTGGTGGATGTTACCTCAACCCCGTAGGTGGTGGATGTTACCTCAGCCCAAAAGGTTGTGGATGTTACCTCAGCCCAAAAGGTTGTGGATGTTACCTCAGCCCAAAGGTGGTGGATGTTACCTCAGCCCAAAGGTGGTGGATATTACCTCAGCCCAAAGGTGGTGGATATTACCTCAGCCCAAAGGTGGTGGATGTTACCTCAGCCTAAAGGTGGTGGATATTACCTCAGCCCAAAGGTGGTGGTTGTTACCTCCGCCCAAAGGTGGTGGATATTACCTCAGCCCAAAGGTGGTGGTTGTTACCTCAGCCCAAAGGTGGTGGATGTTACCTCAGCCCAAAGGTGGTGGATGTTACCTCAGCCCAAAGGTGGTGGATGTTACCTCAGCCCAAAGGTGGTGGATGTTACCTCAGCCCGAAGGTTGGCGTTGTACCGCTCCGTGCTCTGCTGTCGTCCCTCACAGTGACTCAGTTGTTTCTTGACTTTCTTCAGTTCAGTTTTACACTGAAGCAGCTTCTGTTTCAGTCGCACAACCAGCACACGCAGCTCACACACATCCACCCAGGACTCGGGCTCCTCCCCACAGGACTCTGGCTCCTCCCCACAGTCCATCGTGGGGTCCACACAAATCTCTGCAGATTCACCCAGGTCTGGGTTTGTGACCTCACTCAGCTTTGGCTGCAAATAAACATGTACTTGTGTTGGAGCTATGAAGTACACAGGTACTACAGGTAATGTAGAGAGACCAGAGAAAGGGCGAAACATGAGAGAAAGGCACTATGGAAGATCGCAGCACATGTGATAACCTCAGTGCGTTCCAATTTCATGGAGCATAGTGAGGTCACCTACACTACAGGGACAATCGTACTCCGTAAAAACTGTGCTAACTCTAGCCAAAAGCTTTAGCACTGTTCCATCAAAACTCATAAACAAGTTTTTGATGGAAGTTTTTGATGGTACACCCCATAACCTCTGTACCTGCATGTCCCCCTCAGGCAGGTCGCTCTCCAGGTTAGGGTCTGTGGTCTCTCGATCCAGGTTCGGGGTCTCTGGGTCCAGGTCTGGGGTCTCTGGGTCCAAGTCTGAGGTATCTGGGTCTGATGCTCCATTCCGGGCCTCCATCAGCGATTCTACGGTCATGAACAGATTACAGCAAACATAGTTTATTGTAGTTACTGCAGTATCAAGACCAGAGTTTTCACGGCTTCATGTTTTATATCCAGGATAAAGACAGTGGTTTCCTTCAGTGTCTGCCATGTCTCCAAGAGATAAGTTTGCTTTGACCTTCCAATAACCACAACATGAGTGGAAAACCACTGGCACGTCATCCTTGTGTAATGACGAGGTTTGAATCCAACAGAATAAAAAAATCTGATGTATAGTCTGTAATAGAAGATTAATCACCGACGTGTGACGCATTGGGGCCACAGGAATCAGTCCATAGGCCGCGTATGGCACTCGGGCCACTGTTTGGACCCCTGCTTAAATCAGACTGCGATACATGACTGGTGTTAACTTGTAAAAGTAACACCGTAGAATAGACTATGTGGAATTGATCAAGTAAAGAAGAATCACTACACCGTTTTTAAATTACACTTTGGTGGATTAATGTGAAAATACATCCTAATCTGGTCTGTTCATAACGTGGCCACGCAGTTATAAGATGGATATTAACAGTAAAACAGCATTTGCAATTGCCTCACCGCTGTTCATCCTGTCGCCTTCTCTCCCGCTCTCTGCGTTGCTTATTTTCCCATAATAAGACCTGAAAATGTAAAATACAGACGTGTTCACCAGAGAGTGGGACAGATAGAGGCCTGGACATGTTTGTGGAGGAGACACAGACAGTTACGGTGACAATCCGGCCTTCTGAATACACTACTATGTGAGAAAACGACCACAAATCCAGATTCACGCTAATGGCTAGTTAATTGCTAATGGCAAATGGCTAACGGCTAAAGGCTACACCATGGATCTATGGCAGTCGACCACAGCCGCCATTTTGTGTCGGGCGGAAGTGATTTACAGTCTATGCAATAAAAATATTTCGCTTTCACATTTTAATGATACTCAAAGAGTCTAAATGATATCATTACGATGTATACTATACGACGGACCTAATCCAAGAAAAATATTACATTCAGAAAAATCAATTATCTTATCTAATTTTGAGGCATTTGAAAATGTAAAATTGAAAATTAGAGTACTGGTATTTTTTATATTTTACTATTATCATTATTATTATTATTATTGTTATTATTATAGTTTTTATTATGTCTTATTTGTAGTAGTCATTATTATTACCCTTATTTGTTATTTACACAATTTGTTTTAAATAAACATAAAAAAGAATAAATAAATAATAAAACAAATACTTCTAAAATACAACACGATTCAATTTTTTTTGTTAACTTTTTTGTAAAATTTACCCCCTAATGCTAACGAGAGGAGGTGGGGTGAGGAGGCGAGAGGAGGAGGAGGGAGGAGGAGGAGGAGGGAGGAGACCTGTTTGGGTTTGGACACATCACACAGCTGAGCGCGTGCGGCACCGCGAGTCAAACGCGTCTGAGTGGAATAAACGTACAACCGCAAAGGAAATCAGGGTGGCGACGTGTGGACCTCCGTGTGGACCTCCGTGTGGACCTCCGTGTGGACCTCCGTGTGGACCTCCGTGTGGACGTTAGAAGTCCTCGTCCGGACACTGTCTATGCTAAAGCCGTAACACCCGCGCGCACATCCGCCTGGACTGCACAGGGACATGTCGTGGCTGTCCCCCGCGTCCTGGGCAAAATGGACGTGGACCGCGGTGACAGGAGAGGAGGCGACAGGGGGAGCAGAGGAGGCGTCAGGAGGAGCAGAGGAAGAAGCAGGAGGAGCAGAAGAGGAGATTGGAGGAGCAGAGAAACAGCGTTGTGAGGACGAGTGAGTAACGCAACACGTCGAGATGAGCCATGTTGGGACAAACACTTGCATGGTACATACAGCCCCATAGATAATCACCACCTGAGTCCAGACCTGAGTCCAGACCTGAGTCCAGACCTGAGTCCAGACCTGAGTCCAGACCTGAGTCCAGACCTGAGTCCAGACCTGAGTCCAGACCTGAGTCCAGACTGACAGCGGCAGGTCCAATGAGGGACCCACCGCCCCGAATGCTCTTAATCATAATGAGTATCTTTATTATTCAACTCTGACCTTAAACCTTGCTCCATGGGCTCAGAGTGTCTCTGTGATATCATACACTACTCCTCTGTGTGTGATATTTGCCTTGAAAAACTGCTCATTTACAAAAGGAGATGAGAGGAGACCTATACAGATGTGAATCCAGATGTTAAGGGGACTCGGGCTGAGTCAGGCATTAGTGGAGCTTAGAGGTCCTGTGTGAGGACTTCTGGTTGGGGTAAGGCCTGCCTGGGTGAGAGGAAATAGCGGATGTTTGAGGTTTGACTTGTTTTTTCTCAGAAGAATAACTGGTTTCACTTCTGCTTCTGAAACAACAACAACAACATTCCTCCAGACGACACTTAGTTGAGAGGGTGAGGTGAGGAGGAGGGGAGGGTGAGGTGACAGTGAGCTGTAGATAGTTAGAGTTATAGTTTAGTTATACACAATGTATAATTCCATAAACGTAACATGTAAATCAGATGTGGTCATCCTTTGTGTCTGCAGCTCGGACTCCGATGGACCGTACGACACTCCAGAGGCGTCCAGCCCGGTGCACGTCGCTCCTGCAGGGGGCGACATCACAGAGGTTACAGGTGAGAGGTCATCAGCAGGTCATAGGTCATCAGCAGGTGATCAGCAGGTGAGAGGGGCTGTGATTGGTCCTCTTCACACATCCAGGGCTTTTTTAAATGTAAATGCATTTTGAACAGAATCCGACTTGTGAATCAATGTTTATGGGAAAAAAAAGTGTAATCCTGCAGCCTGCAGGGTTAAATTATGGTCAAGCCCCAGTTAAGGTTCTGCCCATCTCTGGATCTCCTGGTCTAGTGCAGTAGGTAGGTTCCCTGTCAGCTGAGGACAAGACATTTTAGTGAACACTGAGTTCTACAGGAAAATTTCCTTTAGCTATGTGGATTTAGGCTGTAGTATTGCCCTTTAGTCCATGTGGAGACTGGTTTAAACCCCCTCCACATAATCTCATTAATCTTTGGTGATGGTGGACTGGTTGAGGTGGACTTGCCCAGTGGGTCCGGTTTCTCCACATTCCTGCATCAGGCTTCATCTGAGTTCAGGAATGTGCTGCTAAAGCTGGGGTGCTCTGCTCAGGGTGAGCGGCTGCAGATTCCAGATGTGGTTTAGGAGACGAGGCATTTTCATCTCACTACGAAACACATATAACAGCTGTAATCCCACATATGACCTGCCACGTGTGCTCAGGAAAATAACTTACTTCCTTGTTCACCTGAGAGCTGGTAGCTGCGCGTTTGAAAATGTAGAGAGGCCGTTTTAAAGGAGTCACATTAAACCATGGTCAGTTACAGAACTGCAGCTGTGTTTAGCTCCATCCACAAAGCATCAAGAACATCTGTCACAAACACGTCTGCCCACCCCTTCTGTCTAAGTGCTCTGTTTTCAATCTCCTTACACTATGGGTGTTGTCGTAGACTCTGAAAGTTGTGTTTTTATTGAGAGAATGACTCTAATATAAACTTGTCTTCGCAGATGTAGAGGAGCGGCTGGTCATCTCTGCTCCATCCCAGGACCAGAGCCTTGTTTTTAGCCTGGATAAGTCCCCGGAGCTGCCTGAAGGTCTTCCGATGAACCTAACCCTGCCTGAAGGTCCTCCGATGGTCCCAAACCTGCCTGACGATCCACCAACTGACAGTCCACCGATGGATCTAACCCACCATGAAGGTCCTACGATGGACCTGATACTGCCTGAAGGTCCACCGATGATCCCACACCAGTCTGAAGGTCCACCAATGGAACTAAACCTGCCTGAAGATCAACACAGTCTGGAAATGAAAGTGGAAGAACTCTGTGAAGCAACCAACGTGGAACTACATTCCAAAGCACAAGATTCCATTGTTAAAAGCCTACAGAGTACACAAGATTTGACTCAATCTGCTAATGCTTTATCTGCCGCAGTTTTTGACCAGACAATCCCAATCACAACCACAACTCCTCCAAACCTCAAGCTTGCTCCACTCATAGTGCAAATTCTGCCTGAAGAATGTCCAGACGACGACAACCAATCAGAAATCCCAGTTCCCAAAGCGTCCTACAAATTTGACCCGGAGAATTTGGATGAAAGCTTTGACCCCTTTTTGAGCGGAGGGTCGAAGATTCCAAACTCTCCTCCATGTCGTGTGGACTTAGATCAGACCTTAGTCACATCTGCAAAGAAGAAGAGAGACAGTGCCACAAATACAATCAGCAAAGTGGAACATGTTGAGGAACTAGTTGGAGAAGAAGCAACTGAAGAAGCCGCAGACGCATCAGAGATTCATAATAGTCCATTTTGCAAAAGTGGATCTAACAAATGTGGGATGTTCGAGGCGAGAGTGGAGTCTTCTGTGGGCGGAGGGTCTGAAAGACCAGACGCAAAATCCGCACAGCAAAAGCACGGGGCCAAAAACACAATGAGAAATGTCACAAAGGCTGATCCGGATGGAAACGTGTATCTGGAGGACGTCCCAAACCCTAAAACTGAGGCTTATATGTTTGACCCTGAGAGACTTGATGAAAGTTTGAACCCGTTTGAAATGGGAGGATCTAAAGTTCCCAATTCCCCAACTGCCTTTTGTGCGAGCTCAGCAAACCCCAAACTGGAGGAAAACCAGGACATTCATCTTACAAACAATACAACAATGGGGTTTCAGCTGAAGGACAAAAAAATGGCAGAACTTCAAAGCCAAAAGTGTGAAGTCCTAACAGAAACTTTAGACCAAAACGTAATGGAAATTCTTCAAAACTTTGACGACATTCCAATTACCAAAAGTGGATCTTACAAATTTGACCCGGAGAATTTTGATGAGAGCTTCAACCCGTTTGAGAGCGGAGGTTCAAAGGTCCCCAACTCTCCTCTGTGTGAAAGACAGACCAATGTTAACCTTGGAAAGGATTTGAAACAAGAGCCGTTTGAATTTGATGAAACAAGCCAGACTAAATCTCCACCGTCAAAACTTACTCCTACAAAAACAAAGAGTGTGAAGCCAAAACAGCACATTCCAGAAATGACGTCAGATTTGGAAGCCTCGTCTTCCATGCCTTTGAATTTTGATGATATTCCCATCCCCAAAACCGGAGCGTACAATTTTGACCCTGAAAATGTTGACGAAAGTTCAGATCCGTTTTCTTGCGGAGGCTCCAAGATTCCAAACTCTCCTCCTCCATCCGAAACTGTTTCTTCTGAAGCAAAAGCTGTCATGTTGGAATTAGGACTGAATGAAAAACCAGTCGCCAAACCTCCACTGAAAAAGTGTGGCCCAAGAAAAACTGCAAGTAAAGTTAAGATAGAGAAAGAACTTGCGGAGATCCCTCAAGAGACGCCAACTTCACCAACAAACATTGACGATGTTCCCATCCCCAAGAAAGGATCGTACAATTTCGACCCCAAGAATTTTGATGAAACTTCAGATCCGTTTCCTAGTGGCGGTTCTAAGATTCCAAACTCTCCTCCTCTATCCGGAACTGTTTCTTCTGAAGCAAAAGCAGTCATGTTGGAAATCGAACTGGACAAAAAAACAGTTGCAAAACCTCCACTGAAAAAGTTAGGCCCAAGAAAAACTGCAAGTAAAGTTAAAAAAGAGAAGGTAGAACCTGTGGAGATCCCTCAAGAGACGCCAACTTCACCAACAAACATTGACGATGTTCCCATCCCCAAGAAAGGATCGTACAATTTCGACCCCAAGAATTTTGACGAAACTTCAGATCCGTTTTCTAGCGGCAGTTCTAAGATTCCAAACTCTCCTCTCCCATCTGGAACGGTTTCTTCTGAAGGAAAAGCAGTCATGTTAGAAATGGGACTGGACGAAAAACCAGTCGCCAAACCGCCACTGAAAAAGTTAGGCCCAAGGAAAATTGCGAGCAAAGTTAAAAAAGACAAAGTAGAACCTGTCGAGATCTTTCAAGAGACGCCAACTTCACCAACAAACATGGACGATGTTCCCATCCCCAAGAAAGGGTCCTACAATTTCGACCCTGAGAATTTTGACGACTGTTCAGATCCATTCCAAAGCGGAGGTTCTAAAATCCCCAACTCACCGAAGGATCCAATGGGTTTAGTCTTTGAGTTTGAAGAGAGTTTGGAGAAGGAACCAAAACCACCACAGAAACTGGAAGCAAGAAAAACATCTTCAAAAGGAAAACGGCTCAAAGGAGAGGAAGAGAGACCTGAGGCCGTGGCGAGAGATCCCTCAGAGCACAGGTGAGGCTTCTCATGTTTTCACTCAGTACTGACCCCTGGGAGCCCTCTCTGATGTTCTTTGATCCAATCTGAGGTTCTGTTTTCAGGCGCTACACTCCCACATCCACAGAGGAGACTCTGGTATGTTCCCGAAACCCCTTTCCCCTACCCTGCCCTCACCCCAGCCCTACCTTGACCTCAGCCCTACGCTGACCCCTAAACCCTGATTTTCTGGTACAAAGCAGGAGACACTGACAGCAGATGTCACCAAACATCAAACGGATGAGGAGAAACTAGCCTCCAGCTGTGAGAGGAGGAGCCCTGAGGGAGGAGGTGAGGAGGAGAGGGAGGAGACGAGGAAGGGGTGTGATGAGGGGGAGACAAAAAAAGGGCCGAGTCCAGAGGGAGGTCCTTTTTAGAACATGACCATGACCATCTCCAAACTGCTCGTTTTTCAGAAAGTCCTGAGGAGAAAAGCAAAGCTGGTGAGGAGGACACCTCCTCAATTCATCAGGAAGAGAAGATTTCCTGTCGGACTCATAAGGAGAAGGTGAGGATGAATGTCAGGATAGTGTCTCAAACATGAGGTGATCATATTTTTACTGTAACAGGAGCCGAAGCACTCAGAGGAGAACCTGGAGAAGTACCTGAAGACCACAGGGACCACAGAGACCACAGAGACCACAGGAACAAAAGGAACCAAAGAGACCACAGAGATCACAGGGACCACAGAACACAGATCCAGTCCTGGTTCAGACCCTGAGACTCAAAGTGAAATGGAAAAAGCAACAGTGCTGACACTCATCAGAGAAGAGGTACGTCTACTGTAGCCATTATGTGACTGTATGGACCAGAGAGAGGTCCTCCAGGTCCTGGTTCTGGAGTGAGGTTGAAATATTGATATTTGTTGTGCTTCAGATCTTATGTAAAGAGCTGGAGGTGCAGGAGTGGAAGAGGAGGTACGAGGAGAGCAGAGAGGAAGCCAACGACATGAGGTACTATACTACTACTAGTGCTACTTTTACCACCACTGCTGTTACTGTTGCTGCTGTTTCTACTAGTACTGCCACTGCTACTACTACTACTACTACTACTACTACTACTACTACTGCTACTGCTGACCCAAACCTCTGTGACCTCAGCTTTGTTTGGTTCTTGTTTTCAGGAAAATTGTAGCTGAGTACGAGCAAACGGTGGCTCAGATGATCGGTGAGTGACTGCCCCCTGCTGCATGCAGTAGTCTGACCCCTGCCCTGAGACCCCAGAGCCTTGACCCAAGACCCTTTACCTCTGCTCCTGTATGTTGACCCTGCCCCGACCGTTGACCTCTGACCCCACAGAGTGTTGTTTACAGTGTTGTGTTTTCACAGATTCAGAACAGAGTGTTTTCCCCGCCCCCTTCTCTGTGGCTCAGCTGACCCTCCAGAGGGACCAGGCGCTCGCTGACCTCTCCTCCGTTGAACGCTCCTTCTCTGAACTCTTCAGGAGATACGAGAACATGAAGCAAGTCCTGGAGGGTTTCAAGAAGGTAATCACCAAACCAGGTCCAGGGTTAGGGTTAGGGCTTTAGGAGAAACCAGACTTTGAAACCAACTTTGGTCCTGAGGGTAACTTCAGACTCAGAGGAGGGTTTCTTCTGGTTCAAAGAGCGAAAATCCTTACTTGAGGAGGTTCTGTCTGTTTCAGAATGAGGAGGTGCTGAAGAGCTGTGCTCAGGAGTATCTCCAGAGGATCCGACAAGAAGAGCTGAGATACCAGACTCTGAAGATACATGCAGAGGAGAAGCTACACAAGTGAGACAAGCACACACACACACATGCAGAGGTGAAGCTACACCAGTGAGACAAGCACACACACACACACACACACACATGCAGAGGAGAAGCTACACCAGTGAGACAAGCACACACACTCACACACTGAACACACAGAGACACACACTCACATGCAGAGGAGAAGCTACACAAGTGAGACACACAGAGACACGCACACTCAGAGAGACAGGCACACACAGACACAAATGCACACACAGCACAACTCTGACTATGCACATTTATAGACTCTCTCTCCTCCTCAGGGCGAACGAGGAGATCGCATTGGTTCGTTCCAAAGCCGCGGCAGAGTCTGTGGCTCTGAGCGCAAGCGTCCGGATGGAGCAAATGAAGGCGGCGTCTCTGGAGCGAGCGCTGGAGCAGAAGGTACCGGTACCACCTCTCTGCTCCTCCCTCCTGTGCCCAATTCTGAGGAGGAGGTCCCCCCACCCCCTCTGCTTCTCCCTCCTGTACCCAATACTGAGGAGGAGGGGTACCCTCAACCCCTCTGCTCAAACGCCCCGTTTAAGTAGAGGGGGTCAGGGTCAAGGCATCGCCATGGTAACTGGGACCCCCTATCTTCTTTTCTTTCAGAACCAGGAGATCGAGGAGCTGACAAAGATCTGTGACGAGCTCATCGCCAAGATGGGACCAGCCTAAACTGGGACTGGGATCGGACCAGGACCAATACTGGACTGGGACTGGATTGGACTGGTCCCAGATCAGAGTGGATCACAATTCAAAAGCACAAATAGTTGAAACTATCTTTGTTTTAATGTTTTTATCAAGTGAAGAATATGTTCATCAGAGCCAAAATGACACACTCATAGATGTGTTTATATTCTCCTACACCTGAGGCATCATCACTCCACCTTTGCCAAAACTTCTACCGATTGCTAACTTGATCTGTGGAGCGACAGGAGCGACCCTCAGGTGTTTGTATTTGTGCCAAAAGAGTTCAGCTCTGATTTTAATATTTAATGTGTTAAACTGTGTTATTGTTATGGAGGGAGCAGCGCCTGCAGTCAGAGCTCTACGTCCCCCACTCTCACCTCTGGTAATTAGGGAACAGCGTCTGCAGTCAGAGCTTTTGTTTTCAAGGTGTTCTTGGCCAGGTCTCCCTCATAAAAGAGATTTTATCTCAAGGGACTTCCTGGTTAAATAAAGGTTAAATAAATAAATAATAGTCCCCGCCTTCACCTCTGGTCATGACTTTGGGTGATGACTGAAATGAGCAGGTGCAGGCGGTCCACATGGGTTTCCTCTGCAGGGCTGGCCTGGGAAACTCTCAGGATTCACCCAGATGAGCAGGAGGAAGTGTGTGAACTGGGTGTATCTATTCAGACTGCTGCCCCCACAACCTGGCAATGGATAAAGCGGAAGAAAATGTATGGATTCTATTATGATGTTCTGAATAATGCTGCGTTTGTAACTTTGATGTTTACAGTAAATAAAGGATTTATTATACAAAAACACATAAACACCTCTGTCTGTTCCACTGCTGCATGTGGTAGAAGAGTCATGCTCCTCTCCTGCCACTAGGCGGAGTGTCGTCTCTTACTCAATTTCTTCAGCACTTTGTAAAACATTAAAACTCTGATACCGAGAGCGTCAAAGAGGATGTGTCCACATAAGGTCAAGAGTGGGCGCGGTCTGGGGCGTCCTGCGTGGGCCCCACAGTGACGCGCACGGGAGACACGGGACATCCCACTCATCTGATCGAGAGACACTGGAGAGCTGAGGAGACTCGGGACATCCTGATCTGACCCAGGCCAGAGTAAACAGACAGATACAGAGGGCATCTTTGTTGGACTGTTACATCTGGCACATGGGAAACAAAGATTTTCTAACGGAACTTAAACTGAAAAGTAAAGACACCTCACTGAGCCTCACAGGGGACACGGGAGCCAACGGAGCCTCAGCCGTGCGGGGGACACGGGAGAAAGACGCACATACCCCCGTGAGCTGCAGGGACCCGTTCTCCTGAAGATCATACAGAGTCCGGAGACAGAACACGGAGAGGACAGAGGTGCGCGGGAGTGGTGACGTTATAGCCAGGACCAGACTCAGAGGTGAGAAGTACTTTTACTGTTGTATGAGAAGTGGCTTCGTGTGTGTGTGAATTGAAATGGAATTAATTAACAGTGGTGATTATTGCAACAACAGAGACCGTGTCACGACCCAAATTTGACATGCAGACCAGAGAGAGAGGCCAGAGAGAGACCAGAGAGAGGGAGCAGAGAGAGAGACTATAGAGAGACCAGATAGTAATTAGAGAGTCCAGAGAGAGACCAGAGAGGGAGACAAGAGGGATGCCAGAGAGAGACCAGAGAGATGCCAGAGAGAGACCAGAGAGATGCCAGAGAGAGACCAGAGAGATGCTAGAGAGATGCCAGAGAGAGACCAGAGAGAGACCAGAGAGAGACCAGAGAGAGACCAGAGAGAGACCAGAGAGGGAGACAAGAGAGATGCCAGTGAGAGACCAGAGAGAGACCAGAGAGAGACCAGAGAGATGCTAGAGAGATGCCAGAGAGAGACCAGAGAGAGAGAGAGACCAGAGAGAGACCAGAGAGAGACCAGAGAGAGACCAGAGAGAGACCAGAGAGAGGCCAGAAAGAGACCAGAGAAAGATACCAGAGAGAGGCCAGAGAACATTCTTTGCTGACGAGACGTTGGTTTATTGTGTCTGTTTTTGGTCGGTGTGTTCACACTGAACACGCCTCTGCAAAAAGTCTTGGTCACAAGGCGGGTTAAAGGCCCCTGTGGGATTAGGAGGTGACCTAGGGCTTTGCTCAGGGGTAATGTTCTCTGTGATCAGGTGTTTCTCCTCCCCAGAAGCATGTGGGCCGTGGTGCTCCTGCTGTGCTGCCTCCCCCCCTGCTCCCTCTCCTCCCCCTCTTCTCCCTCCTCCGTCATCCGCCTCACTGGGGAGAGGAGGAAACCTCATGAGGGGCGAGTGGAGGTCCAGGTGAACGGTCAGTGGGGGACGGTCTGTGACGACGACTTCTCTCTGAGCGCCGCCCGAGTCGTGTGTCGCCAGCTTGGGTTCACGGACGCCGACAATTGGTCACCACGAGCCAAATATGGCCAAGGAAGTGGTGAGAGTATGCGCACACACACACACACACACACACACACCAACACACAGATACACACACATATGCAAAGATACACTTATACACGTACACGCGACATGACATAGTGATGGGTATGTAGTTTGAGAGAGCGGCCATAGGTCTTACAGAGCAGACTCTCACTGGGGTCAGCAGTCTCAGAGGGGGTCAGCAGTCTCACAGAGGTCAGCAGTCTCACAGGGGTCAGCAGTCTCAGAGCGGGTCAGCAGTCTCACAGGGGTCAGCAGTCTCAGAGGGGGTCAGCAGTCTCACAGGGGTCAGCAGTCTCAGAGGGGGTCAGCAGTCTCACAGGGGTCAGCAGTCTCAGAGGGGGTCAGCAGTCTCACAGGGGTCAGCAGTCTCACAGAGGTCAGCAGTCTCACGGGGGTCAGCAGTCTCAGAGAGGGTCAGCAGTCTCACAGGTCAGCAGTCTCACAGGGTCGGTGGTCTCTGCAGGTCACATCTGGCTGGATAACGTGCACTGCTCGGGTTTGGAGAAGTCTCTGTTGGACTGCCCGTCAAACGGAGTGGGCGTGACCGACTGTAAACACTCAGAGGACGTGGGCGTGGCCTGTGTGCAGAAACGCATCGCAGGATTCTCATTCCTTCAGACGCCGAGTGAACAGGTACTGACCAGAGAGAGACCAGAGACTGACCAGAGACTAACCAGAGACTAACCATAGAGGGAGACCAGAGAGGAAGACCAGAGATTCACCGGAGAGAGACCAGAGCGAGCCCAGAGAGAGACAAGAGAGAGACCACAGAGTAGTAGCAGCAGCACGCAGCAGTGGCAGTGGCAGCAGCACGCATCAGTAGTAGTAGTAGCAGCAGTAGTAGCAGCAGTAGTAGCAGCACTAGTAGCAGTAGTAGCAGTAGTAGCAGCAGTAGTAGCAGCAGTAGTAGCAGTAGTAGCAGCACTAGTAGCAGTAGTAGCAGCAGTAGCAGCAGTAGCAGCAGCAGCAGTAGTAGCAGTAGTAGCAGCAGTAGCAGCAGCAGCAGTAGTAGCAGTAGTAGCAGCAGTAGCAGCAGTAGCAGCAGCAGCAGTAGTAGCAGTAGTAGCAGCAGTAGCAGCAGTAGTAGCAGTAGTAGCAGCAGTAGTAGTAGCAGTAGTAGCAGTAGTAGCAGCAGTACCAGCAGTAGTAGCAGTAGTAGCAGCAGTAGTAGCAGCATTAGTAGCAGTAGCAGCAGTAGTAGCAGCACTAGTAGCAGTAGTAGCAGTAGTAGCAGCAGTAGTAGTCCTCTCCTCTCACTCCCTTGGTATGTGCCTCTTATGTAACCTGAAACTCCTGCTGATGTTATAAACACAAACTGTTTATGATTCTGAATACAGAACTGTTCCTCTCCATAAGTGAGAGTCCAGTGTGTCCTTGGCCTCCGGCTGGGCCTCCTGTTGGGAGCAGGAGGGTTGCTGCACGAACAGCAGCTAGATGCTGGAGGACTGAGAGGCTCTGTTTAAATGCAGCTGAGGGAAGACTCAGGTGCGAGACTGAGGGAGGACTCAGGTGCGAGACTGAGGAAGGACTCAGGTGCGAGACTGAGGGAGGACTCAGGTGCGAGACTGAGGGAGGACTCAGGTGCGAGACTGAGGGAGGACTCAGGTGCGAGACTGAGGAAGGACTCAGGTGCGAGACTGAGGGAGGACTCAGGTGCGAGACTGAGGGAGGACTCAGGTGCGAGACTGAGGGAGGACACAGGTGCGAGACTGAGGGAGGACCTAGGTGCGAGACTGAGGGAGGACTCAGGTGCGAGACTGAGGGAGGACCTAGGTGCGAGACTGAGGGAGGACCTAGGTGCGAGACTGAGGGAGGACTCAGGTGCGAGACTGAGGGAGGACCTAGGTGCGAGACTGAGGGAGGACTCAGGTGCGAGACTGAGGGAGGACACAGGTGCGAGACTGAGGGAGGACCTAGGTGCGAGACTGAGGGAGGACCTAGGTGCGAGACTGAGGGAGGACTCAGGTGCGAGACTGAGGGAGGACTCAGGTGCGAGACTGAGGGAGGACTCAGGTGCGAGACTGAGGGAGGACTCAGGTGCGAGACTGAGGGAGGACTCGGGTGCGAGACTGAGGGAGGACTCGGGTGCGAGACTGAGGGAGGACACAGGTGCGAGACTGAGGAAGCGGGTGGAGAGCTTGGGGCTCTCAAGGACCATCCAATCTTTCAGTCTGAATTTAGCTATAGCTGCATTTGTTTCTCTACAATCTCAGTCTGTGACATCACAAGTTTATGTTTCTGAGAAAAAAAACCTTAACTGGGGCAGCTGCACACACAAACACACACTCACAATGGGTCTTGACCTCAGCCTCCTCTGAATCTGTCTTTGTGTTCAGGGCATCATGGTGGTTAGCTCTTGTGCTTCACAGCAAGAAGGTCCTGAGGGGACCACCTCCAGACAGGAACGTTCTGTGTGGAGTTTGCATGTTCTCCCTGTGTCTGGGGTTTACTGTAATCTTACTCCAGGTTCTCTGGTTTCCCCTACCACTAAAAACATGTACTAACATTTTTCAGCTCTGGGCTCAAGACCTGACTGAGATTTGAACCCAGACCTTCACTTTCTCCAGAACAGTGTCTAACTTTGATGAGTCACACTGGAAATGAACGTGTTCCTTCTCTGGCCCGTGCCCTGTCCTCCTACCTCCTCAGATTGCTTCCTCCCCCCTCCCTCCTCTGACCACCTCCTCCCCCTCCCTCTTCTGACAGCCTCCTCCTCCTCCTCTGGTCCGAGTCTGAAATGTTTTTCCACTTGTGCAGAAACGCTCACAGCTCTGTGCACGAGGGGGGGTTTGAAGTGAGAGTAAAACATTGTGTGTGTGTGTGTGCGTGTGAGTGGTAGGGGGCAATGATGATGATACAGAGTTTCCTCCTGATCTCAGACATTCTTTTGGACTGATGCAAACAGAGGAAACCACCTCTGAGACACAGACACACACACACACACACACACACACACACACACACACACACACACCGATACATATTATGAGGAAACCACTGTTGGAACATTTACCAGAGTCTGTCTGGTCTGACACCTCAGACCTCAGCTTCTGTGGGAGAACCAGACACACACACAGAGACACACATAGACACACACACACAGCAAACTCCAGCTTGCTAAGGCACTCTGAAGTTTGCCCGTGAATGAAGGTATCTGATTGGTTATCTTTATATGGCTCAGATCTGGATTAACAAAGACAATATCACAAACACCAGGATCACAGAGAGCACAGAGAGCACAGATTAAAGCCAGAAATGGTGAGTGTGACAAATACTGTTACTGAGCTAGAGGAGTTGGAGCCAAACTTCACTGAGAAGTTTACATCTCAAAGCTGTGGTAGGTCCCACCATGAGGTGCACACCCCTCAGGTCTTCAGGTTCAGACTGGACTGTCTCACGTCCTCTGGATGCTCTTGTTTCAGCAGCAGAAGGTCCAAGTGCAGGATGTCCGGCTGAGGGCCACCTACTCTCAGCGGCAGCGAGTCCCCATCACTGAGGGCTTCCTGGAAGTGAAGGATTCTGGGAAATGGAGGCAGATCTGTGACGTAAATTGGAGCCCTAGAAACAGCCGTGTGATCTGTGGCATGTACGGGTTCCCGTCAGACAAGCGCTACAATGCCAAGCCCTACAAGTGAGTCCTAATGCTGCTACTGCTAGTACTGCTGCTACTGCTGCTGATGCTAGCCCTAACCCTCAGTCCTGGAGCTTTAGCCTCAGTCCTGGATCTACAGCCTCAGTCCTGGAGCTTTAGCCTCAGTCCTGGATCTACAGCCTCAGTCCTGGAGCTTTAGCCTCAGTCCTGGATCTACAGCCTCAGTCCTGGAGCTTTAGCCTCAGTCCTGGATCTACAGCCTCAGTCCTGGAGCTTTAGCCTCAGTCCTTTCTATTTGTTAATTCCTCTGAACATTTGTGGATCTGTCAGTCTTTGCTGCTTTGACTTGATGGACACCAACCTGTGACCTCAGACCTGTGTTGTGTGACCTGTGTAGACTGCTGGCATCGAGGCGGAAGAAGAACTTCTGGTCGCACTCGGTGAAGTGCTCTGGGAACGAGGCGTCTCTGTCAGAGTGTGTCCTGGGTCCAGACATCCCCCTAAGGGGGAACCTCACCTGCTCTGAGGGAACTCCTGTGGTCGTCAGCTGTGCCCCAGGACCAGCCTTTGCCCCCAGTGGGAACAGGAGCTACAGGAAGGCCTACAGACTGGAGGTGAGGACCAGGACCTGAGACTGACCAGGACCAGGGCAGAGCAAGGCCTACAGGCTGAGAGACCAGAGAGAGAGCTTCCTCAGTGTACCTCCTCTTTGTCCTGTGTTGTTTGTTCCATAGTTGCAGCTGTTGAGACTTGTGTCGTAAATTTTAAGATCTTGAAACATTGTGTCATCCTGCTGATCACTAACACGTCTATATTTCTCTGGTCTATGTCTCTCGTCTCTTGTCTCTCTCCCTGCTCTCTCTTTCTATCTAGTCTCTCTTGAATCCCTCTCTCTGGTCTCTCTCTCACTTGCTGCTCACTTGTCTCTCTCTGGTCTCTCTCTCTGGTAGTCTCTTGTCTAACCCCCTCTCTCCCCACAGCAGCCCCTGGTCCGGCTCAGGGGAGGGGCTAAACTCGGGCAGGGTCGAGTGGAGGTCCTGAAGAACGGCCAGTGGGGCTCGGTGTGTGACGACCTGTGGGACCTGACCGCGGCCAGTGTAGTCTGCAGAGAGCTGGGGTTCGGGAGCGCCAAGGAGGCCCATGGAGGGGCACGCATGGGCCAGGGTGAGGGAGGACCTTTAGACGTGTGGTATTTATGAGGCTAAAAATCGCAGCCAAAGAAAGGAGAGCTCTCAACAAGGTGCTCCGCTCTGCAAAGAGGACTGTGAGCTGTGAGCTGCCTGTTCTGGAGGTTCTTAATGAATCCAGACTTAAACTGAGCTCTTAGAATAATCAATGACTCTTCTGGCCCCTAGAAAAGCCATGTTCCAGCTTCTTCCCTCTGGTAGAAGATTTTGTTCATTGGACAACTTGTTTTGCTTCTATCCACAAGCTCTAACCTGCAGTTTAAGCAAAGCACTTTAATGATCTTACACTTTAAACTGTTTTTGTTTAGCGATTTCACAGTGACAATTGTTGTCTGCACTTTTTTTTTAGCTTGTTTTATTCCTGTAGTTGTCTGGTGCACACTGGGGACTAAAACCACATTGGAATGCAAATGGATTCCAATGTGGTTTTTCCTGCAAATGAAAAATAAAATGAATCTGATACATAAAGTTACGTACCCCAGTTTTGAATGTGTTATTAAAGAGACTAAAGTTACATACACCAGCTTTAGACAACAATTGGGGGAAAAAAACTGGTGAAAATGATCAGATGTGAAATATGTTTCTGATTCAGAGGAATTCAGGTCTGGATCTGGACCAACAGTCTGGACCTGGACCAGAATGTTGTCCTCGTCTGAACCTGCCTCTAAAGAAGGTCTGGTTTCAGGTCTGGGTCCAGTCCACATGAGTCAGGTCCGCTGCTCTGGGTTTGAGAAGTCTCTGACCGATTGTCACTTCCTCTCGGAGACCACAGACTGCAGCCATGAGGAGGACGCCGCCGTCAGCTGCTACGTGCCCCACATGGACTACGGCAAACGGGTAAGGCCCAGCAGGCACCTCTCAACCCCCTTAGACCAGAGCAGACCACATAAGGAATTTTGGCTCGGATGAACTGGGTGTTGGGGATCTGATGAACACCTCTGTGCCCGTAGCTGCGCCTGGCTGGTGGTCGTAACCCATTCGAGGGCCGTGTGGAAGTCCTGGAGAAGAGGAACGGGTCTCTGGTCTGGGGCTCGGTCTGCAGTGAGGGCTGGGGGACTCTGGAGGCTGTGGTGGTCTGCAGGCAGCTCGGACTAGGTTACGCTTCACATGCCTTCCAGGTATGAGCAGGCTAACAAACTACATGCTACACACACCTTCTAGGTATGTTCTTGCTACATGCTAACAAGCTACACGCTAAAATGCTACATGTTAACATACTACACACGCCTTCTCAGGTATGAGTACACTACGCCTTCCAGCTGCAAGTGTGCTAAACACAGCACAGTCTCAAAGTCCAACAGCCTCAGTTACAGTCCTCTTTTGCAGTACTCCAGTCTCAGTACTCTAGTACTCTGTATTTTGTTACAGTACTCCCTCACAATACTCTGTTACAGGAGACTTGGTACTGGCCAGCTCAAGGCACAGACGCAGTACTTCTCAGTGGAGTGAAATGTTCCGGAACAGAACTGACTCTGGATCAGTGTTTTCACCACGGGACAAACATCCAGTGTCCGAGAGGAGGAGGACGGTACTCAGCCGGTGTCTCCTGTACACACAGTGAGTATCACTACTACTACTACTACTACTACTACTATTTACTACTAATACTACTACTTATCCCCCCCCCCCCAGTGGCCCCAGACCTGGTCCTGAGCCCTGCCGTAGTGGAGCAGACCTCATACCTTGAGGACCGCCCCCTCTACGCTCTGACATGTGCCCTGGAGGAAAAGTGTCTGTCAAGCTCCGCCCACTCTGCCGACCCACACTCCAACCGCCGCCTGCTGAGGTTCTCCTCCCGCATCCATAACACAGGCCAATCAGACTTCAGGCCCAGGAGCGGGCCCCAGGAGTGGGTGTGGCATGAGTGTCACAGGTAGGACAAGAAAAACACAGGGACACACAACTAGATATAACTACTCAAAAATACACACACTGGCCCTCATTTATGAAACTTGCGTACGGCCAAATCAGGGTGTAAATGAGGAGTGTGCGTAGGGAACGCACAAATTATGCGTACCCTAGGAGGTGGTGTATATTTACACCCATCTCAACCTTCATCACAACACGCAAAAAACACGCATGAAATACAATATTTAGAGAACAATAAACATATTCCCACTCAAAATTATAAGCTGCGTTTCCATTGAGCATCAGATTGTGAAAATTGCGCATCAGAAAATTTCAGACTTTCAGACCGCCAACACTGGAACGCTGAAGCCTCGCTCACAAGACGCACATTCCCGAGTTTTCAGACTCAGGGGTCTTCAGACCAGAAGTCCTGGCGCGCGCCGGAAGTGGCGGAAGTAGCCGGCGGGCTATGATGCTAACAGAGTTTAGCTAGCGGCTTCTTGTGTACAGATCTTCTCCAATAATGCAGCTTTGCAGCGTGTCTGTGTTCAGAGACCTTCCACGGACTATATATAACAGTAGTATGTGTTCACGGAGGTGCGCAATAAGTTTATTTTATTATTAAACGGTACTTCCGCATCGGCCTACACACTCGAAGCAGTTGCATAAGGTCACGGGAGCATGACAACGCATATATTCACAAGCACACAGTCCCCCATTGTCAACCCTGGTTTAGTCCTGGTTTAGTTCTGGTTTAGTTCTGGTGTAGCTCCTGTTTTGGTTGTTTACAGTATTTTCAGTCTGCTAATCACTAATGTCCCCATGACCACTTTGCGGCTCTCTGATTGGTCGCTGCACGAACGTCCTAAGGAAAGGTTGAGCAAAATTCATCTCCTGCGTTCCTCCCCTTTGACTTCCCCGCGCAGTCTGTGCGTGCATTCTGAGACGCTCGAACGCGCGTCACCGTTGACTTTGCATTGAAAGCCGACGCAATGCATGATCCGGTCTTAACGCGGCATAATGGAAACACTCAAATTTTGAATAAATCACAGCTCCTGATTTGGACCCTCTTCTGTTTCTTCGGTTTTAAATCTGACTTGTATGTGTATTATTTTTAGCTGTATCTTTTTTAAATGTGAAGCGCTTTGTGATCCTGGTCTGTGAAAGGCGCTATACAAATAAACGCTACTTACTTACTAACTTAACAGGGTTGTGTGACCCATCTATTGCTCCATAAATCTGTGGCAGGCCCTGCGCTGCATAATTATGCATGGCTATTTATTTTGTTTTGTTTTTCACATCTGTCAAAGCAATGTATTTTTCAATAGTTTTGTGCATAAAGCCACACACACCCCATAAACAATGGACTGTGGTCTTGCTCACTCCAAATGTCTCACTGCCGTGTCCACATGTAGCAGTTTATAGATAGGATGGAAACGACTTATCTCTTGGGCAGTGCGCAGCTTGTTTGACATAATATAGTGAATATTTCTTTTTAAACAAACATGAACAAACTGAACGTTTCAGGAGTGCGTGTCCTTTTGAGGCTCCTGGCCTGTCTTCCATTCAGCATGTCGCAAAAATGGGGCGTGAAACAGGCGGTTTCTGAATATTTATAGGCGTGACTTTCATAAATATGTTTGTTTTCAGCCACTGCATTCATCAACAGCTGCAGGTGCTTACGCTCGGATCTGACCGGATCTCACACGTTCATAAATCCCACGCTGGATCTAGCGTATTTGGAATATACACCTAAAATATACACCCTTTTCTGCGCAAGTTTGATAAATGAGGGCCACTGAGTCTTCAAATGAAACGTGCTATTTAAATATAGGCTTCTCTGATTGGCTGCAGACACTACCACTCCATGGAGGTGTTCACTCACTACGACCTACTGAGTCTCAACGGAACCAAGATGGCGGAAGGACACAAGGCCAGCTTCTGTTTGGAGGACACGCACTGTGACGAAGGTACTGCTAATTCTACAGCTACTACTGCTAGTACTGGTACTGGTACTACAGCTGGTAGTGGTACTGTTACTAGAACTGCTGTCCTGCAGGGATCGAGAAGAGGTACGAGTGCGCTAACTTTGGGCAGCAGGGCGTCTCTGTCGGCTGCTGGGACACGTACCGACACGATATCGACTGTCAGTGGATCGACATCACCGACTTGAGCCCCGGGGACTACATCCTACAGGTCAGAGGTCAGGGACTACAGATCAGAGGTTAGGGACTACATCCTACAGGTCAGAGATCAGGGACTACATCCTACAGATCAGAGGTCAGGGACTACAGGTCAGAGGTCAGGGACTACATCCTACAGGTCAGAGATCAGGGACTACATCCTACAGGTCAAAGGTCAGGGACTACATCTTACAGGTCAGAGATCAGTGACTACATCCTACAGGTCAGAGATCAGGGACTTCATCCTACAGGTCAAAGGTCAGGGTTTACATCCTACAGGTCAGAGATCAGGGACTACATCCTACAGGTCAAAGGTCAGGGACTACATCCTACAGGTCAGAGATCAGTGACTACATCCTACAGGTCAGAGATCAGGGACTACATCCTACAGGTCAAAGGTCAGGGACTACATACTACAGGTCAGAGATCAGTGACTACATCCTACAGGTCAGAGATCAGTGACTACATCCTACAGGTCAAAGGTCAGGGACTACATACTAGATCAGTGACTACATCCTACAGGTCAGAGGTCAGGGACTACATCCTACAGGTCAGAGGTCAGGGACTACATCCTACAGGTCAGAGATCAGTGACTACATCCTACAGGTCAGAGGTCAGGGACTACATCCTACAGGTCAGAGATCAGTGACTACATCCTACAGGTTAGAGGTCAGGGACTACAGGTCAGAGGTCAGGGACTACATCCTACAGGTCAGTGACTACATCCTACAGGTCAGAGATCAGTGACTACATCCTACAGGTCAAAGGTCAGGGTTTACATCCAACAGGTCAGAGATCAGGGACTACATCCTACAGGTCAGAGGTCAGGGACTACATCCTACAGGTCAAAGGTCAGGGTTTACATCCAACAGGTCAGAGATCAGTGACTACATCCTACAGGTCAGAGGTCAGGGTTTACATCCTACAGGTCAGAGGTCAGGGACTACATCCTACAGGTCAGAGGTCAGGGACTACATCCTACAGGTCAGAGATCAGGGTTTACATCCTACAGGTCAGAGGTCAGGGACTACATCCTACAGGTCAGAGACTACATCCTACAGGTCAGAGGTCAGGGACTACATCCTACAGGTCAGAGGTCAGGGTTTACATCCTACAGGTCAGAGGTCAGGGACTACATCCTACAGGTCAGGAGGTCTCGTGTTCGAGACCAGAGCGATTGGACTGAAGGGATGGGCTCTCTCCGTGTGATTAGATTAACAGGGTGGGTTCTCTGTGATTGGACTGAAAAGGTGGCCTCTCTCTGCAGGTGGTGATAAATCCTTACTTCGAAGTCGCCGAGTCGGATTTCTCCAACAACGTGATGAAGTGTAACACAAGATATGACGGCCACAGAGTGTGGACATACAACTGCCACACAAGTGAGACACACACACACCGCACACTAACACATTTTTTAAAGGGAATAACATGGGAAATTAAGTCCAGTCCCAACTGCTGACATTACCCTAACCCTATACTCCCTCCCCCACGCTGTGTACCGTGTCACCCTGTTGGGTACTGTGTGTGAAATTACTAAAAATAAATATGGGTAGTATTTTACGCGGTACAAGGGTTAGTAATGTGCGTTACAATTTCATTTTTGGTTAAAATGCAATGTATTTTGTTTTATTACTATGCCACCGCGAGATCAGAAGAGAAAAAAATAAATGGTGCCAATAGTAGCCACCTAGAATTTTTTTTTCCCTTTGTTGACGTTGGCTGAAACTGAAGCAGGCATGACAGAATATAGTATATTATCACGATGGCCATACTCTCATTATTGAGTTTGTTGGAGACAATGATGTGCAGAACATAACATTTAAGTGCACTTTATTTGCGGAACCCAAAGCTCATCAACCTCACACAAGAGCATTCTAGCTACATTTAATATGTATATATTAAAATTAAAAGCAATGCCGCAGTAGTAAAATGCTTTACAATTCAGACAGAAATATTGTATAATAACACATTACTTTGAAATACCAGACGTTTTTCAGTAACTTGCCCAACACTGGTCCCTGTAGAGTACTGTGCGTGTCCCCCTGGACAGGGCTGTCCCTTGTGGACGGAAGAAACACTTAACTACAATGTGTCTTTTATTCAACAGAAAATAAACCAATGTTTAAGTCAGACACAGGATCCTCCTCAAACGTAAACATCAGAACGTCCAGTCAACAGGTCGCAGATCAGACCTCACAAGGGGCTCAATTTTCCCACTCTGGAACAGAAAATGATATAAGGTCAGCTTGTGGAGAAGTAAACTTTATTTTTATACAACGGCCTCCCCCACAGAGAGATGGCTCAGTGACAGCCCCAGAACCTCACAGCTCTAGAAAAATACCCTTTGTGACTGAGGGGAGTTTTGTTTTTGGTCAAATATTGATTTCCTTTGTTATACGAATAAACACAACACACAATGTGGTTTTCTGGAGTTTGTCACAAAATTAGAGCTCTCTGTACCTGACACCAGAGGAAATTTGTGACTTCTCCTTGACCTGACCTCTGTGTGACCTCTTTGATTGACAGGTGGATCCCTCAGTTCTGACACTGACGATTTGTTCCCGGGGCTTTTGACCAATCGGATCACTCACAGGTAGAAGAGAGCAGCCAATCAGACGACACGACTATGAGGAGGCCGTGAAGCTGTATATGTAACCCTTGACCTTGGACCACCTCTTAGAACCCTTCCAACAGAGACACATGTGGTTGTGTTGCCATGTTCAACTTCCCACAGTGATACGTATGGGTGCATTGCCAGGTTCAAAACTGTACAAAACCAAAGACTGTAAAAACATGAAAAGGCTGTGACCGTTTGAGTTACACATATTTTTGTCTAAATACATTTGAAAAAAAATTGTGTGTGTTTTCTTAAAGATTTAAAGCTGGGATACATACATAACTTTAGTTTCATAAAAACACCCTCATTACCTCTGGTCACGCCCCGTCAGCCCCAGCGCTCGGGAGACCATCCTCTGTGCAACCGCAGCATCTGTGCGTGGACGCGGCTTCATCGGCAGCAAGAACTCTGCAACACAGACAACACACACACACACACACACACACAAACACAAACAGTGAGATCCACAAACGTGAGTCTCTGTCCAGAAGAGGGCATACTATGTGATAGTATGTGGGGGACACAGACCTGATCGGCGGAGGGCCTTCCCCTTGCTCTTCTTGCTGGCCTGGGACAGGGGACGGGTCTTCAGTAGCGGGTGAGTGATAGACAGGGCCTCTAGAGCTGAGGTCAGAGCACAGGGTCAGTCCTCAGAGTGTGATACTGGAGGAGGGAGTCAATAAAACCTTTAACACAATGGTCAAGGCGAGGCCCATCCCTGCTTAGCTTCAGTGGTATCACAGCCTGGTCTCCCATCCCAGCCTTGAACAGGTCCATCCCTGCTTAACTTCACTCACCTGCAGCTTCATTGGAGAACACTGCCAGAGCATGGGTGTCATCCACCCACATGATCTTCATTCCAGAAGCACTGAGGAGACAAGACCAAGGACTCTGGTCAGACCAAGGACTCTGGTCAGACCAAGGACTCTGGTCAGACCAAGGACTCTGGTCAGACCAAGGACTCTGGTCAGACCAAGGACTCTGGTCAGACCAAGGACTCTGGTCAGACCAAGGACTCTGGTCAGACCTGAGACTAGTTCAGAGAAAGATTCCTGGCCTGGTTTTTGTCTCAGTCCTGGTACAGATTCAAGCCTTGGTCCTGGTCTCAGACCTCATCCCAGACCTCGTCCTGGTCTTGGTTTCATCCCTAGTCTCAGATCTTGTCCTGGTCTCGATCTAGGTCCAGACCTGTACTGGCAGAGAGCATCTTTCAGATCCTCAGTGGTGAAGATCGCGGGGAAATCATGGATCTCGATGACGTGGTTGAACTCTTCGGTTGACGTCGAAACTAACCCAAAAGACGAAAAGTCGTTTTTTACCAAAACGAGACGAAAGGATGAGCCAGGTCTGAGCAAGGGCCGAACCTGTTTAAAAAGAGACGACCCGAATGAGCAGAGCCCGAATCCTCTGTCTCCTATACTAACCTCAAAAAAAGGAACCTCCAATTTTCTATCCTAACGGCCAATAAAGGAACGTCCCCAGTTCTCCATGCTGACAGCTAATGAAATGTATTCCTCACCTCCTCACAGACTTCCTCAGTGCCCAAGTCCAGGCCCTCTGAGACGGCCGTTGCTGCTTCTTCCACACTTGCATCCCCACACCTCAAATACACAAACTCAGACAGCACAGTGACCTCAGCAGAAGATTTCACGGTTGAACCTTTTTTGTTGCCTGGCATACACAAGCTGTACTCGTCCCAGACCTCCGCTTCCATCTGCAGTGTGTCACAAGATGAGTTTGCAGAATCGTCAGTGTGCTCTCTGTCTCCACAAGTTGACATAGCGTCCGAGTCGCGGTTTAGTTGAACGTCCACTGGATCTCCTTCTTCTGTAATGTTGGTGCCAGTGTGCGTTAGCCTCTCCTTTGTAAGCGGCACATCTATTATCTCCCTTAGCCCCTCGTTAGCCTGCGTTAACTTCTCACTCTTCGCCAAGTACTCAATATCCTGCGTTTGCCTCTCACCCTTTGTTAGCTCCTTGTTCGGGGCAGTGAGCCTTTCACTCTCCGTTAGCTCATTGTTAGCCTGCTTTAGCTGCTCGGTCTTCTTCAGGTCCTTGTTCGAGGCTATGGGTCTCTCCCGTGCAGCTCTGGGCTGGTACAGAGGCCGGTCGGGTCTTTTCCAACTCTTCTTTGTCGAGTTGTTTTTGAGCTGTAGTTTTGTTCCTTTGACGTTGGGGCTAACACCGCAGCTCTCCACGTTGTCGTCCGGTTTTAATTCAGCCCTGACAATCATGAGGCGAGAAGAAACAGGGGTTGGGGTTAGAAGTGCTCTTCTATCAGCTTTCCTTCAGTCGTCTCCAGTTAAACAGCTCTTCTATCGTGTAGAACATGGTAGAGTTCTTACCGGAGGAGCCAGGAGCAGACCAGGACCCTGCGGAGGACCCCCTCCCCCACAGAGAAGGAGCAGAGCTGAGGACACTCCTCCACCGTCCTGTGGGTGAGATAACGCAGCCTGGAGGGCAGAGGGGGGAACAGCAGCAGCCTGAACACACACAGCACAGGAGTTATCTACAGTGCCAACTGTCCCCGCATGCTCTGCTCAGACCACAGTGGCCCCTGTCAATGTTAAATATAGGTCTCTTAAAACAAAGTGTACGGAGGTCAGAGTCACAGTGTTCTGAGAACAATATTCTGAAGAGTGTTACCTGTCTGCGTGGTCCTTCTGGTCAAGCGCCTCCAGTTCTTCCAACACCAGAAGCACAAACTCATTCTCCTGTTGGGACAGAAACACGCCGTCGAGGCACGGGACCGCCAGGGTGACTCGGGTCAACACGACACACCTCCACAAGAGAACTCAGGTCAACACGACGCACCTCCACAAGAGGACTCAGGTCAACACGACGCACCTCCACAAGAGGACTCAGGTCAACACAACACACCTGCACAAGAGGACTCAGGTCAACACAACACATCTGCACAAGAGGACTCAGGTCAACACAACACACCTGCACAAGAGGACTCAGGTCAACACAACACACCTGCACAAGAGGACTCAGGTCAACACAACACATCTGCACAAGAGGACTCAGGTCAACACGACACATTTACACAATATGACTCAGGTTAACACGACATGCAGCACAAGGGTCGGACATGGTCATTAAAATCTTTATACACGTGCATAATCCACAGGGAGACAGTGGGCTGTGCTGTGTTGACATGTTAGCATCACAGCACTATCGCGACTCTCAGATCTCTCTCTCTAGTCTGTATCCCTCTCTGGACTCTCTCACTGGTCTAAACATCACCTCAGATTAAACACGAGTTTCTTGCAGTCAGTTTTGTACAGCAAAAGTGGGAAAGAGACGCGGAGCCAGTTAGCTGCGAACCGAGGTTAGTATTATTTAGGATGAGTATCGGAAGTGGATGGGAGTCGGGATGCCAGTTTGGTGAAATCCAGCCGGTTTGGTCAATATCCAAAACCACATACTGAAGTGTAAGTGGGTCTACACCATGGATCTATAATAATAACGGTCTACACCTACACAGCCCATGGCCAGACAGTAGATATGGTTAGTGTAGTATACATCTATTGTAAAACAGTATAATAATATTTGTGTTGACTCAGTACGTGTTGTTTTTCTGATGATCTGGCTACCCGGACTCGCACAGACAGAAGCGACATAAACAGCTCTTTCTCAGGTAAAATAACTCCTCATTCTCCTCGGTCTCGGTGTGTTTGGGCCAGAGACAGGCTCAGGCTGGAACCACTGATGTTCTCCAGGTGTTCTTCCTCTGTAAGCAGTGGAACACTCGCAGTTTAAGATTAAGTCTGGTGTTAGCCTCTTTGCCTTTTACGTCAAGCGAACGATAACAGGAAGGAGAGCTACCTCAATCAAACCTCAAACCCAATGTGGGCCAACTATGTGCGGAACACGGAACAGGACGTATCTCCACGTTACGTGAAATAGAAACAAGGATTAAACAGGCAAGCGGTCCGTTTGTGGCGAGTATGCTAGCTGTTAGCATGTAGCTTGGCCCTGTGCACAAGAGTCTGTCCTGCAGGGCATGGGTAAAACTCGTATAAATGATACAAATGTGAATAAGTCATGATCAACACGTGTCTCCGCAACAGGTTTATGAAATATAATGATTAGAGATATTTGACTTATCACATGTGTATTATCGTCAAGTGCTCTCTCTGCAGCTCTCACACCATGACCCGACATGGTAAGAACTGCACGGCAGGCGCGGTCTACACGTACCATGAGAAGAGGAAGGACACGGCGGCCTCGGGCTACGGCACTCAAAGCGTGCGGCTCGGGAAGGACGCCATCAAGGACTTCGACTGCTGCTGTCTGTCCCTGCAGCCGTGTACTGACCCAGTGGTTACACCTGAGGGGTACCTGTATGACAAACAGGTATGTGTCTGTGTGTAGGCCATACCGTGCATCCCGTGTGTGTCTCATTGTGTGTTTGTGTAGGACACACTGGAGTACCAACTGTGTGTATTTGTGTTTAGGCCATACTGGAGTACATCTTGCATCAGAAAACTCAGATCTCTAAACAGATGAAGGCGTACGAGAAACAGAAGCAGAAACTGAACAAAGAAGAAGAGAGCAGCAGCAAGAGCCAACATAACCACAAGGTACATACTCACACACTTCCCTGTAACCCCACACGCACGTTTCCTTCTTTTGTCTCATGTCCTCTATCTCCTCAGTTTAACCCTCTTGTCTCTTTATCTCCAGTCTTGCACTCTGTGGTGTTGTCTCTGGTCTCTTCTCAGTGCTCGTGTCTCTGTGTGTCCCAGGTGGAACAGTTCAAGACCAGTGAAAGCAGTATTGTGTCAAAGCCCATAAACCCGTTCTCTCCTCGGACAGAAGAGGGCGCTGTGGCAGCTGCTGTTAGTGTGGCAGGCAGCAGTAAGTCTCTGCCAAGTTTCTGGGTGCCGTCTCTGACGCCAGAGGCCAAAGCGTCCCCTGTGGTGAAGCCGCGTAAGACCGTGCTGTGCCCCATGTCGGGCCGTCCTCTGCGCATGGACACCCTGACGCCTGTGCGGTTCACGCCTCTTGACCCATCCCTGCGGCGAGAGCAGCTGCTCGGGCGACAGGAGCGCTACGTGTGTGCTGTGACCCGCGACGCACTGGGGAACAGCGTACCCTGCGCCGTGCTGCGACCGTCTGGAGCCGTGGTGACACAAGAGTGTGTGCAAAGGCTGATCCGCAAAGACATGGTCGACCCAACAACTGGTGACCAGCTGAAGGACAGCGACATCATCCTGCTGCAGCGTGGCGGCACGGGCTACGCTGGCTCAGGAGTGGAGCTGAAGGCCAAGGAAGCGCGGCCTGTCATGCAAGCTTGAGGGTGCTTCCACATGTAAGCAGTCATGTTCAGAGAAGGCTGAAACCCTGTCCACCTAAACATGAGCTTAAAGCTGGGATATTTTTGTTATTGAGAAGTTAGATTTCACATGTATGTTTGGTCTCTGTCACAGCTTTAGATCCGACAGGAAAGTGAAAAAGAGAAGACTGCTTTAACTCAACCAATCAGCTCTCAGCCCAAAGAGTCAAATAGTGACTCACCAGGGCTCTTTCTTGCACAAAAGCGAACATGAAGACAGGATGACAAACGTCATGGAATTTGAGACTAAAGTTATGTACCTCAGCTTTAATCTTTGTTTTTTCACTGATATATTGGTTTGTTCAGAATATTGTACAATATAAATACATTTTTTAAATGACATGTTAGTCTATTGTTATCGTGAATGAAGCTGCAGCCCGTTAGCCATCCTGCTAAGTGAAGCCCCGCTGATCCAAGATGGTGCCCTATTCAAACAATGGCTTGTGCTTAGTAGCGCATGTGCCACCATGGGGCAGAACTCTCCCATATTTAGGCATTGTCTGATCCTCCTGGTTCTGCACAGTGGACCCCCATGATGCATTGCGCCAAATACATGTGTGGCTCATTTAGTGCACCGAAGGGCTCGGCCAAGCTTTGACCAATCAGCGCTGCTGATCAGAGTGGAAAGAAAACCAGTAGTTTGTTGCATTAAAGGAAACCAAAGGACAAAGTTCAGGATGACAAGGCACTAAAATCCAACCTTTATGAAAGCTGTAGGTTCTTTGTCAGCTGAGGTTGACCTGTTTTAGTTTACTTGGAGTTCTATGGGACATTTTTCTGGGTAGCCCACGGAATTTAAAGATTTTATTATAGATCCATGTGCTAAGTGCACTCTCAGGTCAGAGGTTAGCTGTGCTTCAGTGTGAGTGTCCAGTAGTGTTCAGGTGAGGCTCTGTGAAGCATTGAAACTTTCAGCCAACTCTGCTGGTACCGATGCTTCATAATGATTCAATAAATTCCAACTAGAGGGCAAAAATGATAATTTCCATTACAGCACTAACGCCAACACGGTTGTACATCAAACACGTGAAAGGACCATGAAACATTTTCTAATATTGTAAAGGAGTGTGCTCAAAGAGAATCGAAAAATATTTTTCTATCAAGTTCAAAAAGTGGTTACATTTGTGACGTCAACACACATGAGCATGAAAAGGTTAAGACAACATGAGCCTCTTGTAACTGAGCTGAATTGCTCAATCGCAAAATTAATAAAATCTTAAATCTTTTTAAACGAATTGTATTGGAAGTTATACATACACCTTAACCAGGGGATACTTTTCATTTGTTGCAAATATCAGACCAATGTCATGAGATGTGCCTTTTACGTCTCAAATGACACTGGTCAGCTCTGAGTCTTCCCCTATCCAGCGAACCACTTTCTAAACCAGTCACATTGTGCAGAGGTCCAGGACGGGTCAAACAACCACGCTTCACTGAGAATACACTGATCACTCAACATATGCTTCGAAGCCTCGATTAATTTCACCCAGAACTGCAGGGTCCTAAAGCTCTGGTCTTTGACAACAGGAGGCGACCCACAGCTCAGTGGCCTCAAATCTGCAGCTTCACAACTTATGTTTACCATTTGAAGTACATGCTTCTATAAAACCAAACTTCCCCTCTAACCCCGACTCTGGACTCCAATCTTCCGACTTGTGATTGGTTGTCACTCTTAAAAGCTCTTTTAAAGTGATAGTCTGTAACTCTAAATGAATTACAAATTTTAGGAAATGTGTTAAATTGACCTCCTGGCCTTAAATGTTGATATAAAATAAGTCATTTTATTAATTCTAATATTACAGGTAAGTCCCGCCTTCCCTGCTCTTAGCTATAGAATCCACGGTGCCGTCGAGGTTAACCAATCGAGTCATGCCAAGGGCTGTCAATCATCGGCGCTGATGCTCGCAGCTGCGCGCATGCGCAGTTTGTTTTCGCGGAGCCTCTATTAGGCTCTGGAACTACATGAAAACTGAACAAAGAATTCTGAACATCCACGCTGAGGTACTTATGTATATACTGAACCTATATCCATAATCAGATCCTCTGCAGATGTGTCCTATAATGTGCAATTCATGATAATAGCACTTCCTGGTTTGCCGCGATCGCTTTGTGTGCATAAAAACATTTCTTCATTAAAACGTTCAAATAATTCTGAACCTCCGTGCATGTGTATTAATAATGTATAATATGTTCTGATTAACATTTCAAAGTGTTACGGAAACGTAGATGTAGACCAATCAGAAAGGATGTGGGAGGGAGCTTGCGTCGTTTTTTTCAAATCAAGTACGTCTCTGTCTTTCTGACAAACTCCAGACAATCACTTTAATGAGGCAGGTTAATTCGACAAGGGCCAAGTGCACGAGAGCTACGCGCATATTTGGCACAGCACATCATGGGAGCCCGTCCACTGCACAGAACCAGTAGTTTCACAAATATTAAGAGTTCTGTGATTCTTTCAGTCCCCATGGCCGTCCCATGCACTACTGAGCACAAGCCATTGACTTGAAAAGGGAACCATCTTTGATCACAGTACACACAGGTGACACAGGAGTTTGGTCAGATCTTTATTGACAGTGAGACATTACTGAGGCGAGTTTAATCGAAGAGGCCGAAGCCCATGTCATCGTCAGACTCCTCGCTCTCCTCCTTCGCCTCCTCTTTAGCAGCAGCTGGAGCAGCTGCAGTTTCAGCAGCAGCCACAGGTGCAGCAACTGCGAAGGCAGTGGGGTCTGCAAGGAAGGCCTTCACCTTCAGGGAACAGGACAACAGTGAAGACGTGTACACACTTTGGAGGCTTCATCTATAGAGTTTTTTGGTCATACCTTGTCAGCGAGGGGGAATGAGTAGTCCGTCTCCACAGCAACAGCAAGTACTCGTTTGTACCCATTGATGATTGTGTGGGGAATGGAGGCCAGAGTGGGGTATCCAATCTCAAGACAGATGCTGGCCACGTTCCTCACTCCCTAAAGATAAGATTGAGAAGCTTATGCAGAGTTGACGCGTTTCCTGGTGCTAATGTGTGAGCGTTCTTTCTTCTGAGCACTGTGTGAAGCCGTGCGTCCCAGCTCCGTCACACACACACGGGCTGAGATAGCTGGAGACACTTTAGTTTGTGCAGGGGGAACGACAGCACAGCACTGAGCTGCTGAGCTGGAACTTATCCTGCACCTTAATTTAGATCCAGACACAAGGAATAGGATGTTTATTTCCATCTAGCTTCCAGGAGTGTGTGTACGAGCCTATGATTGCAGGCCTTTGTGCATAGTCACAGTTTGCTTCACAATCTGTTACCTCCAGGAACTTTGTGTGCAGCGAGGCCTCTGTGATGTCCAGGACCTCAGGGCTGTACACACTGCCGTTGTCGTACACTTGTTGGATGATGAGACCAAAGGAGAATGGAGAGATGTTGAGCATATTGAGCAGAGTGGCTTCACTGGCACCAACTTTGTCCCCGGTCTTAATGAGGCCCACGTCACTCTGAAAGCAGAGACTGGACTCTTACAACATTCACGCAATTGTATAAAATTCAGAGCAACTGCAAACGTCAGCTTAAAATGACTTGCCACAGTGGTCTAAAAGTAGATGCCAACAGTACGAGATGGCCATTAAGTGTTTCATTAGACAAAAGTTGTTCCATTTAGTCTAAAGACAAGCTGCTCCTATCCAAATGGCTACAACCAGCAGTTTAGTAGTAGAGGACTGTACCAGGATCTCAATGGTTCCTCTGGAGATCTTTGTGGTGATGCCCAGAGCCTGGAAGAAAGAAGTCTTCTCAGGTCCCAGTCCAGTGTTCTGAGCCGGGACAGTGACATCACAGGGGGCAATACCACCAGCACGAGCAGCAGCCGGAACCTAGAGCGATCCAACCAGTCAGTACAGGACCCAGGGAATATTCAGTGATGAGACAAATAAAGTGGAGCAGAAACCCTGTTTAGGGCCAGCCCTCCAACTCTAGCATTGGCCAAACTACAGTAAAGTCTGGTGCGTGTTAACTGTTTGAATCCTTACGTCTCAGCCTGTCACACGGTCACAGACAGAGATAGCGAGAACACAGTTGATGTTTGCAGGGGGAACGACCAGACAGCACCACTCAGCTGACTAGTAGATGACCTGCACTTAACCTGGTCAAACTTCAAAACTAACCAACCTGTGCCGCCAAAGAATGTATACAGTATCACAGGTCAAATGTGTTTTGCTGTTCCACTGTTAAACATTAAACTGGACAAGGAGCTCACCTTGTTCTCCAGCAGCATGTCTCGCACTTCTGTCAGATCCTCTTTAGTGAAGACAAAGCCCACATTTCCTTTGATGTGTGGCAACAACCTGAACAACAAAAGTTACTTTTAGGGTTTCAGCCCTAAGAGTTTTGACTCCAGGTAAACTTTTGCAGAAACCATTTCTAAACGCAAGTTAAAACTAGAGACAACGCGGGTAGTCATTCAAGAGCACAAAAGCCTGGTCGTCTGAGCACTGTGTGAAGCCGTGCGTCCCAGCTCCGTCACACACACACGGGCTGCGATAGCTGGAGACACTTTAGTTTGTGCAGGGGGAACGACAGCACAGCACTGAGCTGCTGAGCTGGAACTTATCCTGCACCAAAACAGACTCAGACCTTAACAGTGACCTATTCTTACAGCTCTAACCAAACACTTGTATCTGAGGAATGTTTCCACACCCTCAACCTAAAAAGACAAACTATCAGGTTCATTGTAGTTCACAGGGACAGACCACAGAGGCTCCTCACTCACTTCTCCAGGGCTGGGTTGTTCTCCAGATGCCCCCTGATGGCCTTCCTCATCATGGTGTTCTTTCCCATCAGCACCACAGCCTTCCCCCGCAGAGACAAGCGAATGGCCTGCATCTGCTTTGACCCCACGTTGTCTGCACCCACGATGAAGCAGCGAGGGAAGTCATCCAGCAATTGCTACAGAGACAGGATTAAAGATCTATAAATCTTCAATAGGAGGCCTATAACTACAAGTCTGATCCTCATCGTGGTTACAGTGTAAAATGGGTGCAGATGGTGGTCTGGTTTATCGCTTGAGTATTCTAACTCACTAACAATGATGTAGTATTAGCTCTATGTTTAAAGGCTGCAAAACTTGGGGTCCTTTTAGGGAATTAAAAGGATACAGGCCCTTTCTGGAACCAGTTTGAGACACTTATAAATTGTTTGAATCCTTACGTCTCAGCCTGTCACTCAGTCACGGGCAGAGATAGCGAGGACACAGTTGATGTTTGCAGGGGGAACGACCGGACAGCACCACACAGCTGACCAGTAGATGACCTGCACTTTACATGGACCCAAAACCAGCCTCCAGCCCATCATGTGGGACTGCGGTTCAGACCAGTTACATTACATGGTCTGAAATGTGGTGATGTCACATTAAAGTATTGACAGCTGTTGTGCCATCTACAGCTACTGCAGTTTTACACTTTGTACAATCTAAGCTGTTGGACCGCAAAATAAGACATTGGATCAGCAGTAGGGGCACTTACGATGATCTTCATGAAGTAGTTGGACTTCCATGTGGCCCTGTCTTCCCTGGGCATCTTTGCAGTGCAGCCAAGGATCGTTCTCAGACGGTTTAAAGACAAGAGATCTGAGGAGAGACCAGTAAGCCAGTGAGAAGTGTTCAAACAGCTGATGGATGCCGTTTAAAACTATCTGAGAGATATACTGAAGGGCTCCAAGACAAGGGACATGACTCATGCAAGTCTGGAGGCCGGTGTGGCTCAGTTACCATGAAAATCACATCTTAGATTCATTAAGGATTATAATAAACACTGACAATGTTACATCTGAAGTTTGTAGTTTAGTGTTTAATCAGCACAGATTAACTTCATAACAGAACACAGGACTCCTGAGTCAAAGACGTTTAGTACAACACTTCTGACTGAAACAAGTGTGAAACTGGCTGAAGGAGCAAAGCTGCTCAAATTTCATTATAACAAAGTTTGTTACGTAATCGCTACAGATTCATGTACAAATGAAAGTCAGCATAGTCTTGCTATAAGAGTTATTAGGCAGTGCATCTGGCCTGGCCAACCAAACTTATGGCCAAAAATAAAGTTGAATTAATAAGTTGTAGTCAGTCAAGTACAGTACTTTACCTCCTTAAACTATTTAAACCTTTAATAGTGGTAAATCTGGGTGAAGAGTACTGAGGGTTTAATACAAATCCATACAGAAGAAATGAACACTTCATTTCTTCGGTGAATGGAGGGCCTGAGCATTAGCCGCTAAAGCTAACATTGGAGCAGGCTAAATATTCCAAATTCCAAATATTAACCTGACAATCATGTTTATTTGAATACATGGCACGTCTTAAAAGCAATTATCCCTCGCACTGGAGTTAGTCCTCAGGCCGAGACGAAGAGTTTAGTGTGTTAGCCAGAGCCCTTCACGAGGATGTTCTCCGCGGAGGCTCACGGCCCTCCCACACCGGTGACCAGCCAGAAGGACCCGGTTGGCAGAGGCATGCCTTGAAACGGTGCTAAAACTGGGTCAAGTTGTGCTAAAACAGGTATAAACTGGGCTAAAACAGGAATAAAGCGTGCTAAAAGCCGCCTCGATCTTACCTCTCACGAGGGACGCGTGGAAGAAAGAGACAGAGGCGGGACTTGATGCTCAATATACAGCCGCAACAGCCAATCACAGTACAGCAGTGACACAATGAGCGCCGATTGGATAAACACTGAATCAGTCAAATTGAGAATTATAATTTAAAATAAAATAAAACATATTTAAGGGATCTGCACATGCGTTTGTAAGGCACATGTGCAGATTCGAGGTGAGAATCGTGGAATCGGTAGCGTTAATGAACATACTTCTGACAAACCTGTGAGGTCATGTGACTGTTCCGCGGCTTCCGGGTGCAGGAGTAGCACATGGTTTTGACCGTGGATTTATTACTGTAACTGTACTCTCTGTGGACAACCCGAGAGTCTGATTATTATAATGGTATTATAATTGTATTTTAGTTCCATGGTTCCACTGCAGACTACAGAAAATACAGACTACAGTGGTTCAACCACAGCAACAGTGTCGTAAGGTACTCTATATTGATATTTACAGTATTATTATTATGTATATTTATACATATGTATGTAATATATATATATGTATATGACTGACTGTGTAATAACAATGCATTGTTTCAGATGCAGCTGTTCATCTAAGAAGGGGAAAGAACGCATTTTTGTCCCGAAACTGTGTTTAACATGAGTTGGCGTGGATCGCGCTCAGCGCCACGCTCAGTGACTGCACTCTCTGTGACTGCGCTCCCAGATGAAGTGTGGACCCTTGTCCTCTCGCACCTGTGCGTGGCGGACCGGCTGCGTGTGCGTGTGACATGTAAACACATGTGTGGTGTAGTGGACTCCTGCGGCCTGTGGAGGCGCTGGACGCTGCGCCTGAATGCCTTGAAGAAGAACTCATACAATGCAAGCTTCTGGCGCATGTTGCGCAGATGGAGAGTGTCATCCGCCGCACTGCGCACGCCGTGCTTCACACGCCTCACAGCTGAACTACCACATCTGCGCGCACTGAGCCTGTGTGATATTACAGTGCCCTGCGGGACAGACGTGTGTAGTGGCCTCACGCACCTCACGCGCCTGTACCTGACACGCTGCACTCTGCACATGGAGCTACATCACCTGCTGCAGCTGTTGCCCTCCCGGCTCACGCACCTGTACATGTGCGAGTGCGGCCTCACAAACCTGGACTCTGCGGCTTTAGTCCGACTGCGCGCACTCACGCAGCTGCGCTACTTTGCGTTCCACGGACACAGTAACTTGAGCTCTGTGCACAAGATTCTCGCGCAACTGCCTGAGCTGAGGTACCTGTCTCTGTGTGTGGCCCCCACCTTTTCTACACTCCCCTGTCCCTCCCCCCTGTCCCTCCCTCTTGTCTCCCCCCACCCCCTCCTCAGCCTGGAGCTCCTCTCTCTTGATTCCTCATCAGACGTTCCTCTTGACCTCATGAAGAATCTGTCATCTCTGAGGAGTCTCACCGTGATGTTCAAAGCGCCAGTGAGACCACACCCGAGCGTGCGTGTGCAGTTCGGACAGGTGCGCATTGCTTTATGTGATTCAAAGTGAATCTCTATAACTCTAAATGAATTACACATTTTAAGAATTTTATTAAATTGACCTCCTGGGCTTAAATGTTGATTTATAAAATAAGTAATTTTATGAGTTATAACATTTTGGGTAAGTCCCTTCTTCTCTTCTCTTAGCTATAGCTCAAAATCCTCGATGCCGTCCACTTTAACCCAGTGGCGGCTGGTGGAATTTTCTACTGGGGGGGCTATGAATATGATGACTAGATATATATCAGCAGGGTAGGGATGCTTTCTGATCCCTACCCTGTAGCTTTCATCCAGCAGCCTGGGATGAAATATTTATCTTCCCAAACATAGCTAATTTGAGGGCATTTTGCATGTGGATACCAGTCTGCTCATGCTTCTTTTCTAAAAAGTGCTTCAGATCAGTCATACCTGTCTTGATCCATGCTGGGTCAGATCCTGATGTTTGAAACAAGAGGCATGGAAAGCAAAATAAAGCATTAGCCTCGCTACATGCTGCTAGCCAAGATTTGGCGCTGAACCAGGTCCTGGAAAAAGTACGAGTGTACCGTCTCCCCCTGTCGCTGGACTGCTGACCAATGGTAATATTTGGCTGATCAGGTCCAAGCTCTTTAACCTCAACCTTCTCCTGGTATGATCTTCTCTCAAACGGTATTGTTTTGAGTGATCTAACTGAATTATTCTTTTTCTCGTTCTCCATTTTGCGTCTCTTTACGTTCGTCTCAAACTCCCACAGCTTGACCTGTCAATCACTGTAAACGGACGTCACAGACAGTGACAGTACAGGTCGCGGGCGATCCCGCCCCCTCAGGGCGCACTTCTCCTGCGCCCCCAAATCGTCTTATCTCTTGCATTGAAGAGGAGCTACTGCGCATGTACAACTTTTAACGAGAGTCCATAGACGGCTCAGGGCGCAATCTTTTGCGCCCTGAGGCGGAAATACGTCCTCAGTCCGACACAGACAACGCTGATGAGCTTAATCAATCCAACTCAGCATAAACTATAAAGTATTTCTTCCACATCTGAAATAAAACACACATAAATTTCGAAATATTTTAATGTTATTATTTTTTTTAACGTTTTATTCAAGGTAACATGGCAAGTTGTGAGTGGTGGGGCGGCGCCCTAGCGCCCTCTATTGGCCGGCCGCCACTGCTTTAACCATTCAAGTGAGGCCAAGGGCTGTCAATCATCGCGCTCGTATATAATTCAAATATTTTATTTATATATATATATATATATATTTGAACGAATATTAGACAGCCATTAATATTGTAATGGGCATTATCTTTTTTAAATGATATTTATAAAATAGTTCCCAAAGGTTTGATTGTAACGTGACTAGACAGGTAACAGCTAGGCTAGCTAACTAAACTAGAACTCTCTGGAACTACATGAAAACTGAACAAAGAATTCTGAACATCAGCGTGAGTGACCCAAATATAAACTTAACCTAAATCCATAATCAGATCTTCTGCAAATGTGTCCTAAAATGTTCTACTATTGTTAATAGTTACTTCCGGGTTTACCGCGTTTGATTTTTGTCATGAAAAAGTTGACAGATAATTCTGAAAACCTCCGTGCATGTGTATTAAGAATGTATATGTATAATGTATTCTCTGATTAACATTTAAATGTGTTGATTGATTGATGTTTGTGTTATTGAGCGTGGCTAGCTTCGTTAGCTTCTCTCGCACAGACAGAAGTAATAAGTGACAGGCGCTGAAAGCCCGTTGTTACGAAGTGTGCAAACTACTGTCCAGAGTAATCTTAGTATTTTACACACCTGGATTACAAGCACAGAGTGTGTTGCCAAAGGGCAGCAGTCCTTATTGGTTTGAGACTGAGGTCCGTTATCAAGAAATAATGATCGGTAGAACGTTTTGAAGTTACATTCAAATCAATGGAGCATTCCGCTGCGGCTGTGAGGAGCTGTATAATAAATAAATTCTGATTAAATATTTGAATATTTAAATTAAAAATCTCTCCTCCGCACGTCTTAGACCATTGACCTGGCGCGTGCACAGAAAAGTAGGCGCGGCTTCCAGACCAATCAGAAAGAAGGGCGAGGGAGCTTAGTTAGTTTTTTTTTCAAATCATGTCTCTCTCTCTTTTTTCTGACAAAGTCCAGACCATCACTTCAAGACGATCTCATAATATTGATGAACTAAATCAAAAAGCTCCGGCTTCATGTTTTGGGCCCAGCCGTGTGTGCCCGTGTCCCTGCTGAAGAATAGCAGCCCCACATATCTGACACTGGGGATGGTGCATTGTGTTAACTGTGTCTACAACTTTAATGGGATGTATAGAGAATGGCACCACTGAAAATCTACAAACACCTGGTTGTCTGCCCAAACTCACAGCTTGAACAAGGACAGCACTGATCACAGATGCAGACACGAGGGCCATGGTTAATCTGGAGGAGCTCCCCACACAGCTCATCTGGGGGTATCTGTAAATGGGACCGGGTCATATTCCATAAATCTGGTTTGTATGAATGACTAACACTGTCAATTATGGAGGCAGCATCCTGCTGTGGGGCTGCTTTTCTTCAGCAAGGACAGGTGAGTGCGTCAAAGCTGATGGGAGGTGTTTCCTACAGGACAATGAGCCAAAAGAGAAAGTCAGAGCACAAACTGTTTGTGTGTGTGTGATTGCTGCAGTCTGAGGAGCAGCGCCTGCTTTATCTCCTGGAGGTTCTGGTGGCCTGGCTGAAGGACCTCTCCTCACTCGCCTCCTCCTCCCTCTCTGCTCTGCTCCTGGAGAATGGACCTCCCCTGCAGAGCTTTCTCCAGTTTATTCCCTCGTCTGTGACCCGCCTGAGTCTGCATGCTCTTTCCGTCCGTTCTGAAGACCTCCACACTCTGTCCACACATCTGCCCCAGCTGCAGGTGACGCACTACACACTGCAGACAGCAGGGTATTTTCACTTGGTCTGAGACTCAGGCTGAGATTCCCACTGAGACTCTGACCGAGACTCGTGCTTGGATGACAGAATAGACAAACTGAGAGGGAGATATATACAGTGCCTTGCGAAAGTATTCGGCCCCCTTGAACGTTTCAACATTTCGCCACATTTCAGGCTTCAAACATAAAGATATAACATTTTAATTTTTTGTCATGAGTCAACAAGTGAGACACAATCGTGAAGTAGAACGAAATTTATTGGATAATTTAAACTTTTGTAACAAATAAAAAACTGAAAAGTGGGGCGTGCAATATAATTCGGCCCCTTTACTTTCAGTGCAGCAAACTCACTCCAGAAGTTCAGTGAGGATCTTTGAATGATCCAATGTTGTCCTAAATGACTTATGATAAATAGAATGCTCCTGTGTGTAATCAAGTCTCCGTATAAATGCACCTGCTCTTTGATAGTCTCAGGGTTCTGTTTAAAGCGCAGAGAGAACCATGAAGACAAAGGAACACACCAGGCAGGTCCGAGATACTGTTGTGGAGAAGTTTAAAGCCGGATTTGGATACAAAAAGATTTCCCAAGCTTTAAACATCTCAAGGAGCACTGTGCAAGCAATTATATTGAAATGGAAGGAGTATCAGACCACTGCAAATCTACCAAGACCAACAAAAGTTGGTTGTTTAAAGTTTGCCACAAGCCACCTGGGAGACACACCAAACATGTGGAAGAAGGTGCTCTGGTCAGATGAAACCAAAATCAAACTTTTTGGCCACAATGCAAAACGATATGTTTGGCATAAAAGCAACACAGCTCATCACCCTGAACACACCATCCCCACTGTCAAACATGGTGGTGGCAGCATCATGGTTTGGGCCTGCTTTTCTTCAGCAGGGACAGGGAAGATGGCTAAAATTGATGGGAAGATGGATGGAGCCAAATACAGGACCATTCTGGAAGAAAAGCTGTTGGAGTCTGCAAAAGACCTGAGACTGGGACGGAGATTTATCTTCCAACAGGACAATGATCCAAAACATAAAGCCAAATCTACAATGGAATGGTTCACAAATAGACGTATCCAGGTGTTAGAATGGCCGAGAGTCCAGACCTGAATCCAATCGAGAATCTGTGGAAAGAGCTGAAGACTGCTGTTCACAAACGCTCTCCATCCAACCTCACTGAGCTCGAGCTGTTTTGCAAGGAAGAATGGAAAAGAATTCCAGTCTCTCGATGTGCAAAACTGATAGAGACATACCCCAAGCGACTTGCAGCTGTAATTGCAGCAAAAGGTGCCGCTACAAAGTATTAGCGCAAGGGGGCCGAATAATATTGCACGCCCCACTTTTCAGTTTTTTATTTGTTAAAAAAGTTTAAATTATCCAATAAATTTCGTTCCACTTCACGATTGTGTCCCACTTGTTGTTGATTGTTTGAAGCCTGAAATGTGGCAAAAGGTTCAAGGGGGCCGAATACTTTCGCAAGGCACTGTATATATCTTCCTCTATATCTCTATATATCAGAGATACATTTTAAATTGTAATTAGTGAAATATGGCTTTCAGCTGCTCCTCACTCCTCCTCCTTTTTCAGCTGCTCCTCACTCCTCCTCCTTTTTCAGCTGCTCCTCACTCATCCTCTTTCATCTGCTCCTCACTCATCCTCTTTCATCTGCTCCTCACTCATCCTCTTTCAGCTGCTCCTCACTCATCCTCTTTCAGCTGCTCCTCACTCATCCTCTTTCATCTGCTCCTCACTCATCCTCTTTCAGCTGCTCCTCACTCATCCTCTTTCAGCTGCTCCTCACTCATCCTCTTTCAGCTGCTCCTCACTCATCCTCTTTCCGCTGCTCCACACTCCCCTTTACTCTCGTTCAGCTGCTCCTTACTCTTTCTCCTCCTCTTTCAGCTGCTCCTGACTCCTGACTCCTCCTCTTTCAGCACCTGCAGCTGCTTCCTCTCAGACCTCTTGACCTGGACTCTGTGTCTCTGCTCCTTGAGCTGTTCCCACATCTGCACCTCCTCTGCTTGCACCTCCCCGGAGTTCCGCTAGTGCAGCTGGACATGAAGGAGCTACAGGACCTTCGCAGGTGTCCTCCCTCCCGACTCCTCTCCAGAGTTCAACAGCTGCGTCAGGTCCAAACCCAGGAGGCGCATCAGGAGTCAGATGGAGCTGAAAGAGAGCTGCTGAGCTGTGGTTGTCTGCACCTCCTCCCAACGACGGTGTCCACCTGGGCTGAGACCGGACTGAAGGAACGTCTAAAGTAGGTCTAAAGCAGGACTAGAGCAGGACTAAAGCAGGTCTAGTTCTTGTGTTATTTTACATATTTCTTATTTACAATAAAGTGTTTATTTTACACAGTTTTACTTTCTTCAAACTCTTTATTTTCAAACTCAAACCGAAAAACAGCACTGGTTTAAGACGTTTGTGATCTGCAGTTGTGTTTAGCTGCCCCCCCGCCCCTTTGTCAAAATGCTTTACTAAAGGAGTTAAAATAAAAATAAAAACTGTCAGAAACACATGAAACCACACTGTATCTGCCGCTGAACCACAGGGACCAGCCGCTGCTGCAGCCGCATCAACCTTATCACACCTCAGGGGCCTTCAGGGTCCTATCTCTAGTTGAACAGCTTGTGGAAGCAGCTGTGGCAGTAGGGCTTGTCTCTGAGCTCCTTGAAAGTCCCTTTGTTCAGTTGTTTGAGACAGAAAGCGCAGACAAAGTGCTCTGGGTGGAACTTGCGGTTCATGGCGGTGACACAGCGCCCCCTGATAGCACGCTCACATCCTGCGCACAGCGTCCCTCGGTGCGCAGCGTAGTGTTCCTCGCAGAGCGGCTGCCCGCCGTGGTCGAAGAACGTGCCATCAACGAAGGGCGTGAAGCACTCCTGTAACCAAGACAACGGACACTTGGTGACCATAGCAACAAGCACTAATGTAACCAGGGAAATCTTAACTTAGTGACCGTAGCAACAACTCCTGTAACCAGGGCAGGAAGCATATAGTGACCATAGCAACAAGCACTCATATAACCAAGGCAACAAGAATTTAGTGACCATAGCAGCAAGCACTCCTGTAACCAGAGCAGCAATCATATAGTGACCATAGCAACAAGCACTCATGTAACCAGGGCAACAGGAAATTTAGTGAGCATAGCAACAAGCACACATTTAACCAGGGCAACAGGAAATTTAGTGGCCATAGCAACAAGCACTCATGTAACCAGGGTAGCAGCAGCAGTCGCAGAAGCAGTAGCAGTAATAATAGCAGCCGTAGCTGTTGCAGCAGTAGTCGCAGCAGTTGTTGCAGCAGTAGTAGTAACAGTAGCAACACTGACCCTGCAGACGAAACACTCTGGATGCCACAGAGTGCTCAGGGCACATATGTAGTTTTCTAGAATGGGTTTGGAGCAGCCGCTGCACTTTGGTGCAAACAGGTCGAGGAAATCTGCCCGACAGTAGGGCCGGCCGTCCCGTTCGTGGAACCCTGAGGAGGGGCATAAGGGTTAAATATGTCTTCAGCAATACAACACCCAGAATCACTAATCCGCTAGCTCAATGAAGCCCAATAGTAAAGTGTTCATGGTGAAGTTTGGCTCCAACTCACTCTGGCTCCTATTCTTGGGTTTCATATGACATCGGGGCAGTGGCACGAATGACATACGTTACGTACCCTGGCAATGCAGTCTGCCGGGTATATACACGGAAATATAGTAGAAGAAGCGCCAATATCTTAGCCATCAGTCTTCAGTCAAAATGCTATCTTTTTGTGCGGTGTACGGTTGTAGCAATCGCGCGCGCATAGAGAGAAAGACAAGAGTTTCTTCCGTGTTCCAACTGCTCCTCGCCCCCTACAGGCCAGGTTAATGAAACCCAAGAATTAACTTACATGTAAAGTTAAACTTCTCTAGCTTGTGTCACACTCACCTTTTTGGGAAGAGATCTGTGGTTTAGCGCTCTCTGTGATCCTAGTGTTTATATACCAGATAAAAGATATTATTTGCCATTTGTAGTAAAACCACATGGGAAAACTGTTTAAGACTACCCAGTGTGCACCAGGAGCTCTTGCCACGGTGCCATTTTTCCGTGATATCGTGATATTACTTTGTAAATCCAGGTATGGACCATTTGAGGATTGACCAATATGGAGCTAGCCTTGTCTCACTACATTGTACAAATTTAATTTCGTACTAAGGTCTGGAGATGCTCCATTGATCTCCGTAAACAGGGGGAGGGGTTAACTCCTTTTGCAGATTGAAACGACTAAATCTGAGTTTGACATGATGTATATAATGCGTCTGAGTGAGTTGCTAGCATTTAGCCTAGCCATCCCCTTTGCCATCAACGGAGCCTGTGGGGAGTACAGCCACAAAATCTTTGCCAGCAATGACATCTTCTAAACAATTTTCTTGCTCCGGCTTCAATTTATTGATATTTGGAGCCGAACCAGAACGGATTACTTTACTATCGTATTCTCCTCCATTGCCAAACTACAACCAGCAAATCTGGCGCAAGCTCTTGACCCGCCTCTCCTGCTCGCTGATTGGTCGAATGGGATACAACCGAGGTAACTGCACCCACTGGGACCAGACCCAGATGTACATGTAGGGAAATAATAATTGACTGGAGTTTAAGGATGGCCAGACTAATATGTCACGGGGAGCCTTCATTCACGGGAACCTCCAGCTTGCTTTAGTAACACGTCTGCAACGGTCTACCCCTGTTAAGGCACGAAGCTAATGCCCACTATACAAATGCCATATAAGGAAACAGGCTCTATGGTATATATCTCAAGAACCCCCCAGATCCTCACCTTCAGGTCCAAAGAACTCTCCACACTGAGCGCAGAAGAAATGCTCCGGATGCCATGCCTTCTCCAACGCTGTCACCACCTTCTGTTTAATCATATGTTTACATGTTTTTAGAATAACAACAAGCGCAACAGTAGTAGTGGCAGTAGCAGTGGCCGTTGCAGCACAAGCAGTAGTACCAGTAGCAGCAGCAACAGTAGTTGCAGCAGCGGCAGCAGTAGCAGCAGAAGTAGTTGTAGCAGCAGTAGCAGTGGCAGTAGCAGCAGAAGCAGTAGTAGTGGCAGTGGCAGAAGTACTAGTAGTAGCAGTAGTTGCAGCAGCAGTAGCAGTAGCAGCAGCAGGACTCACATCCAAGATTGGCCCGTTGCAGTAGTCGCAATGGGGGGAGAACAGCAGGAGATAGTCCTCTTCACAGAACGGAAGTCCGTCGCGTTCATAAAAGTTTCTGGAACCAATTTGTTCCTCACAGTGAGAACAAACAAAGTGGTCCGGGTGAAACATCTGCCCCATTGCAGTCGCCACCTGCATGAGAGGAGAGGAACTGTCACATGTCCTCCCTGCAGGAGAGGGGAGGAACTGTCACATGTCCTCCCTGCAGGAGAGGGGAGGATCTGTGACATCTTTCCATCACAATAAATCGCATTGAGGCAACAGGTCTTACTGCACCCTCGGATTGTATATGGATGGACCATGCTAACCTGCTAGTTTATTGCTAACTCGCAAGTTCAATGCTAATTTGCTAGTTTTATGCTAACCATCTAGTTCAGGGGTGGCCAACCCGCGGCTCATGAGCCACATGCGGCTCTTTGGCTGGTTCCGTGCGGCTCTCTGGCTTTCACAACGCCTCGGTGGTGGTGCTGCCTTTCATTCCCTATGTAGTTCTGACCCATAGTAAAGGCCGACTTCACTCCACTAGCCGGGCCGCCAAAACAATCTGACGTCGGCGAACGTCAATTCCGATTGGTCAGATGCGCTGTCAATCACTCTGCAGCTGCTACCTCAGCTGCTGCAAATATCATAACAAACAACATGTTGCCTCGACGCATGACGTCCGTACGGAAAACAATTCCTTGGTCGCTGGATGAGGGCAACACCTTCCTCAGTTTGAGGAGAGGACACCAGCGTGATCTCGATGGTTCCACCAGAAACCAGAAGGTGTTTTTGGAGCTAGCGCTCGTGATTCCCACGGACATCACAGTGCAGAGAAAAGTTAAAAGCTTAAAAATGACAACCGTGAAATGAAAGATCACAGCCGCAGAAGTAGAGGCAGAACCGAAAAGTCTGGAGGTGGTTTGACCAAATGGATTAAATTTACGGACATCGGCTAACACCGGCTAACATGCTAAAACCAGCTAACACCAGCTACACCAGGAGACAAGCCAACTCTGCCCGGTGAGTGTCTGTCTTCAATCAAATGCAAAAGTGTCTGGTCTTATACTGTGTCTGTGGTTCTAAATCAGCTAAAGTGGTGTTGGTGTTATGTGTCAAATCTATATCTTTTACTAAACGCAGTCAGAGTGAATCATGGTTCGATAAAGACAGTTGTGTTTCTGCTGAATACTGGGTTGAAACTCGATTTTTTTTCTTGGTTAGAGATTGAAAGCATTCATTTCGGAATCATAATTGATGTTCGCTGACGTGATGTTGTTCTGGTATCGACTCGCCCGGTTAGAACCAGGGCCAAACCATTAATAAAAAGTACCGGGGAGCGGCTGAAGCGAGCGGTGGAAGCGCCCGCAAACCGGGGAGAGTCGAGTCCAGCCCTTTAGTGCTGTACGAGTCAATTTCTGTCATTATCATGTTGATGACATTTACAATACATCTGTCTGAGCAGAGGTGTGCGCGTGCGTGCGTGCACGTGTGCGTACGTGCACAAGGGTTGGGGTGATGTTTATGTTGTGCACATTTGTGTGATGTGGCTCTTTGCTGTAAAGCAGTAAAAAAAAAATTGGCTCTAAGTCTCTGACTGGTTGGCCACCCCTGATCTAGTTCAATGCCAAATCACTAGCTCAATGCTAACCTGCTAGATACATGCTAAACCGCTTGCTCAAGACTACCTTGCTAGCTTAATACTAAACCAGTAGCTCAATGCTAACCCGGTAGCTTATCAAAGCCTCATATTGAAGGTCTCTCTGTGAAGTAATCTGACGCTGTAACCGTTTGCAACTGTGGTTCTGTACGATGGCCAGGCCACGCCCTCAGTCTATGGTCCCCACGCCCACACCTCAGGACCCCTGACCTCTGGAGTTCCTTAAAATAACCCCGTACATATCCCGGGCTTGCTCGTACCGCTCCCACAATGGGTTTCTTGCAAGCTGCACAAACTCCTTTGGCCTCAGTCTGAAGCCCGAGTCGAGTCAGTCCTCCCTGAAGACTGCTGAGCAAGGGAGGGTTCTGTGTCTGCAACACACATGGAAACACAGGGGGACACACACACACACACACATACATGAGTGAGATGGGCATAGTGAATACCCGCCCTATATCAAAGTAACACTGAGGGCGGAGAAAAATAGACGCATAAATGCTTAAGAAACACACACACACAAAAAATGCAAATGGCCAAACAGAAAAAGTATAGTGTATCAAGGTGCTCTGTAGATCTGGCCCTGCCTCAGTCCCACTAGTCTTAGGTCAGACCTGGCCCTGCCTCAGTCCCACTAGTCTTAGGTCAGACCTGGCCCTGCCTCAGTCCCACTAGTCTTAGGTCAGCACTGGCCCTGCCTCAGTGCCTCTGGTCTGAAGTCAGACCTACCCTGCCTCAGCCTCTCTGGTCTTTGGTCAGAGTAAGACCCTCGTTTGTCACAAGGTAGACATACAGGAAACTGAGCACTCTGCCACAGCAAGACACAAGCAGCAGACATAAACTGAGGCATCCCAACGGTCGTGCAGGTCGTGCCGGTCGTGCCTGCAGTGGTGGGAAAGCGGGGTTGTCATCGGTCTGGCAGCTCACACAGGAGAACTGCCTGGGGGGAGGTGTAGGCTCTCTGGGAGGAGGTGTAGGCTCTCTGGGAGGAGGTGTAGGCTCTCTGGGTGGAGGTGTAGGCTCTCTGGGAGGAGGTGTAGGCTCTCTGGGAGGAGGTGTAGGCTCTCTGGGTGGAGGTGTAGGCTCTCTGGGAGGAGGTGTAGGCTCCTTAGGTGAAGGAGGTGTGGGGTCTCTGGTAGGAGGTGTGGGGGGAGGTGTCAGCTCCTTGGGTGGAGGAGGTGTAGGCTCCTTTGGAGGAGGAGGTGTAGGTTCCTTGGGTGGAGGAGGTGTGGGGGGAGGAGGAGGTGCAGGCTGCTTTGGTGGAGGAGGTGTGGTGGGGGGAGGAGGAGGTGTAAGCTCCTTGGGTGGAGGAGGTGTTGGGGGACGTGGGGGCTGAACCTTCCTCTGGGGGGCGGGAGACTCTGGGGGGATGATGATCTGAGTAGAAACCAGAACAAGGTCAGAACCAGGTTTTTTTCCAGTCCGAGGTCAAGCTCAGTCTGGGTATGAATTACCACCTGAGAGTTAGGCCCCGTCCCAATTCTCACCCTTGCCCTTAAAAAGCACACTTGCCCTAGAGTTTGCGTGTGCCCGCGGGAGTGGGTGTCCCAATACTTAGGGAGAAGAGGCGAGGGCCTTCACACCCCTAAACACCACCCTTGAGCGCAAGTAAGGTCCGGAGATCACTTGCGTGCGAGGGTGATCCTATGATGCAGTACGATAGCTGTTGGTAAAGCAGCTGTCGGGCAAATCCGCGCCACAATGAAAGAAAACAACATGAAACACCCGCGCACAAGTTTGTGCTGAACATGAGCAAGCTCCAAAGCGTGTGCGAGTTAGTTATTAAAGCGTGTGTTGGTGCCATGTGCGGAGACGTTCGCTCCCGAAGCGGCCGCAGTGAGTGACGTTCACTGAGGCTTCAGAGACGTGGATTCATGTTATTATTATAGATCCATGTTGTAGTTCAGAGCATCGCTTTGACACAGTTTGCTTTGTGATCCGCGGGACCGCCGCTGTACCCGTCTGTCTCTGTGCGCGTACATCTCTGTGCGCGTACGTGTATGTGCATGTGCCTGTCTCTGTGTGTTTGTACATGTGTCCGTCTGTGTGCGTGTGTCTGCCTCTGTGTGTGTACATGTGTGTCTCTGTGTGCACATGTGTGTCTGTGTGTGCGTGTGTGTCTGCCTCTGTGTGCGTGATGTGCATCAGTTCTGTTCCTAATTATAGCAAATCTTCATATGAAATAGAATTAAAAACGTCTCATTTTAGTAATTCTACGTCATGGTGCGTAGTCCCTTAGGACTTCGCTAGTGGGATATCACTCGTGACCCCCAGGTCACGCGCCAGAGAGATCAAAATAATTTGCTCCAATCACCAGCCACCTTCCTCTATAAATGCCCCTGCACAAGGCCGTACCCCCTCTTTCACTCTGGCGCCGATTGAGATCTACATTTCAATTTACCTGAGGAAAGATGTCTTCTGATGCTCGTCCGAGTTCCCCTTCGCCATCCGGCGTCGGACGTCGTCGTTGCTCGACTTGTCGGGTCAAGCTCCAGCGCAAGGACCAGCACTCCAGCTGCTTCGTGTGCCTGGGTTCGGGCCATGCGGCGTTGAGCGCCACCTGCGCCTCGTGTCTCGCTCTCCCCAGGGAGGAGAGTGAACGCAGGCGCGCGTTCTTCGCCGCTACAGCGCCCCGTCCGGACTCCTCTCAGGACGAGGAGTCTGTGATTGACTGGGCCCCCCTCGACCTTCCACCCGTGCCCGCGGAGTGGGGTGACTGCGAGGACGGAGAGGTGTCGGAGGTCTGCTCTCTCCTCACGCTGGACGAGGTGGTGTCCAACCCGGAGCCGGACCGCTTCCCGCTGGACCACATGCCTGGGCTCTACTCCACGGCGGCGGCCATCATGGATGCCCCCCTGCCACCGCAACCGAACCAGAGGGTGGAGGACTTCACCTCTGGTTACGCCACCACTCGAGGGAGGAGGAGAGCGCAGCCCACGTTGTGCCCGCGTATGGACCCGATCGTCCATTACGCGACACGTGAGTGGCCAAAGCCCCTAGCGGCCAAGAGGCCCGCTTTGGGGTACGGCATGTATTGTAACGTGCAGGACTGGTCCTGGACCGGTGGTGTCCCGGACATAGAGGACTCAGTCCGCATGGCCCTGCACCCCTCCGCATCCGTGTGGCCCGGCACCAGACCTCTCCTTCCCTCCGAGCGGGATAGGATGTCTTTGGCGATGCACGATAGATGTTATGCCAATGCGGCTCAGGTCGTCGCGGTGGCTAACAACATGGCCTTCATCACCGGGGCCCTGGATAGGTCTCTCTCTTCTGGCCAGGCGCTCAGTGGAGACACCTTATCCCAGGCGAGGACCACTTCAGCAGCGATCCTGCGCATGTGCCAGGCGCTAGCTGTCGATGGCGGCCGCACGATGGCAGCAGCACAAGTGGGGGCCAGACACCTCTGGCTGGGGCCGGTGAACCTCAGAGAGGCGGAGAAGAGGCAGCTGCTGGACCTGCCCATCTCCCAAACGTCACTCTTCGGTCCGGAGATGCAGACGCTGATAACTAGGCTGGACACCGCAGCTAAGGACTCTGCTAGCCTAGCCCAGCATCTAGCTGCGAGACGCGAGGCCCGCCCACCAGCGCGGAGCCGAGACAGAGGCAGGGAGCGCTCGCCCGGCAGGCGCCCCGGACCATATCCACGCTCCGTGGCTCATCGTTCCCCAGCGACGAGGCCCCCGGGCCCAGACAGGCACACGGGAGGCTCACGGGACCAACGCACCCACCGACGACCTCCCTATGGCAGAGGAGGTCGGGGTGGGAAGAATTCTTTCAATAAAAGCCGTGCGGCATTTCATCAGTACTCGCTGTCTGAGTCTCATTTGGGGGTATGTAACATGTCAAATGATTTGAATTCTGATTGTGTTACTTCTCGAGCATATAACGTGGCTCCGCTAGGCCTGCAGCCCCCAGAGAAGGGCGGGCAGCGTGCTATGCGGGCCGCGGGCTCCGATTCACGGGTTCATGTTTTGCCCTCCCGGAGAGAGGGCAGGCGGAGGGATCTGGTAAGTGATAATGTGTGTGCTCCAGCCGAACGCGTGTTAGCATCTCTGAGCTACAAGGCTAACACGGGGTTTCCCACTCCAGGGGCTCGTCCCCCCCTCCATGAGGCAAGAGCCAAAGGGGGGCACAGCAGCCGTGTCACGTGTGGTGAGCAGAGCTACAAGGCTAACACGGAGTTTCCCACTCCAGGGGCTCGCCCCCCCCTCCATGAGGCAAGAGCCAGGGGGGGGCACAGCAGCCGAGTCACGTGTGGTGAGCAGTCCCGTACTTATGACGTCGGGCCTGCAGAACACGTGACCGCCCTCGGCGCTCACGGTGTGACGCAGGGCCCCCCCCCCGGCCCTTTCAGCCACCCCCCCTCCCTGCTAGGAACACCAGGAGAGGGCGGGGCCGTGACGTCTCGTGTTCCATCTCCCGTTCCGCCCCTCACAGATTTCTACAGCATCTGGAGAGAGCAGGGCCTACTGACAGATCTATGGCTGGAGAAAACTCTGCGCAGAGGTTACGCGCTGCAATTTTTCCGAAAGCCACCACCATTCCGAGGCGTACGGGCAGTACGCTCTCAGGTACGGGGATCGACAGAGGCACTACAAGCGGAGGTCTCCTCTCTGCTGAGTCGAGGCGCAGCAGTGGAGGTAGACCCGCAGGACGCCACCAGGGGGCTGTACTCCCCTTACTTCTTAGTGCCAAAGAAATCAGGCGGGGTGCGTCCCATTCTGGATCTGCGCGTGTTAAACGAGTGCATTTCCAAACGGCAGTTTCGGATGCTGTCCACAAGGCAGCTCCTCGAGTGTGTCAGGGAAGGAGACTGGATGACATCCATAGACCTGACAGATGCGTACTTCCACGTGCCCATAGTGCCAGAACACAGGAGGTTTCTGCGCTTCGCAGTGGGAGAGAGGAATTACGAGTACTGCCGTCTACCCTTCGGGTACGCACTCGCGCCTCGGACCTTTTCCAAATGTGTGGAAGCAGCTCTGGAGCCGATTAGACATGCGGGGGTAAGAATATTAACCTATATAGACGATTGGTTAATACTGGCCCCATCCAGGGAAGTGGCCCTGAGCCACACGCACTGGGTCCTGTCCCACATACAGCGTCTGGGCTTTGTGGTGAACAGGGAGAAGAGCAAGCTGCAGCCAGCCCAACGCATGGTTTATCTCGGTCTGCAGCTAGACTCTGTGATATTCCGTGCTGCATTGTCCGTGGACAGACGGATGAATATTACCCGTCTGGCCCGGGAGGTTCTGGCGGGCCCCAGAGTCCCCGCTCGGCGCCTCAGGTCCCTGCTGGGAATGATGGCAGCGGCTCATGCTGTGGTGCGGCTAGGCCTGCTCCACATGAGAAATTTTCAGAGGTGGTTCTCGCGCCTCAGGCTTCACCCCTCCCGGGACGGGGGGAGGCTGATCTGGGTTCCCCAAGGGGCAGCATCGGACATCAGGTTCTGGCTCACTCCGGGTCTATTGCGGGACGGAGTGACTCTGGCCTGCGCCGTGTCTCACGTCGAGGTGTTCACGGACGCGTCGCTCGAAGGATGGGGGGGGTCCTCGGCCAGAGCTCTGTAGGAGGCTGCTGGTCGGACTCAGCCCGTCACATCAACCTGCTGGAGATGGAGGCAGTGCACAGAGTACTGCTGCACTTTGCCCCTCAGCTGCAGGGGAGACACGTGATGGTGCGCTCAGACAACACCACAGTGGTCTCCTATCTGAACAGGCAGGGGGGCACCAGGTCCCCCGCTCCCCATCGCATGGCGACGGTGACGCTGCTGTGGGCGGCGCTTCACCTCCTGTCTCTCAGGGCGCGCCACGTCCCGGGGGTCCGGAACGTGGGAGCCGACAGGACGTCCAGGGGGGGCCCACTCCAGGACGAGTGGGGCCTGGCCCCACGGGTAGCTGCGGAGATCTGGCGGAGGTTCGGCCGTCCAGTGGTCGACCTTTTCGCCAGTGCAGAGAACGCACAGTGCCCGTCCTGGTTCGCCTTAAGGGCCGCGGACGAGCCGCCTTTAGGCGTGGACGCTCTGGCTCATTACCCATGGCCAGGCGGCCTGTTGTACGCTTTTCCACCGGTGCGTCTCCTGCCGGTCCTGCTGCGGAGGATTGAACAGGAGAGGAGATCGGTGATCCTGGTGGCTCCGGACAGTCCGCATGCCCGGTGGTTCCCCTTCCTGAGGGGCATGGCGGTGATGGAGCCCTGGGCCCTCCCGGACGAGCCGGGGGCTCTAGTCCAGGGGGCAGGAGCCCTGTTTTCACGTCCGATAATCGGCCGCAGGCTCTGGGTTTGGAGGTTGAGAGGCGGAGCCTCGTAGATCTGGGTCTTCCCCCTGCGGTGGTGGAGACCATTCAGGGAGCGAGGGCGCCGTCCACCGTGAGGGCCTACGCCACGAGGTGGAGGCTATTCAGTGTCTGGTGCGATTCCCGTTCCTGGGATCCCAGGTGTTGCCCGCTGGAGGGGGTCCTGGGATTCCTACAGGAGCTCTTCGACAAGGGGAGGGCTGTCGCTACCTTGGCGGTGTTCGCGGCAGCCATTACTTCGGGTCACGACGGATTCGGGGGATTCACAGCCCGTTCTCACCCGTTGGTTAAACGTTTTCTGCGGGGGGCGCGCAGGAGGAGGCCCCCGCTCCAGAGAACGCCTCCGGTTTGGGACCTCAGGGTGGTCCTTAGGGGGCTGTCGGGTCCGCCTTTTGAACCGGCGGCGGAGGCGAGTCCCGAGTGTATCGCTTTTAAGACGGCCCTCTTACTGGCGTTGGCGTCTGCGAAGAGGGCGGGCGATTTGTGTGCGCTCTCCGTCCATGCGTCGTGCCTGTCCTTTGGAGAGGACGACGGCATGGTGGAATTGTGGCCCAATCCGGCTTTTCTCCCCAAGGTCATCACGTCGGCCTTTAGGTCGAGGGTCATCAGGATTAGGGCTTTCCACTAGGGCTGCAACTAACGATTATTTAGATAATCGATTAATCAGGCGATTATTTTTACGATTAATCGATTAATCGGTTTATGTACTTATATTTTAGTTTTGCCAATTTTTTTCCAAGTAAATTGTTAACAAAGGGCCTTCATCATTCAACATAGACTTTTTAGAGATTTTAACCATTTTACATATTCATATCCACATCAAAAACTTAACTGGAGCTGTTTATTATGTCTTTGTAATCCTTTAGTGAACTCAATGTTGACCATCAAAACAAAACACTGACCGTTACATACTCTAGCAAATTTCACAAGGAGATTTCCAATAATGTTTTCACCATGAAAATCCTTAGGGCTTCTGAAGTAGTTTAAAATCCCGAACAAGGCTTATTTAAGTTGATAAACTGATAAATGTTTTTTTTTTTTACATCTTTGTGCAAATTATTTGAAAGATCAACTTTATGCCTAAAACAGTGAGTGTGGCGCCATCTTTTGCAAACAGTCAGTACTGCAGAGAGATGGTTTAAGGTGCTCACGCAGAGACGTAGTACTCCCGTGCCAGGCCAAGTCAGTAGCGCAGAGTTTACAGGTTACTCTTCTTTTTTGAAGGTTCAAAGTAAAGTGCTCCCACACTTTGGATGACTTCGTTCGATTAGGTTTGTCTTCTGCTTTTTTCCTTTTTTTTCTCGAGCTTACTCCGCTTGCCTCCGCCATCTTGCTGTATGCTGAAGAGAAGCTGTGCGCGAAGCATGTGACATAAAAGGAGGCCAGCTATTGGCTATTCGCTACTTCTCCTGCTGTAAAACCTCCGGTGGCTCATTACTGCCACCATTTGGTCACCGCAGAGTTAAAATATGCACGAAATGAGCCGCTTACGGCAAAATAAAAGTTATTTAGCAACTAATCGATGACTAAATTAGTTGACAACTATTTTAATAATCGATTTTAATCGATTAAATCGATTAGTTGTTTCAGCTCTACTTTCCACCCGCCGCCGCATGCCTCCCCCGAGGAGGAGCGGCAGCACCTTCTGTGTCCTATCAGAATGCTGAGGCATTACCTGGCCATGACGTCGTCATTCAGGTCGGGTGATCAGCTGTTTGTGTGTCTGGGCCCCAAGAACAGGGGCGCCCCGCTGTCGGCTCAGCGGCTGGCGCATTGGGTCGCCACGGCGGTGCGGCGGGCGTATCAGACGCAGGGTCTGGCCCCCCCGGTGGGTTTCAGGTCACATTCCACGCGTGGGATGGCGGCCTCTACGGCCCTTCTCAGGGGGGCGTCGGTCGAGGACGTTTGCCGTGCGGCTTCTTGGGCGTCGTCCTCTTCTTTCGTCCGGTCTTATCTTTCGGATGTGTCGGACCGGTCGGTGGCCCATTCCGTGTTGCCTGGCCTGCCAGACACTCCTCCTTTCTGTTCAAAAGAAGAACCGTCTGGACACCTCTTCCTAGCCTATCATTTCACGATTTTACCCACATCGGTCCAATCACGCACCGAGAGGCGGGACTTCCTTTCACCTTTGAGTTGCTAATAACTCCTCGTATCTTTAAGTTTTTGTTACAAAATCGACAGCAGTCGTTTACATTTGCACTAGCTGACATGCCGCCATCCCTTGTTTTGTGTTTACTGAAACGGCTTGGGTGCCGCTAGTTGCTGCGTCATATCCTGTGTGCATCTAATTGGTTGATGCAGTCTGTCAACCACGCCCACCGGGAATTCGCTGAGATCAAGCTCGTTCCCAGACTATATGTCTTTGAAAAAGCATATCGTTTGGCAGGCCAGGCAACATTCCGTGCTGAGTGCAGCGGACTGAGTTAGACCGTTGGGTCCCTCCCCAGAGGGGGGCCTTCGGTCTATTTTCCGCCCTGGTGCAGGAGCTCTTGGGAGAGGCATCCTACAGGTGCGGTACATTTTGTGTGTGTGGTCGGTCTGGTAGTCCACGTCAGGAGCTCTTGGGAGAGGCGTCCTGTGACTACGGATGACCTACGGCTTGTGTTACGTGGGGGTATCCTTGGTAGGAGTGGCCCCGTAACACGCTTGTTTCTTCTGCCCTGAGTCCTCTCACTTTGTGAGGGTCTTGCTCGGGCGGAGCTCCAATCACCTTCGCTGGCCTGCTGGGAGTACATTTTCCTACGGCCTCCGCGTTGTGTCCCACTAGCGAAGTCCTAAGGGACGTAGCACCATGACGTAGAATTAATAGTTACTTAATGTAACTTAAGTTCTACGAATAGGTGCGTAGTCCCTTAGCTACGAGCCCATCAGGCCAGCCCGGCTTGGCAGAGTTCAAGAGGGGGTACGGCCTTGTGCAGGGGCATTTATAGAGGAAGGTGGCTGGTGATTGGAGCAAATTATTTTGATCTCTCTGGCGCGTGACCTGGGGGTCACGAGTGATATCCCACTAGCGAAGTCCTAAGGGACTACGCACCTATTCGTAGAACTTAAGTTACATTAAGTAACTATTAAATATTATGTTTCATGAAGTCATATCTGTGTCAGATCTCATCTGTGGTGACACTTTGATAATGTGTGTCACGTGGAACACGTCTGCTGCGTCATTTGCATATTGTCCCCTAGATCCAGGGGTGTCCCAAATCTTAGGGAGAATGTTGTGAGTGCACTCACCACTGGGAAGGCACTTTGCTGGTGAGGGTACTCACACCGAAGGGCAAGGGTGAGAATTGGGACAGGGCCTTAGTATAAATTACTAACTCTCACCTTGTCCTTGTCAACCTCCCTGTGCGTTCTCCCCTACCTCACCTCTATTTTCTCACTTCCCTCTCATATCTACTACCTATCTACTTTCTTTCGCCCCTCCCTCCCCTCTGGTCTGTCCTTCTAACGCCTCCTCTGCTCAGTACCTTGTCCACCTCCCTCTCCTCACGCCTCCTTTGGGGGTTGGACATGACGATGACTCCCTCCGTCAGCCAGTCGTCTGTGCGCTGTGGTCTCCTCTTGCGTTCCGGTCGCCCGATCCCCAGCTTCCCCTGCAGCTCCTGGATCAGTCGGTCTTGAGACCCCGAGCGGTGCATCAGGACTGGGGAGTTTTTCCGTTTGCCATCGCGGAGCATGGGGTGAACGTGGGGGGTCTGCTGCGTCCGGCGAATCACAGCCTTTAGCTGGTCAGAGATCAGAGGTTGGCAAGCAAAAGAACTAATGATGATGTCACAATAAACAGCAAAATGTACAACGATTTGAAATATTATTACTCTGAAGTAATTTAGCAGCATTTACACCTGTGTACACTGGTCCCTGGTACTACAGGCCAGAAAGACATGCGAGAGAATCAAACACAATTGCACAACAAAAATCAGTAAACAGCAAGACTGCAAAAGGTGAACCGCATTACAACGAGGGACCAGTGTGTATCAAAGGAAAATACATAACAACAGAAATAACTTATGTTTGTTAGTTTCTTTCTCTTTTGCTGATTTGTGAGTGTGTTGGGAGCAACATCGTAATCTGGATGTGACATAAGATGTACCTGCCCTGAGGCGGACAGGCGCTCAACGGCTGACGGCTGCTGAGAGGGTAGCTCCAGAGAGGCGTCCGGAGTGTCGGGACAGGGGGAGGGGCTAAGGCAGTCGTCAAACCACTCGTCTTCTGACAGCGCCTCCATGTGGTCGTCAGGCAGCAGTGCAGCCAGGGCGTCCTCCAGATACTCTTTTGGCTCCGAGGAGAAACTGCGGGGCGGGCTCACAGAGAAGGTCTTCCTGATGATGGTGGGCGGCGTCTGAGCAGTGGGTGGAGTCTGAACAGTGGCCGGACTCTGAGCAGTGGGTGGAGTCTGAGGTCTAAGCGCAGGACTGGACACACGCGCAAGGACAGGGCTGGACACGCGTGGCGCAGACAGCAGTGGGATTGTAATTGGGCTTGCGCGCCCCATGTTTGCTAGCTCCATGCTAATACCAGCATTAGTACTCAGCAGTGGTAGGGTGAGCGGGCTGGAGAGGCGCGGTTTGGGTATGGGACTCGATATCCTTTGGACGTGTTTCGCACTGCAGACTCTAGGAGCCGCTGTGATTTCAGAGTGTGGAGCGGGGCTTATGGGGGAATGAGCGGGGCTTACAAGAGAGTAGGTTGGATTTACGGGAGAGTGGGTGGGGATTACGGGAGAGTGGGTGGGGATTACAGGAGAGCAGGCGGGGCTTTCGGGAGAGGGGGCGGAGACTTCGGCATTATGAGGTTTTATAGAAGAGCTGTTGTCTTCATCTATGTGTAGGTCAAGTAAGGGAAGGGCGGTTGTGGGAGTGGCTTGTGAGGGTGCAGTGGGCAGGGCCTGTGAAAGGGCGGGTAAAAACTCTTCTTGATTCACAGACGACTGAGACCCGGACTAAGGTGCAGATGTGATGAAAGACAAACAAAGAGAGAAAAGATCAATTAAAAATTACATTGTGCAAAAGTTTAATAAAACTGAAAAATCTGAGTGTGATGTTTCCTCAAACTTGAGGAGAAGAAGACTCACGTCACTCTGGGTTTGGAAGTCTGACAGCGACGCCATCAGCTGGTCGAGCTCCCGGGTCGCTAAAGATGCGGAAGGTCCAAGATGAGAGGGACCACCATGAGGAGAGGGACCACCGTGAGGAGAGGGACCACCGTGAGGAGAGGGACCACCGTGAGGAGAAGGACCACCATGAGGAGAGGGACCACCGTGAGGAGAGGGACCACCATGAGGAGAGGGACCACCGTGAGGAGAGGGACCACCGTGAGGAGAGGGACCACCGTGAGGAGAGGGACCACCGTGAGGAGAAGGACCACCATGAGGAGAGGGACCACAGTGAGGAGAGGGACCACCGTGAGGAGAGGGACCATCGTCACAATGAGATGTCTGATGAGGTGGAGCCCAGCAGGACGTCCCTTCAGGATGGGACATCAGCTCCAGAGAGTCCTCCGTGACCAAGAGAGGACCAGAGCTGGAGACACAGTTGTGCAGTGTGCAGCATTAGGAAAGCGTTCATGGTGAAGTTAAACTCCTCTAGCTCAGTAACTGATTGTGTTCTCAGTGGATTAGCGCTCTGATATATTGAGCACTAAAGTGCTCAGGCCTGACCTGGGCTCCCAGGGCAGAGCGGACTCTAGGTCGCTGCCCACACTCGCTCTCTCCTTGGTCCAGGACACCGCTTCTCTGTGGGGGGGTGTGACAAGGACATGAGGGCTGGAGGTCCGAGGGGAAGGGGCTTCTGAACACAACAGAAACATGTTTAATACATAAGAGATGATCCCGGTCCGATCCTCAGTGTGATCTCTAACCTGTGGTAAATGCTGCTGAGCTCTCGTGAACCGTGTTCAGTTCCAACAGAAGTTTGTCGAGCTCTGACAGGTTTGAGCCGACGGTCGCCATGATGATGGGGGACTTTGACCGTTTCCCAGGAAACTGAAAACTGAAAGGACATGCTAAGCCCGAGGACAGAGATCAGAGTAGTAGTAATAGTTGTATATACACCTACTATTTACACAGATGTAGTGCCTTTTGAAAGTATTTATTTGGTTGGGACAGTACATGTTAATGAACACATCACTCCGGATTGTACACATGGGCTAATTTCCATCCGTTGTCCCACATTCGCACTCACAAACACATACTCATTCACCCTGAACTATTGCACATGTTTTTAGTGGTAGGGGAGACCGGAGCACCTGGAGAAAACCTACGCAGACACGTAGGTGAACATGCAAACTCCACTCAGAAAGGCCCTGTTCTGACCGGGATTCGAACCCAGAACCTTCTTGCTGAGAAGCGAGAGTGCTATCCACTCAACCACTACTAATACTACCTTGAAGTTTTGCACATTTTGTCAGGTTTATAACCATAAATGTACAGTTTGTTTTACTGAAATATCAAACAAGTAACAGACAACTGTGAAGTGAGAGCGAAATGATACATTTAGCTATTTCCCAGCTTTTCTTTGAGTGCAAAAATTGCTCTTAAAACACTCAAAACAATGGGAAGGGACTGGAAAGATTGTAGATAGCTGGGAAGACGGATGAAACCAAATACACGGACATTTTGGAGGAAAACCTGCTAGAGTCACCAGAATTGAAGCTGGGGCAAAGATTCACCTTCCAGCTGGACAATGAACACAAAAACACTAAAAAGCTAGATCTGTAATTAAATGGTTTCCATAAAACATATTCATGTGTTAGAATGGCCCAGTCAAAGTCCAGACATTAATCCAATTGTAAACCTGTAAACTGCTGTTCACAAACGTTCTTCATCTAACCTGACAGAACTTGTTTTGTAAAGAGAAATGGGCTAAACTTTCTGTCTCGAGATGTACAAACCTTGTAGAGTCATACCCCAAAAGACTTGCTGATGTTATTGCAGCTAATGGGGGCTCCACAAAGTATTAACTAATGCTACATGAATACGAGGGCGACAGTAGCTCAGTTAGTAGAGCATTGGCCATTGGGCCTGAAGGTCGTGGATTCGAGCCCACGGTAAGACCTACTTCACAACTCCCACTGATGACTGCTGTCATTGTGTCCTTGGGCACGACACTTAACCCCACTTTGCCTGAAGCCCCAAATGAAAGATCTCAGCTCCTGTGGACTCACCACCTGCAGGAGGATCAGTGAGAGGCTGGTGCTCTGTGTCCTGGGTGCAGCTCTGACTGCCACCCCCCTGACCCAGAAATGGATTAAAGGGAAGAAAATGGATGGATGGATGGATGCATGAATACTTGTGCATGCCTATTTTCTATTTCTTGAAAAATAACAAAATCATGTATCATTTTTCTTCACTGTTGTCTGTTACTTGTCTGTGAACTTTCAGTAAACAAAATCTTTTAATGGTTGTTTAGATGACAAAATTTGCAATAGTTCAAGCTTTATTCATACTTTTGAGAGGCTCTGCATATTATGTAAAACATCATTTTAACATATTTAGAAATCGAGCGGCAGTGAAACTCTTTCTGTTTTTAACTGGAGCCGAGTATCACTGACACCTTAATATAGACCAGACCTGAGACCTGAGCCCAGACTCGAGACCTGACCTGAGACCTGAGACCGGACCCCCGACCAGACCCCAAATCAGACCTGAGACCAGGCCTGAGATGCTAACACAAGACCAGACCTTAGACCAAGACCAGTCCTGAGTTCTGAAAGCAAGACCTAAATCCCAAGTCTGTGTGGAGTGCTTCACCCAACCCCTTTTCAGAGGTTTTGTCATTGTGTTTCGGAAACTAGTGCAAAGACAGTAGTAGTCGTAGCAGTAGTAGGATAAGTAGTAGTAGTGGCAGTGGAAGTGGTAGCAGTAGCAGTAGCAGTAGTAGCCATAATAGTAGTAGTAGTAGTAGTATTAGTACTAGTAGCAGTAGCGGCAGCAGCAGTAGAAGTAGAAGCAGTAGTAGTAGCAGCGGTAATAGTAGTAGAAGCAATAGCAGTAGTAGTAGTACTAGTAGTAGCAGTACTAGTAGTAGTAGTAGAAGCAATAGCAGTAGTAGTAGTACTAGTAGAAGCAGTAGTAGTAGTTGCATTGGAAGTATTGCTCCTACCTCACAGAGCTTGGTCCAAAATTTGAGTCACAACAACAACAAGAGCAGGGAAAGGATGAGGGGGTCAGGGGCTCCCATATCCCTCTCTCCACACCTCCTCCCTCCTGGCACCAGTATAAGTGCTACAGTACTCACAGAACCAGAGTGACCCAGACGAGACCAGACTAGACCAGACCCCCCAAACTTTGGCCTGGAATTGACTTCAAAGGATCTAAACCAAATTTTGAAAAGTAAACCTTTTATGTAAGAGATTAGTTTGTCCCAATACATTTTGAGAATCTGACAGTGGGAGGGGCCTGTGACAGTGGGAGGAGCCTGTGACAGTGGGAGGAGCCTATGACAGTGTGGGGGATATTTTACAGTGAAATGAAAGTGAAGTGGAGCAGATTTATGTATGGACCAGGACTAAACCAGAGCCTGATCAATGTTCTTTCAGATGTTTGTACTTGTGGATTAGGAGAGCATATATCTCGCGAACAGCTCTGATCATAAATGGGGTCTCTCACACACTCACAGGCACACAGATACACCCCCCACACACACATAATGCCATTATAGGACTGAGACAGGAGATATACAGTAATTGGCTTGGATTGATCTAAAGACATCTCCGGGTCAGTGCCCATGTTCCATGGTCCTGGATCTCTTGAACCTTCAGTTTTGGGGGATGCCTTCAATCAATCAATTTATTTATCCCCAAGGGGCAATTAAAAAGCACAGAGAGTTGCAAGTTACATGCTAAAAAGATCAATAAAAAACACATAAATACATACACACACACTAAGTTAATGTTAGGAGCGTTTTAACACTGCGCTGGGTAATGACGGGTCCGAGTTCAGCAGCTGAATCACTGTTGGAACAAAAGCGGATTTCCTCCTCTGCGTCCTACATCCCACCGAGCGCAGCCTCCTCCCTGAAGGCAGCCACTCAAACACAGGGAAGAGAACATGAGCAGGGTCTCCCAGAATCCTATAGGCCACTCTCATGGCCTGCTGAGAATTTGAGCATATCATGAAAGATGGTTCCTAGATATTTGTACTCATGAACCACCTCCACAAGCTCTCCCCTGATAGCAGAAGATTCAGCCTCTGCTTGTTAGAAAATGTCACAATCATGTCCTTAGTTTTACTGATAGTGAGCTTTAAGTGGGAGTCATCACACCATGAGATGAACTCCTGTAGAGCAGGACCATGACCCGGAGATGGAGCCGACAGTAAGGACAGGAGAACCGTGTCATTAGCAAACTTAACCCAATAACAGTTTGGCTGAGTTGACCTACAATCGTCCGTGTAGAGGATGTACAGAAGGGGCAATAAGACACATCCCTGTGGGGGCCAGTGGATGTGAGCAGAACATCAGACATCATATTGTTCACTTGTACTCTGAGTTCTCCCTGTGAGGAAACTAATAATATACCAAAGACAAGCTGATGGTCCAGATGTGATGTTAGTTTTACTGCAAGGATGTGAGGCTGCATGGTGTTGAAAGCAGATTAAAAATCAGCAAACAGGAGCCTGGCATCTGCTGCTGCGTCACTGCTTGTACCATGCTGCTAAAGACAGGACTACAATACTAATCCCGTACTTCTACAGTACTATGACAGTAGTACTACAATATTACTACAGTACAAATACAATACAACTACAGTACTATCACAATATTACTACAGTACTACAACAGTAATGGAGTATACTCTTGTACAAAAACAAAAGTATGATTGACCCAGATCCTCCATGTGTCCAGAGGAAAGCGCCGCACTGAGGACAGGGAGGGTAGTGCACTATGTGTATGAGTCTTTGTGTTTGTGTGTGCGTGATAAAATGACAACTGTACAAAAACCAGGACTAGGTCTGAACCAGGACTAAACCAGGACTAAACCAGGATCAGGTCTGGAAGAGGACTAAACCAGGACCAGGTGGTGATCCAGGACAAAATCACAGGTGATAGTGTTCAATGCAGATTTTCTATACGAATCATTTTATTAAACAACATTTGTTTTATTTTGGTTTCACTCCGGATCCTGCTGCTCTGGGCTCAGGTTGCTGGGCTTGGGTCTCCGGTCTCTGGGCTCGGGTGACTGGGCTGAGGTTGCTTGTCTCTGTAGTCCGTCTCTGGTCTCTGTGGGGTTATGTCCTGGGTCTGGTCTTAATTTGTTTTGGGACCAGGTCTGGACCCGGTTTGGTCTCTGGTCTCACTCCTGGTCCTTCTCCTCTCCGTGGGTGATGATGTGGACCAGGTTTTTGTAGTCCAGGTTTCCGGCCACATCTGGAGGAAACGCGGAGAACATTTGCTCCATCTGCAGCACAACACAACTCAGCTACACAACAACAACACAACTGTGTGTGTGTGTCTGTACCTCTTCGGAGGAGAATCGATCTGCTTGAGTTGTCAACATCTGCGTTACGCTGCAGCAAAACACAAATTACTTTATTGTCCTTAGAAGTGAGCTCTGACTGCAAATGCTACTCCCTCCTCACTCACTAATCTTTCCGTAGAACTCCTTTTCCTTCTGGGTCGAAGACTTTAAACGCGTTCAAGATGGTTTCTTCTGGATCCGCTCCTTCAGAATAACACAGAGAATCCAAACATTTGAGAAAAAAACACAGAGAATCCACACATTTCAGAAGAAAAGGAGTTTCACCTTTAAGTTTCTCCCCGAACATGGTGAGGAACACTGTGAAGTTGACGGGACCTGGAGCCTCCTTCAGCATCTCATCGATCTCCTCCTGCTTCACGTTCAGACGGCCTTCAAAATAGAAAACCTCACATTACACCTGTGTTACAGACCTCATATTACACCTGTATTAGAGACCTCACATTACACCTGTGTTACAGACCTCATATTACACCTGTGTTAGAGACCTCACATTCCACCTGCGTTACAGACCTCACATTCCACCTGTGTTACAGACGTCATATTACACCTGTGTTAGAGACGTCATATTACACCTGCGTTACAGACCTCACATTACACCTGCGTTACAGACCTCACACCTGTGTTACAGACCTCAGACCTCACACCTGTGTTACAGACCTCACATTACACCTGCGTTACAGACCTCACATTACACCTGCGTTACAGACCTCACACCTGTGTTACAGACCTCATATTACACCTGTGTTACAGACCTCATATTACACCTGTATAAATAAATGATGATTCAGACCCAGAGCGGCGAACGTGTCTCGGAGGTCGTTCTTGTCGATGAAACCATCGCGGTTCTGATCCATGATGGTGAAGGCCTACAGAGAACACAGCCCCAGTCCTTTAGCAGTAGTAGTAGTTGTAATTATAGTAGTAATAGCAATAGCAATACTAGTGGCAGTAGCAGCAACAGTAGTAGGAGTAGGAGCAGTAGTAGTGGTAGTAATTTTGTTTAGGAAGGTTCACCTTGTCTTCTTAGAAGTATAAGGTCATTTGGTTCTTCTATACCAGACAACAGTAAGATAGTAATGTTATTACCTTGAATTGAATTGAATTCAATGAATTAGCACAAACTGATTAACTATAAACCCAAAATATACAATTCTAATAAAACCCTGTTACATCTGTTCGAGTCTCTCCAGATTGAGCAGCAGTAATTGTAACAGCAGCAGTAATAGTATAGTATTACATGTAGTAGGTAGCAGCAGCAGCAGTATTAGTATTACTTGTACCTCCTTAAACTCCTGGATCTGCGCCTGCTCAAACATAGAGAACACGTTGGAGTTTGCTCCTTCGGCAGAACGCTTCTTCGCCTTCTTTGGTGCCTGTGAGCAATACACCAGCAGTCAAACACAAAAGACAACCCTCTCACTGATGTGCAGTTGATTTGCTGCCGTTATAAACAATTTAGCTGATCTCTAACTTGCTCTATGGTCTGGGCAGAGCTTAGAGAAACACAGAGGGACCGATTAGAGAAGTGGAGGATCATTACAGCTACAGTTATAGAAAAGGGGAAAATCACTTCATGAAAAGTATGTTTTAAACATAAATCCCACCCAAAAACACAAACACTCACCATGTCGCCGCAGCAGCTGAGCACAGATCCAGACACAATGCAGAGATGAGAGCTTTAAGTACCACCGCCCCCCCAAAGTACCACCCATGCCCCCCCACAAACACACACACACACAGCTGTGGATGATATTAATAAACTATGGCCGGATTAGGACAGGTAGAAATGGCATTGATCTTTTTTTTTAATTGTGTTCTGACATCGTTTGAACAGACAACAAATACACAAAAGATATACAGCCGCTCGACCACCTTCATCATTCTGTCTTTCACAAACACACCAGAGTCATGCTAATGTGGGTGAAGTGTCTTGCCTGAGGACACAACCAGTCTGTCAGCTCCTGGTGCTACAGGTCTCTCATCACAGTACTAACCAGACCCTGTCCTGCTTAGCTTCAGAAGTTTGGTAGAATCAGCCTGTCACCTGCAGGAGGCACCAACATGACTGGTTTTTTATGTGTTCGCATGTTATCCATGTGTCTAGGTAGGTTTCCTGTAGTTGCTCCGGTTTCCCCTACCATTAAACACACGTACAATAGGTATAATGCATCAACATCTAGAGATGGGTCCCAAGCTGAGAACTCTGCTCTTGACCCATGTCCTGACTCTGGCCATGACCAGTGCTGTGTACCCGGGGAACATATTTCCAACACTTTGATTGATGCTCGGACAAAGCTGAGGTTTTACCTGTCACTTCCTAAACTGGCCACGGGTTATAAATATCAGCGCTAGCATTGGGGTGGGTGGGGGGGATTAATAGAGGGGACGGCAGGGGGGTGAGGGTTATGGTGTTTTATTGTATTTATTTAAAGGGCCGCGTGTCGTTGGGTGAATCCTGATTTGTGTTGTTCATCCCTGAGGACCCACCCTCACTCAGCCAATCAGCTCAAAGAGCCACATAGTGACTCACTGGGCTCCGTCTTGTTTTCTAATGAGAGTGAGGTCTCTCTCTCCGGTCCCTGGTTTCTCTGGAACCCTGCAGCTGTCAGGGTGTGTCAGCAGCAGCTGTGTGTTTGCTCTATTGTTCTCAGATCAGAGGATTAGAACTCTCAGAATAACCACGACGACAACCACCACATAAGGACAGGAGCCCAGAGACAATGGCATCAGCTGACCACAGAGACTCTGTAGACTTTGCTCAGACCACAGAGACCCTGCAGACTTCGCTCGGACCACAGAGGCCCTGCAGACACCACTCAGACCACAGGAGGCGTGGGACAATGTGGTAATGCTAGAGCCTCCACTGTCTGGAACTTGGGACCATCTTTCCCCAAAGTCTGGATCAGTATTACCCTGGTCTCTTTGTGGCTTCAGTCGGAATTCAAAGTCTCAAATTTTCAAACTATTGTTTGTTTTTAGCACTGACTAGATGAAAAAAATGGGGCTTTTACAAAATGGCCACAGGCAGCCCCTCCCTTAGGAAAATATTTAAAAAACGTATTTGTGCATGCGTTAGCCGGCACCGGCCCCATTTATTTAACGAGAGCCTTCTGAAGTCCACAGCAGCCAAACTAGAGTGATGCAAAAATTATACTCCCCTCAGCATTGACACATCTGGAAAGTAGATGGTCCAAAAGTTGGCCAAGAGCCAACTTTTGGACCATCTTGTAAAGTGGTTTACAGGAGGGCGACATTGGCCTTTGGGCCTGAAGGTTGTGGGTTCAAGCCCACCGCAAGACCTACTTCACAACTCCCACTGATGACTACTGTCGTTGTGTCCTTCGGCAAGACACTTAACCCCACTTTGCCTAAAGCCCCCACTGAAAGATCTCAGCTCCTGTGGACTCACCACCTGCAGGAGGATCAGTGAAGGGCTGGTGCTCTGTGTCCTGGGTGCAGCTCTGACTGCCACCCCCCTGACCCAGAAATGGATTAAGGGGAAGAAAATGAATGGATGGATGGATGTAAAGCGGTTTTAGATCATCTCAAAAACAGCTTTACATGATGGTGCAAAAGTTGGCTGCCATACAAAAGCATTGGGTAATTCTCTTTCTGGGTCCATGCCAAAAGAGAGAAAGACATGAACAAAGTTGTAAAAAACAGTAATTTAAATACCAGTCGACCTGATATCTGTACACAGTCCTAAATTACAAAGTTGTGGATTCACCAACAACAGATCAGAGAATCAAACAATTCAAACACAGGAAATGCAATAACAAAAACATAGGAGGCATTGGTCCATAGGAAGTGGGATGACCACTGTTCAGAAATTTTCAGAAATGTCTTGGATCAACACTGTCCTTCCTGCATCGGCAAGGAACCACTCAGAAAGCCAGGACTGGTGCTGTGGACCCGGAACTGAAGAGGCTCCCAGGTGAGGCAAGGAGCGCAACCTTGAGTCCTGGCGACCAGTTCAAATTCACAGGCCCCTCCCACAGTGACACAGGCTCCTCCCACAGTGACAGTCACAGTCGTATTCCTCAATCTTTAATATTTTGTGACAAAATCCACAGAAAACAATAAGACAAAACAACAGAGCGCCACCAGGTCAGAGATCAAAGGTCACATATCACCGGAACAGGAGTCAAAGGTCAGGGGTCTGAACAGGTCAAAAGTCAGGGGTCAAAGGTCAGAGCAGCGGCTGCAGGAGGTGTCTGGGAAGGGGGAAATTTGTGACATTTGATTGACAGGTGTTTGAACATATTTATTTATAATTCAGTCAAAAAATGAAAATGGAAAAACATATCTGAAGGTCTTCAACTTCAGTAATCTCCAAGACCAGGTCAGCGAGGAGTAAGGTCCTGACACAGCTACTACATGTGCTTCTTATACGGGTTTAAAGTCTCCGGGAGACCAGAGAGAACGCGAGAGAGAGAGCGCGAGAGAGAGAGCGCGAGAGAGAGAGCGCGAGAGAGAGAGCACGAGAGAGAGAGAGAGAGAGAGAGAGAGAGAGTGAGCGAGAGAGAGAGAGAGAGCGAGAGAGACCAGAGGAAAAAAAACAGGAAAGACTGGAATTTAAAACCAAACAGTGAAACACATGCAGAGGACTGTGTGCTTCATCACATGAGGCTTGAATACGAATACATTTCTAATGTAAAGCTTTCCCCTGTGCTCTTAAATACATTTGCTGGTCTTGTCTCAGTCAGATCTGGTTTTTGTAGTAACATGCCGGACTGGTTTATCACTCCTCAGTCACAGCACAGGTTTACATCTGTCTGTCCTATATCGTTAAATTGGACTAAAGGAGCGATCCAGTTTAACAAGTGCTTTGTAAACGTACTCAGAGTGAGGAGTACTTTAAAGTACTGCTGGACCCTGAATCTCTGTGTGAAATCTTCAAACTGACGACTGGTCCCAGACCTGCGGACACACACCAGTCACATTTATTCATCTAGCACATTAAAGAACCATCAAATCAATGTGTAGCTGACTGGTGGGGGTGGGCGGGATGATAATGATGATAATGAGGGTATGAGTGCTACCTTGGGTGTGGGGTAGGCATATACTGATCCAATCTTGAGATCTGGGTGATATTTCATGATTTTTGACTGATCGGGGATTGGCTAAACCGCCCGATCCACTCACCCGGTCTTTACAACTATTGTTGTGAAGTGGCAGTTGTTTACGGTAACTGTGCCCGCAATAATTTAAAGCTCAGTTATGGTAAAGATTCAGAGTGGTGGTCATGTGGCTACTAGTTAAAACATTAGAAAACTCGGACAGCACAAATGCAACATGGTTGAAGCAGTAGCGCTACATTCAACACGACAAATCTGATTTGGCATTTGAGGCCATTGTGTAAATCTACAGAAGGGAATGTTTGGAGTTCAGAAATCTGTCCCATGTCTCACTTTACTATACTAATGATGATGTGATCCCTCTACTTATGATTTAATGCATGCTAGTCAGTTGCGGGGGTCCCATACAATAGACAGCGTTTAGCACTGTTAAGCTATATGGTAATAGCTTTGTTACTGTACCAACCAGGCGAGTGTTTTATTTCTTACTACTGAGGCTGATCCTTGATTTTTCATTACAGCAATTACCAGCCATATATATAAAATTAATCTAGTAAAATATTGAAACATTATGTTTTATAAATTACAATACCAATGAGCAAGATGGTGCCGAGTCAGGGCGCCGTAGTAAGGTGTGCACTTGTGTAGGGCTGAAACAACTAATCGATTAATCGACGACTAATCAATTATTGAAATAGTCGACAACTATTTTAGTAATCGATTAATCGTTTTCTGGTTCACACGGACTCAAACAGAGCAAAAATGACATGAAAATGTAGTATTTTTGATTAAAACCGACTTTGTTTTTATAATTTCATGAATATCTGTCTCATCCAATCAGATAGCAGAATTAGCACAAAGAGCCTGTTACAAACATTTACTTTAAGTTTACGACATCAATACGTCCTCGAGTGTTGCCACTTTAGCTTTTTGTGATGAAAAAATATTTTTTTTCTACACAATTCACAGCCAAGCGATTACTTGATTAATCGTAAAAATAATCGATAGATTAATCGATTACAAAATAATCGTTAGTTGCAGTTCTACACTTGTGTCATGTGTTAATGACTATCGTCCTGTGGCCCTCACGTCCTGTGGCCCTCACGTCTGTTCTTATGAAGACATTTGAGCGGCTCGTGTTGGACTTCCTTAAGAGCCAAATCCCTTTGAGTATTGATCCGCTCCAATTTTGCATACAAACAGAATAGGAGCGTTGAGGATGCAATCTCCTTTGCTCTGAACTCTGTACCGTAGTACAATAGTAAATCTGTCGCGAGAATGGTGTTCAATGATTACAGCTGTTTTTAATTGCCTTGTCCCAGGTAAAGTGAGGAAAAACGCATGTCTCTCGGTTAAAGTGTTGCAATGTGAAAGTGGATTTTTGGCTTTTTAACTGACAGATCTGAGAGTAAACCGTTTGTTTTTCAGATGTTGTTTCTGTGAGCACTGGATCTTCTCAGGGATGTACTCTGAGAAGATCCAGTGCTCACAGAAACAACATCTGAAAGAATTTGAAGTTTGGGATCGGAGACAAAACTTTACCCACTTTGCCTATAAGGTGCGTGGAAGTGATGTTCGCTGCTTGCCTTGATGTGTATGTGTATGTAGCAAACTGAAATTTCCCCATTGTGGGACGAATAAAGGACCTTCTTCAAAATATAGTAATCGGAACATGCCTAGTTTGGGGTTACCTTGGTGGGCGGGATGGGGGTGCGTCCAGACCCTGTATGGAGCCTTTGTCTCTCCTCGAGGCCTCTCCCTGGAGACCTGTCTCTGCGGGGGTCCATAGCCCGACCTGGAGACCCTGCCCCCCGCCCCTCCAGCAGGCGTCCAGGGGACTTCTCTCTCTGGGCCGGCCGGTCTAGGGGCCTGGGAGCCGACCGGTCCATGGGCCGGCCAGGGGAACGCTCACGCCTGAACTCTGTCCGTGCCTCTCTGTATCTATGGGGTGTCCCTGGGTCTCTGTGGGGGGTTCCAGGGTATCTGTGGGGGGTCCCTGGGTCAGCCCTGGCCTCTCTGTATCTATGTGGGGTCCCTGGGTCAGCACTGGCCTCTCTGTATCTATGTGGGGTCCCTGGGTCAGCACTGGCCTCTCTGTATCTATGTGGGGTCCCTGGGTCAGCACTGGCCTCTCTGTATCTATGTGGGGTCCCTGGGTCAGCACTGGCCTCTCTGTATCTATGTGGGGTCCCTGGGTCAGCACTGGCCTCTCTGTATCTGTGAGGGGTCCCTGGGTCTCTGTGGGAGACTCCAGCGTCCTGGGGATTGCCTGCCAGACGTTTGGTGATGTGCTCGTTGTAGGTTGGCGGGCCACGTTTGTTTGGGCTGAAACAGAAGGTCAGAAAAAATGCCCTAAATCCATGGTCTGTGGACTGGGTTACAGATTAAATAATACAGATTAAAAATGCTAACCCGATAGCTCAATGAAGCCCATATAAAAGGAGCTATACCCGTTTCTGCAATGTTTGAATGTTTAGCACTATCCCCTAACTCGCTCACAGGCTTCTTATTTCCCCTACACTCACATTCCATGGAGACATCTAGTTTTATTTGCGATCTGATATATATGCTAACATTAGCATTAGCACATCTTAAACTGTACGACAATCACTGATGAAATGGTACAAAAGCAACACACTGCGCACAAAATATATAACTGAAAGATTACCGCTAGTTTTGCGCCCGAATGTAGTCCGAGCATAGATAGTTCGAGACAGTCCCGCAGGTCTCTCCCATAGACAAGTCTCTCCAGAGGATTTGATATAAGCTAACAATGTTCACCCAGGCTTGATTTCTTCTTTGATAATTTTTTTGCTTTAGTTCCCTCTTCTCTTCCTCGCTGTTTTGTCGTTTGGGCTGTTTTGTTGTGTATTCAGTTACAGCAGGAGGAGTTATAGCCAATTCTGCTAACATGCTCCTGTGTTTAGCAGCGCTGTAGAGGCTAGAGGACGCCGCCTCGTTCTGTGAGTGGAGTAGTGCTAGCGTCACGCTAAGTCTCTACTCAACACTTTTTACGGCCTGAATTCATACACAAACTGAATCAATGAGCTCAAGTTTTCAATTAAATTACGGATTATAATACAACTTGTATGTAGTAATACGCATTTTTATGAACTCATTGGAAAATAAATCGGAGGTTGGTGAGGTTTGGCTGCAACACTCTGTCTACTATTGCCTAACACGTAAATGTGAACTCTTCTAGCTCAGTAACTGTTTGTGACACACTCACCATTTTGGGCTTAAATCCGTAGTTTAGTGCTCCTGGTGTTTATATTTTCTTTGTAAATCCCTCAGACTAAAAGGCCATAGTCAGCAGGAAGCAGTCAGACTGGAAGAGGAGCATAGTGGGTGTCCTCCTGGGTTCAGGGGGCTCTCATGGTTCAGGGGCAGACTGGCCTGTGTATCTGGTGGCATTTTATATTTCTGGCGTCATGCAGAACTATGGTCAACGTTAACGCTTACTGACCCCCCACCACATGAGTCTTCCACAACGCCCTCTTGAGCCTCCTCTGTGTCGGCTACAGCGGCCTTGTGTTGCCTTTCATTAAAATGGTTGTGTTACGGTGCTTTCAGACCGGATCATGCGTTGCGTCTGCTTTCAATGCAAAGTCAATGGTGATGCACGTTCGAGTGTCAAAACGCACCGACCTCTTGGCACGCACGCACAGACTGTTCAGTAGAGACGCACAGACTTGGCAGGAAAGTCAAAGGGGAGGAGCAAGAGCAAAAAATCAACGCGCACAGGAGATAAATTCTGCTCATCCTTTCCTTGGGACGTTCGTTCAGCAACCAATCAGAGAGCAGCAAAGTGGTCACGGGGACATTAGCCGACTGAGTGAGCAGACTGAAAATACTCGGAAACAGCCAAAACAGGAGCTACACCAGGCTTCACCAGAACTCAAACCAGGGTTGACAATGGGGGACTCTGCTTGTGAAAATATGGGTTGTCATGCTCCCGTGACCTTATGCAACTGCTTCAAGTGTGTTCGCCGATGCGGAAATACCGTTTAATAACACAAAAAACGTATGCCGCACCTCCGTGAACACATACTGCTGTTATATAAAGCCCGGGGAAGGTCTCCGAGCAAAGACACGCTGCAAAGCTGCATATTGGAGAAGATCTGTATAGAAGAAGCCGCTAGCTAAACTCTGTTAGCATCATAGCCTGCCGGCTACTTCCGGCTCGCGTCAGGACCTCTCGGTCTGAAGACCCCTGCGTCTGAAAACTAGAGAATGCGCGTCTGTTGAGCGGGGCTTCAGCGTTTCAGCGTTCAGACCGGATCATGCGTTGTGTTGGCTTTCAATGCAAAGTCAATGGTGACGCACGTTCAAGCGTCAAAACGCATGAACGTCTCAGAATGCACGCACGGACCGCGCTGGGAAGTCAGAGGGGAGGAACGCAGGAGATGGATTTTGATCAACCTTTCCTCAGGACGTTCGTGCAGCGACCAATCAGAGAGCCGCAAAGTGGTCACGGGGACATTAGTGGTCTGAGCAAGCAGACTGAACATACTGTAAACAACCAAAACAGGAGCTACATCAGGACTAAACTAGGACTATGAGGGACATAGTGCTTGTTAACATGTGAGTTTTCATGCTCCCGTGACTTTATGCAACTGCTTTGAGTGTGTTCGCCGATTCGGAAGTACCGTTTAATAATAAAATAAACTTATTGCGCACCTCCGTGAACACATACTACTGTTATATATAGTCCGTGGAAGGTCTCTGAACACAGACACGCTGCAAAGCTGCATTATTGGAGAAGATCTGTACACAAGAAGCCGCTAGCTAAACTCTGTTAGCATCAGAGCCCGCCGGCTACTTCCAGCACTTCCGGCGCACGCCAGGACCTCCGGTGTGAAGACCCCTGTGTGTGAAAACTAGACAACGTGCGTTTCAGCGTTGCCGGTCTGAAAGCACCACTAAACATGTTTGACTTGGGTTTGTTTTGGCGTGAGGACTTTGATGGAACATGTCACATTCTTTAAAATTACTTTATTCACATGTTGGTTCTTCATTTTGTCATAACTTTTCAGAATTTTCCACAAATAAAAAAGGAGCTTCGCCTCCTGTGGAAGAAATACAAACATTATTGCAGAAATAATGTTTAATGTTGTGACCACACCCACCAGAATGTGACCACGCCCACCAGAATGTGACATCTCACCACCATGTGACCACACCCCTTCAAGATGTGACTACGCTTCTGTGACGTGACATCAAAATGACTTTATTCCATTATAAGTTCATAATGGGAGGTGGTCCCATCCACTCTGACACTGTTCCTGCTGAGGAAAAACAGCCCTACAGTAGGATGCTGACCCCCTCACACAAGCCCCAACTCATTTCAAACACTGATAATTTTATTTTCACTTCCTCCCTTTCTCCACCCCACACCTCCTCCCCCCGTCCTCTTCCTCACGGACACTCACCTCCTCCTAAATCCTCTTCCCACATTTGCACAGACTTACCTCCTCCCTCCTCGTTCCTCCTCCCTTTCTCCTCCTGTTAGCATGTTTCCTTTGCAGCAGAGCACTCTCAGCTTGTTCTGGTAGGAGGAGGCAAGGTACACCGCGCCTGAGGAGATCGCAGGGCCCAGATATCGTGGGTTTGGGAGATCCAGGTGGGCGTACGAGTGAGGTCTGTGGAGAGGAGATCACAAACGCATAAGTTAAACAGAGGAGCTAAAGGAGGTGAGAGGGGGAGCAGAGTGACAAGGTGATAGATGTGAGAGGAGGAACAAAGTGAGGAGGTGGGCCTTCTCTGCTGGCCTAAACACAATCGAGAATAAATATATTTATAAAAGAAAAGAAAATATTTATTTTAGTTATTTTTCAACAAAAAGGTATGAAATTATTCCATATAGTCTATACTCTTCATGTCATAGTTTTCCTAAGTTGATTGAGCAGCTTCCAGCCCCAGGTCGACATTTGGAGGGTTGGCGTTTATGTTAAGAGTTTTTATCCAATCATTATCTGCCTTTAGGTCTTCAAAAGCAACAGTGCTGGCCTATGAGAGACACAATGTTTCAACCGGTCCGTGGCACTAAAACGGTTGGACAATGCTGAAGTAGGGCATCACTGCAGGCGCAGGTCTGAATATAATGTTAATAATGGTTTAAAAGTGTAAAAGTTGTGTTTTTCTGTAGTATGATAGTTGAGGAGAAGAAGAGGGCGGAGGTGATGGAGTGAGAGGAAGCGTGCAGGAGGAGCAGACTGACCCCAGAGCAGAGTGTCCTTGGACCTCAATCACATCCACAGAGTTGAAGTAGGTCACAAACAGGTAGGGCTCTCTGTAGGCTGCGGAGACACGAGATATGACTCACTGCTGCCCCCTGGTCACCACAAGTACTGCATTATCACACTGCTGCCCCCCGCCCCCCCCCCCCCCCCCCCCCCCCCCCTGGTCACTGTGAGTACTACTCTATCACACTGCTGCATGAACCAGGACCTGATCTCTGGGACCTGGGCCACTGACCGAAAGACAGGGGAAAGCGGCTCCATTTGATATCGTCACTTCTGCTCCTGCGTCCGTACGAGTCCACAAAGACTCCAAACTCTGAGGGAAAAGGAGGGGGAGGGTTCAGAAACTGTGTCTATGTTTGCTTGTGAGTATGTGTCTGAGTGTGTGTGTTACCAAGGAAACACAGCAGGTACTCATTCCTGTGAGGAAATGTCACTTGGATGTGTGGGAGTATGTGTCTAAGTGTATATGTTACCATGGAAACACAGCAGGTACTCGTCCCTGTGTGTAGCGGTCACTTGGATGATGGAGATGGGGAAACTGTGGGAGGAGGCAGCGAACACTGCAGACGCCAGAGTCACATCGTCTTTATCCAGGAACTCTGCAACATGGAGGAAACGCGTTACCATGGCCACCATCTTGTTACCACAGCGACCACTGCGTTACCATGGTGTTACCACGGCGTTACCACACCGTTATCAAGAAGTTACTACTGCGACCCGTACCTTCCAGGATGTACTGGTTCATTTCAATCTCGTAGAACTTGTTTGTTCCAATGATGATGGAGTAAGACGTAAAGTGAACACAGCTGCAGGGCTCTGAGGTCTCTATCTCCTGAGACACAGGCGTTAAGAGACACAGGTGTTAGAGACAGACACAAACACACACACACAAACACTCACTTACTTTGCGAACACAGAACTTGCTGAGGTTGTCGTTGTGCCTCAGAATGATGATCTTATTGACCATTGCGGCACAGATACACATCCCTCCATCGACCTGAACACACCATGTATGAGGAATACTGTAGCAGCAGTAGTAGTAGAAGTAGCAGTAGTATGACAAGTAGTAGGAGCAGCAGTAACAGCAATTGTGGTAGTGGCAGTAGCAATAGCATTAGTAGTATTAGTATTAGATAGCAATATGGCCTACGTGCAGGACTGTACAAGGACTCTACAAGGACTCCATGTTATGACTATGATTTGACTGTCTCTTTGTGACACGTATGTCTTTCGATGTGTGACGTGACAATGACTATATAAACTGTGTACTGCCTTTATTCTGTCTGAGGAAGAGAAACAGAGTAAACCAGTGGAACTTGAGAGAAACTTAAATAAACTTCCAGAGTTTGGCACACCACGATCCGTCTCTGTCTGCTAAATCCTAACAGTAGTAGTAGTATAATTAACAGTATAGTGACCTTTCCAGAGGAGAAGAGGTGACAGCCCTTCACCAGGTCGACCAGCAGGGGGCAGAGTTCCGATGGGGGTGGGTGAGACTGAGACAAACTCTGCTTGATTTTTTTAATGTCCACGAGACACAGAGCGCGCTCCTCTCCTGAAACACCAACACAAGTCAGCGGGTGTGTCCCTGAGGTTCACGCGTCAGCTCTGCGGGTTGGGTCATACCTGTGATCAGCAGCAGCCTGTCCAGCTCTTTCAGGATCTGCATCTGGAACACTGAGCCGAGCCCCGGGACGTGGGTCAGAGAGTTTTTGATAACATTTAGAGCATAGAGGCCCTCCTCCGCCCCCACCAGCACCACCTGTTACCATGGACACCAGAGCGTTACACAGGACAGTTTAGGGTTGAGTTTCCCAAATATTTGCCAAACTTTTACCGTCTCACAGAGCTCTGTTCAATTCAATTATAGAAAGAGTCAAGGGAGGGACTTTCGAGTTACCAATGGATGGCTGCGTAGAGCACGATCTCTTAACCAAAAGAGCAAAGTAACCCCGAAAAAGTCAAATAAAATGTTTTTGTTTTTTTTAAAACACTGCTGCAAGCTTCTGAGAAGAAGTGATGCCACCTCAAAAGAGACAAGAAAATCTATATATACTAAGGAGAATGACAAAGCAGAAGAGTCGCAAGCTAATGCTAACCCCCATGCTAGCCATGTTCAAACTCAGGCCCACGGGCCAATTGCGGCCCTCTGCGCCATTTTATGTGGTCCTCTGCTTCTAAAGCCTAGCGTACATCGGACTGGCAACTGATTATATCCGTCGCATATGAGTTGCTGCCCCGCACACATCGACAATCTGACGAAAACGGGCAACTCCTAGTAGCAGACCAGTCTCGGGAATAACAGCGCGTACATCGACAGCAACTGGCCTCAACTACAGTGTGTTTTCTGACAGAAACTGTTGCGGGCTCGCAATACACGCAATACACACACGTTGTCGGAGCGGCGCATGGAGCGCGCACATCGGGTCATATCTCCGAAACTGAGGACAACTAGTTGCCAAAAAGTAGAACACGGGCAACTGACTGAAACTGGAGACCGACTGTTCATCTCCAGTTGTAAGAGCGCGCACATCGACCGATTTCGGCAACTGATCATCTCCCACCATCTCCTCTCAGTTGCCAAAATCCACCTTGCAACTAGTTGTCCCCAGTTTCTCTGTCGATGTACGCTAGGCTTAACACAAAGTTGCCATTGAGGCACTTTGACACTCTGGAATCCACTCGTTGACTCTATTGTTTTATACTGACATTTGTTTAATGATTGTGTCATAACATTCCACATAAAATCCAGTCAATCCAGCTCAAATCCAGGTTGTTGACCCCAGGTCAAGTCTGATGAACTAAAGTGGCCCTCTTACTAAAAAGTTTGGACACCCCTGCCCTATGCGGCTAGCCGAGGGAATGAGGAGGAAAGCGGTGAGGAAGAAGTGATGAACAGCGTAATACTGAAAGAAAGACTACTTCTCTATGCCCAATGTCATAGAGTGAGAGACTGTAAAATCCAGACAATTATCAGACCAAAGCTCAATCAGCAGTCTTGGAAAAAAAGATTAGAAGAGTTAAAACTGAGAGAAGAATTAAAAGACATCAAAAGCTTGGATTGGAATCCAAGCATTCCGGTGAAGTGTAACAGATCATGTTGTGGGTCGGCTTCACACAAAAAAAATGAAGACAAAAAACTTATCTCCAAGGAAAAAAATAAAATAAATACAAGTTGATAGTAGTAGGAATAATACCAAAATAAAAGATGAAATTAAAGTGATTAGGCATGAAATTGTCAAACAAAACATAACCATTGTTGGAGGTAAATCGACTAACTTCTAGCACACTAATTATGCAAGTTGAGTGGAAAGTACAATCTACAAAATTAAACACCATATACTAAAACTGAAAACTTTAAAACATGCAGGAGAGTTTTTTAACTATTTCATCAAGATTTGTATTCTCACCTCAACTGTCTGAGACAAATATAACTTGCCGCCTGACCTCTGACCCCCGAGAGCCTGACCTCTGACCCCTGAGAGTCTGACCTGGTCGGTGAGTGGCAGCGTGCAGTTGATGTCAAGGCGGTCGTCTCCTTCCAGTTTCAGTAATGAGTTCCCCAGAAGTTTCTGTTCAAACACAACATTATTGTTTAAAAAAAACAGTTTGAACAATGACACGCAGCACTGTCACACACAGAACAGAACATCATGAGGACAAGCGCCAGGACCAAAGGTGATGTTTAGGAAAGAGCCAAATTCTCTCTCTCTCTCTCTCTGGTCCCCAAACCACCAGAAAAATTATATTGCCCCAGGCCTAATGGAGACAATAGACACAGAGGACACACATGCAGGGGGCGCTGTAGACACAATCCTATCTTGAAACCTGAGACCAAAGTCTGTTTGTGAGCGAAACCCTGACCCGGGTCTGGTTCTGAGGACCGAATGTGACTTTAACACAAACATGAAGCCCTTTCACTTTAGGAGGCTGGCATGCAGTACCACACACGGACAGAGGGGCGCTGTACCTGCACCAGAGGAGAGAGAGTCTTCAACCTCTGAGAACCACTGGACTAAAGGAACCACAAGGAGAGAGAGGAGCTGTCAGGGAGAGGGACTGTCATGTCCAGTTACAACAGCTCATCTATCTACTTTCACTCAGTCATGTCTCGTTATAAATGCTCTTCTACACTCACCGCGCCTCCTTCTGCCCCTCCTTTCCCACACACTGACTCTAGTACCGACACCCATCGCTGTTTGTCGGGGAAACTTGGAGCCATGAAGAAGAGAGACTGAGGAGGCCAGCAGGAGGTGTGGGGGAGCGCCTCCAACTTCAGCACAAAGGGGATGTCTGAGGAGAAGAGGTAAAGAGGCTGTGAAGAGGAGGTAAACAGGAGCAGAGGAGGCACAGAGGAGCAGAGGGAGTACCTGACTTTGCTGTGTTGATGAGTTCGGAGGCGCTCACCACTCCGTGTACGTTCACTTCTCCATCGGAGACGCACAGCTGCACCTCCTGCTGAGGTGGAACTCCGTCTGTGAACACAGACAGGTTTCACTCTCAGAAAATAGAAAATGTTCAGAAATGTGTTTATTATGTTCTACAAACTCATCTGCATCCTAAGTTTGACCCCATAAAGACATACATATGCACTAACTCAGATACACAGTCTGTGTTAGTGCGAGTGTGTGTCTGGGATTGTCTGTGTATGTGTAAGAGAACTTTGTTGGTCCTCATAAGGACATATGTGCGTCTCTGAATATACAGTGAGGCAAAAAAGTATTTAGTCAGCCACCAATTGTGCAAGTTTTCCCACTAAAAAGGGAGGGGTGGGATGAGGGAGGCCAGTAATTTTTATCATAGGTATACCTCAACTATACCGACAGACTGAGAAACAAAAATCCAGAAAATTACATGATGATTTTTAAAGAATTTATTTGGCACCTGTTTGAACTGGTTATCAGTATGAAAGACACCTGTCCACAACCTCAAACAGTCACACTACAAACTCCACTATGGCCAAGACCAAAGAGCTGTCAAATAAACAAAACTGTAGACCTGAGGTTCCGGCCGGACCACCACCGTTAATGGCTGCGCTGTGAGTGAGCTCCCGAAAGGACCAGAGCATTTTGTGATCTGAACCCGCTTAAACTATGTAAATAATCTACGAAATGCAAACTAAGAAGCGGGGGAGAGAAGTACACACCAGTTTCCGCATTGGATTGGACAAAGAGTAGGTGAGCCGAAAGTTCTTCTCAAGTGGAAACCTTGCGCTAGCATTTGCTGCTAAACGAAAAGCTAACAGCAACACCTGGAGCTAAACGGCTAATCATGGCAAATAACGAAGTTATTCTACAAGAACTGAGAGCCTTTCGACTAGAAATCAAAGAACAACTTGAGGGCATCAAGGAAGAGCTGACTAGAGCGAATAACAGGCTGGAAGAAGCTGAGGAGCGGATTGAGAAAGCAGAGGAGAGAATTCTCAACGTGGAAGAAGCTATGACCGAGCTAGTGCAGCTAAACATAAAGCTGGAGGAGAAGATGGTGGATATGGAGAGCCGGTCAAGGAGAGAAAACGTCAGAATTTATGGTGTTCCAGAATCGTCAGAGAAAGACTCTCCATCAATGATTGCTTTTGTTGAGACACTACTGCGTGAAGGCTTGGGAATTGGACGGCGTGGACATTAGCATTGAACGAGCCCACCGCTCGCTAGGCCCCGCTTCTCCCCAAGACGCTCCGCCACGCTCTATCGTGGTTAAGTTTCTAAGCTTTAAGATCAAAGAACAAATACTCCGCAAATCATGGCAGAAGAAAGGATTTACTTGGAATGGTAAACACATATCACTGGACAACGATTACCCCCCTCTCATCCTTAAGAAACGAAAGGAATACGCAGAAGTACGCAAGATTTTGAAGGCAAAGCAGATACCATTTCAAACCCTCTACCCAGCGCGACTAAAGGTGAAGTTCACGGATGGAGAAATAACCTACGCCTCTTCATCAGAAGCGACTGAGGATATGTCCCGGAGAGGCTACGCTGTCAAGATCATCAAACCTCCCGAAACAATCCTGGAGCAACTGAAGCAGTTGACCTGGACCAGAGTGACCAGAGGAGGAGGTAGCAGTGCAGCGCAACCGGGACAAGAACCAGGCTATAAGAAGAAGCTCCGTACCTTCAGGAGAACGGTAGCCACCACTTCAGGGACTTGAGGTTTCACTTTGACTCTTACCAAGACACTTTCACATATCTAAATCCACGTACACTGACTGAATACTATAAATATGTCTTTGGGTGTTAATTTTTAAAGTTAATATGGTTCTGAGGGATTATTCTCGACAGCAAAGCCACAGCCAATAAGGGCCCACATCGTTGCCGATGTGGAAGCAGCCTTTGAAGGCACCACAGGGTCTGTTTAAAGGACCCCAGCCTTGGAAGTTCATGTTCTTTTGTAGTTGTTTTTCTCTTTTGACTTTTTCTTTTGTTGTGTGTTCAGTGTTCACTATTGAGAGTGGGGTACCAATTAATGTGTATGAAGTAGATATAAGTACAATATAAATGAATGACAAATATGTAAAACTTGTAACAATTAATATCAATGGCTTGCATAATCCAATTAAAAGGTGGAAAGCCCTATCCAAGTTGAAACGGGATAAAGCACAAATTGCTTTGATGCAGGAAACACATCTCTCAGATGAAGAGCATTTAAAATTGAACAAATTGGGATTTAAACATGTATTTTATTCTTCTCACAGTTCAGGACGGCGGAGAGGAGTGGCAACTTTGATTTCCGGCGCACTAAACTATGAGCATGTATCAGAGCATAAAGACAAAGAAGGCAGATATGTAATGATAACGGGTAAGATAGACGGTACTCTCACAACCTTGCTAAACGTGTATGCACCTCCTGGCAGCGACTGGTCCTTTTATAGACGTATATTAGAATTAATGACAACCGAAAGTCGAGGAATCTTAATATGTGGTGGAGATTTCAATATTACATTAAACGCAAAATTAGATGCTTCAAATGGGAAAGGTGGCTCAAAAAATATAGGGAAAAAAATTACACAATTTATGGAAGATACAGGTGTTTTCGATGTATGGAGAGACATCAATCCAACTAAAAGGGAATATACCCACTATTCCCATGCCCATAACGTTTATTCACGTTTGGATTATGTTTTCATGTTCAAATGTGACTTGTTTAGGATACAAAACTGTGAAATTGGGCCTTGCACAGTTTCTGACCATAGCCCTGTTTATGTACATGTTTTCCTCGCAAAAAACAAAAGATCTACTCTTTGGAGGTTAAACACAAGCATTCTGAACTATTCAAATATTAAAGAAAGCTTGACAGTTGCTATAGGGGAATATTTTGAACATAATGATAATGAGGAGGATGATCCTGGAATACTTTGGGATGCCTTTAAGGCAGTAATTAGGGGGAAAATAATAAGTATCTCTTCCCATCAAAAAAAAGCAACTATTACCAAAATTGTCAACTTAGAACATAAACTACTGAAACTTCAACAAGAACACTCTAAACATATGACAACTGAGACCAAATCTGAAATAAAACAATTAAAAAAAGAAATAGACGACATCAATACACTGAATATACAAAAAAAACGAATTTTCACTAAACAACAGTACTATGAAGCAGGCGGGAGATCCCTAAAACTTCTCTCCTATAAACTCAGGAAACAACAAGCTGAGAGAACCATTCATAAAATTAAGAATCCCTTTAACAATACAATTGAAAACGAACAAAATCAAATCAAATGGTGCTTTCAAAAGTACTATTTAAAGCTTTACTCTCAAACCCACGCAGATAATGATCAAGATGTAGATGCTTTTCTCTCACAATTGAATTTACCAACACTGACAGATGAGCAAAATAACAGACTCCTTTCCCCAATAACCAAAGAGGAAATCCAGCTGGCAATTAAAAAACTGAAAAAAGGAAAGATGGCAGGAGCAGATGGATTTGGCCCTGAATGGTATAAAACAATGGAGAGTTGCCTGGCCCCAAACTTATTGAAGACATTTAACTGGGTGATGCAAGAGAAAACAATTCCTCCCTCATGGAACGAGTCAATAATCTCCATCATCCCAAAGGAAGGGAAAGACAGACTTGAATGTAGTAACTATCGCCCGATTAGTGTCCTAAATATCGATTACAAACTGTTTGCATCTATCATATCAAGGAGATTGGAAGTAATATTGCCACACTTAATACACAAGGATCAGACCGGATTCATTAAACAAAGACAGACACAGGACAGCATAAGGAGAGTGCTACATGTGCTGCATAATGTTGTACAGAAAAAACAAGAAACCTTGGTGATGAGTCTGGACGCAGAAAAGGCGTTTGACTCAGTGAGGTGGTCCTTCTTATTTAAGGTTTTCAGTAAGTTCGGCTTTCATAAATCTATTACAGAAATTATTGCAGGGTTATATAACAAACCAGTGGCTAGAATTAAGATCAATGGAGACCTTACTGAGTCAATTGCATTGGAAAGAGGGGTGAGACAGGGATGTAATTTGTCTGCACTTTTCTTTGCTTTGTACATTGAACCGCTTGGACAGTGGATCAGGCAGAGACAAGATATTGTCGGGGTAACTGTCGCAGGAAAAGATCAGAAATTGGCCCTATTTGCTGATGATCTATTGCTGATCATATCTAATCCTACCCTGACGTTACCAAAAGCTATAAAGATATTTGAGGACTTTGGTATCTTTTCAGGATACAAAATTAATGTAAACAAAACTCAAGTATTGACCCTAAATTATAATCCTCCCCAAAACATTAGAGACCACTATAAATGGAAATGGGACACAGAATCGATTAAATATCTTGGAATTTTCCTACATAGGGATTTCACCAAAATGTATGATGTTAACTATGGACCCCTAAACACAAAGATAAAATCTGACATTGAAAGGTGGAATACCATACCATTCTTCGATTTATATTCTCGGATTGACACTATTAAGATGAATATCCTTCCTCGAATCTTATACTTGTTTCAATGTCTGCCGTTTACCATACCCCAAAAACAATTTACAGAATGGGACCAAATTCTATCGAAGTTTATATGGAAGGGTAAAAAAACCCAGAATTAAGTTCAAAACTTTACAAATTAAGAAAGAAAAAGGGGGTATGGGCCTCCCATGTTTAAGAGAATATTATTATGCTGCCCAGTTGAGGCCCCTGGTTTGTATGTGCTCTCCGATCGTACACAGCAGCAGGATGGAAGGACATAGAGGGGACTATGATCAAAGGGATACCTCTTAAAGCTCTAATAGCAGACTCTAAATTACAATCCAAAATCAATCTTTCAACTGAACACCTGAACGGAGTAAGGGAGAGAGCACCTACTATGTTAAAGAAAAATGGGAAAGAGAAGGGCATTTTACAGTAACTGAGGAGAAATGGGATCATATTTGTGAAATACAGTGGGTCTCAACTGGGTCAAATACATGGCGTGCAATTCTGTTGGAAAAACACAATGCGTTTTTTTTCATTACACCAGCACAAAAAAGATACCAGGGGAACTGGAGATGCGTGTTGGAGGTGTAAGTGTTGCAGGGGCGAACCATTTTCATGTTTTTTGGAGCTGCCAAGTTATTCAAGATTACGTGGGTAGAGATTCATCAACATATACAAAATAGTATTTTCAATTGCTTTTCCCCTATCATTTGAAGCAATTTATCTTGGTGACATAGAACTGGATGGTCTCAACAATGGAGACAAGAAACTACTTAACATTCTCTTAGCAGCAAGTAAAAAGGCCATCACCAGAAGATGGCTCAAACTGTTGGGGGTGTGTTTGCTGGAAAGCCAACAAACGAGGATTGGACCAATATTGTGCATGACATCTACATTCATGGAAAAAATTTCATCTCAGTTGAAATTGCAAATTGACTCATTTTACAGATTTGGTCAAAATGGACACAATATGTTAAGCCGAAAGATCTGATTTCATGTAATGTTGAAATATAAATACTACTGATTGCAATTGTCTATTTTGCTATGTAAATCGAAAGGGTACCCCCACTCTCTATTGTTTCTCTATTGTTTCGTTTGTGCGTGTTTCATGTGTAAAAATGGAAGAGCAAAATCGCACTACTATTTGAAAGAAAATCTGTAATTATCTGTCTCTTCAATAAAAAATAAAGTTCCTGTTTTTAGCACATAGTAATGAAGCACACACACAATTATACATGCGTTGTGTCTCATTCGCCCAGACGCTTCTACAGAGGACGACAAACAGATCAACCTGAAGACTCATGGCCGACGCCGCTCTACAGAAATGCAAAGACAAGTATGTAATGTTTGGATTGTTAGTGATATATTTGCCTTGGTTTTTAAGGAAATTTGCGACAGTTATTCAAACAGACATCTTTGTAATTCCTGTGATAAAACCGCTAGCTTACTTCTATTTTATTAATAACGCTAGCTAACCTCTCCATAATTCTGAGCTCCTATGTCTCTTCTGCGTTCCACACTTTCATTCTATAGGGAAGTACTCATGGATGAAGTTTTGCTCCAACCTCTGGTCTCCTCTTGACTCTGTAACCAGTTGTGTGCAGACTCTCTATTTGGAGAGTAAAAAAATCTAGTTTTGAGCACTCACTGTGATCCTGGGGTTTTACATTTTTTAATGTGCGTGTGAAAGTCCTCCAGGACTGACCATGTGAGGATTGACCAATCAGATGCAGGTCTAAAGTGGGACTAAAGCAGTTCTAAAGTGGGACTAAAGCAGTTCTAAAGCAGTTCTAAAGCAGTTCATAAAGAAGGTCTAAAGCAGGTCTAAAGTGGGACTACAGCAGTTCTAAAGTGGGACTAAAGCAGTTCTAAAGTGGGACTAAAGCAGTTCTAAAGCAGTTCTAAAGCAGGTCTAAATCAGGTCTAAAGAAGGACTGAAGCCGGTCTAAAGCAGGACTAAACCATGACTAAAGCAGGTCTAAAGCAGTTCTAAAGCAGGTCTAAAGTGGGACTAAAGCAGTTCTAAAGTGGGACTAAAGCAGTTCTAAAGCAGGACTAAAGCAGGTCTAAACATGTTCTGAAAAGGCAGAATCCTCACAGCTGGAACAGCAGCGCTGAGGGAGAAATTGCCAATGTCCATTTTTGCTTTTTTATCAGCAGGGGGCGCTGCAGGGTCACTCTTCTACAACAGAAATGACACACTTCAGATATTGAACACACAGGCACAGACACAGACACAGACACACACCTTGGCTGGAGCGGGGGCAAAGTTTGCGGCAGCTGTAGAGGCGGTGCTAATGGTCTCAACACTTTTCTGCAACAAAAACAATGAAGACCTCAGTATTATGAAGAAGGTCATTTAAAACTGGGGTACGTAACTTTGGTCACATAAATATCACATGTAGTTCAAACAGCAAGAGTCTCAGACCACAACATGCCGTCTTTATCTATTGTGTTAGAAAGAGCCCAGTGAGTCACTTTATGGACTCTTTGGGCTGAGACGCTGAGTGAGGTTGGTTTTGAATTTTTCTCTCTAAAAATGCTGATTTAAAGACGTGACAGAGGCCAGAGATACATGATGTGAAAACTAGTGATGGAAGCAACTATTTATTATGGAGTTCTATAGAGGTCTGAAAGTTACGTACCCAAGCTTTAATGTTAAAAGATGTGAAGCTCATACCTCTGGGGGCGTATCCATGAATCCCATTGACAGCACGTCCAGAGCGTCTGCAGTGCTCATCGGCTTCTGGAAACACACAACTGTTCATCACAGTGTATACACACACACATACACACACACACACACACACACACACTCACCGGGACCTCTGCTGGTTTGGAGTCTGCAGGAACTGGAGGCTGAAACATTAAAAAAAACCATTTGAATCATTAAGAATAAGGAGGTGTGTGTCTTTGTGTGTGTGTCTCTTCATGAGATAAAGATGAAAACAGAGGGTCTTAGCAGGAGCAGAGGAGGAACAGAGGAGGGGCAGAGGAGGAGCAGAGGAGGAACAGAGGAGTCCAGGCACACTGGTGCCTTGGGAAAAAAAGGCCGGAAATATAACAAGAGGTCTCCAGAGGAATGGTGAGGAGCAGAGGAGGTCCAGTGGAAAGCAGAGGTCCACACTGACCATGTCCTGCCGTCTGTATCTTGGAGGTAAGGTGTCCTCTCTCTCCCCCACTCGCACGCCCTCCTCTGACGTCACGTTCTGCTCAAAGGCACAAAACCTCATCAGAGCCTGTGCAGCTGAGAGTATTACCTGTTCAAATGAGCTCTGACTGCAGACACTACTCCCTCTTCACAACAGTCTGACACAGCGACGCATCACCTTCACCCTCCCCTCATAAGAACATCAACTGAACATAGTCTGGTTCAGACCAGGTTCAGACCCGGTTCAGACCTGGTTCAGACCAGGTTCAGACCTGTGGGGTCCTCACCTCTGTCACCTCAGGTCCCGTGAACTTAGGATCAGGACGTTTGGGAGCTTCTGTCGGCAACAGGGAGCCCAGAGCATCCAGGGGGTCCAGAGGAGGCACAGAGGAGGATGTCTGAGGAGTTGAAGGAGCCTGTGGGAAGAAGAGGAGGTGTGAGAGACTAGGAGGAGCAGAAGAGGAGGAGGAGCAGAGGAGGAGGTCTGAGGTTTTTACCTGTTTGGTCTCTGGGGCTTTGGGAGGAACTTCCACCTGAATCTGCAACATATGAAGAAGAAGATCAGACATTAGACCAGACTTAGACCAGGTCTGACTGAGACCAGAGACCAAGCCTGACTTAAGGAACACAAACACATGTCTGAACTCTTTGTGACGATGGGGTCCTGTAGTCAGGGCCTTTGATGCCTCTCATTATAAGTGGTACATGTTGTTTGGGGGTGGGCTCTAAAATCACGTTCCCACCGTTGATGCATGGACGTGTTTATGGAGACATGACGTGCGTTCACCACATTTCAGCCGCATGTGTTTTGTCAATCTGACACACTGCCCTGCGATGGGGAAAAACGCAGGGTGGAATTAGTGGGCACGGCTTTGATGTTAACAAATTTAAAGTGATTGTCTGGAGTTTGTCAGAAAGAGAGACAGAGAGGTGCTTGATTTGAAAAAAACTACGTAAGCTCCCTCCCCCTTCCTTTCTGATTGGTCTACACCTACGTTTCCGTAACACTTTTAAATGTTAATCAGAGAACACATTATACATATACATTATTAATACACATGCACAGAGGTTTTCAGAATTATTTGATTAACGTTTTAATGAAAAAAATAATGTTTTTATGCACAAAAAAAGCGATCACGGCAAACCCGGAACAAGCTATTATCATGAATTGCACATTATAGGACACATGTGCAGAGGATCTGATTATGGATATAGGTTCAGTACATAAATGATTATGGATCTGTTCAGAATTCTTTGTTCAGTTTTCATTAAGTTCCAGAGCCTAATGGAGGCTTGATTCGGGGGTTCCGCAAAAACAAACAACTGAGCATGCGCGCAGCTACGAGCATCAGCGCTGATGATTGACAGCCCTTGGCATCACTTGATTGGTTAACCTCGATGGCACCGTGGATTCTGAACTATAGCTAAGAGAAGGGAAGGCGGGACTTACCTGTAATATTAGAATTAATAAAATGACTTATTCTATATCAACATTTAAGGCCAGGAGGTCAATTTAACACATTTCCTAAAATGTGTAATTAATTTAGAGTTACAGATCACTTTAAGCTAACAGCTTTTTGTGTACAATCCTCCACTAGGAGCTCCGCAGCGTCTCTGTGTCCCGGAACCCTCCAGAGACGTCATATAACAGGAGTATCTGCTCACGGAGCTGCGTCATGGATGTATTATATTATTAACCGGTACTTCCGTATCCGTAACATGTTAGCGGCACTTGTTTACAGTCACAGGAGAATGAGAACTCAGGATGGAGGCATATGTTCACAAGTACTGTTTCGCCCATTGTCAGCCCCTGCCGCACATGTGTGGAGCGAGGATGTTCAGTGAATCTCATCTCCTGCTTTTGCTGCGTGCATCGAGTCGCATCTGCTGCGCCAGACAAACATGTGTATCTCGACTTACGTCATCATTGACTTTGAAAATATGAAACTTGCTGCAAAGCGTGATCTGGTGGGAATGCGTCTTAACACTTTCAAAGCTGAGAAAAATTTACTAGTGCTTTGAACTAGGTCTGAAAGGAGGAATGGGCCAAAATTCCTCAGTCCCCACCTTCTGCTGAGCTTTAGCTGCTGATGTGGATGCAGCTGCAGCAGCAGTAGCAGTAGTGGTAGCAGTAGTGGTGGTGCTGCTGCTGGTCTTGGTTGGACCGGTACTGAGTTTTGTTGTCACTGGGTCGACTTTTACAGATGTAGTCGCTGTTGTCTAAAAATGCAAAACATATGCATCCAGTAAAACAAACATCAGAGCGAGACCAGAGAGCGAGACCAGAGAGCGAGACCAGAGAGCGAGACCAGAGAGCGAGACCAGAGAGCGAGACCAGAGAGCGAGACCAGAGAGCGAGACCAGAGAGCGAGACCAGAGAGCGAGACCAGATAGCTAAGAGAGGGAGAGAGGAGGTCAGAGAGCAGAAGAAAGGGGGAGGTCTAAGCACTAAGGACATCTAAGGACAGGGCCTGAAGAGGAGAGAGAGGACAGGAGGTCAGAGCACTGAGGGAGTCTAAGGACTGGGCCTGAAGAGGAGGAAAACGAGAGAGGAGGAGGTCAGGGTCTAAGGACAGTTGTATTTGTCTTAGACAGCAATGATCATCTGGAGACACCTGGAGCTGATGATGTTCAACAGGTGTTTGTCCAGAAGCAGCTAACGCCAAAGGTCCATGATCTACAGCCTCAGTCCATGATCTACAGCCTCAGTCCTGGGTCTACAGCCTCAGTCTTTGATCTACAGCCTCAGTCCATGATCTACAGCCTCAGTCCATGATCTACAGCCTCAGTCCTTGATCTACAGCCTCAGTCTTTGATCTACTGCCTCAGTCGTTGATCTGCTGCCTCAGTCGTTGATCTACTGCCTCAGTCTTTGATCTACTGCCTCAGTCTTTGATCTACTGCCTCAGTCTTTGATCTACTGCCTCAGTCTTTGATCTACTGCCTCAGTCTTTGATCTACAGCCTCAGTCTTTGATCTACTGCCTCAGTCTTTGATCTACTGCCTCAGTCTTTAATCTACTGCCTCAGTCTTTAATCTACTGCCTCAGTCTTTGATCTACTGCCTCAGTTTTTAATCTACTGCCTCAGTCCTGGATTTAAAGCCTCAGTCCTGGCTTTAAATACCACTCCAGGACCAGAATCCCGGCGTTTGCCTGAGCCAAACCGGTCGTACCGTGGGAGAAGCAGCGCTCTGTGCTTTTGAAGACTCCACTGTGGCTTTGGGAGCAGACACCAAGACTTTAGAGTCCAGAGGAGCTTTGTCCTGAAACACAAACACTGGACTGAAGCTCAGGTTTTGCAGGACTAACGCCGCTGTAAAGAAGGACAAAAACAAGTCTATAGCAGGGCTAAAACAGGACTAAAGCAGGACTAAAGCAGTTCTAAAGCAGGTCTAAAGTGGGACTAAAGCAGTTCTAAAGTGGGACTAAAGCAGTTCTAAAGCAGTTCTAAAGCAGTTCTAAAGAAGGTCTAAAGCAGGTCTAAAGTGGGACTACAGCAGTTCTAAAGTGGGACTAAAGCAGTTCTAAAGTGGGACTAAAGCAGTTCTAAAGCAGTTCTAAAGCAGTTCTAAAGCAGGTCTAAATCAGGTCTAAAGAAGGACTGAAGCCGGTCTAAAGCAGGACTAAACCATGACTAAAGCAGGTCTAATGCAGATCTAAAGTGGCACTAAAGCAGGTCTAAAGCAGTTCTAAAGCAGGTCTAAAGTGGGACTAAAGCAGTTCTAAAGTGGGACTAAAGCAGTTCTAAAGCAGGACTAAAGCAGGTCTAAACATGTTCTGAAAAGGCAGAATCCTCACAGCTGGAACAGCAGCGCTGAGGGAGAAATTGCCAATGTCCATTTTTGCTTTTTTATCAGCAGGGGGCGCTGCAGGGTCACTCTTCTACAACAGAAATGACACACTTCAGATATTGAACACACAGGCACAGACACAGACACAGACACACACCTTGGCTGGAGCGGGGGCAAAGTTTGCGGCAGCTGTAGAGGCGGTGCTAATGGTCTCAACACTTTTCTGCAACAAAAACAATGAAGACCTCAGTATTATGAAGAAGGTCATTTAAAACTGGGGTACGTAACTTTGGTCACATAAATATCACATGTAGTTCAAACAGCAAGAGTCTCAGACCACAACATGCCGTCTTTATCTATTGTGTTAACAAGAGCCCAGTGAGTCACTTTATGGACTCTTTGGGCTGAGAGGCTGAGTGAGGTTGGTTTTGAATTTTTCTCTCTAAAAATGCTGATTTAAAGACGTGACAGAGGCCAGAGATACATGATGTGAAAACTAGTGATGGAAGCAACTATTTATTATGGAGTTCTATAGAGGTCTGAAAGTTACGTACCCAAGCTTTAATGTTAAAAGATGTGAAGCTCATACCTCTGGGGGCGTATCCATGAATCCCATTGACAGCACGTCCAGAGCGTCTGCAGTGCTCATCGGCTTCTGGAAACACACAACTGTTCATCACAGTGTATACACACACTCATACACACACACATACACACACACACACACACACACTCACCGGGACCTCTGCTGGTTTGGAGTCTGCAGGAACTGGAGGCTGAAACATAAAAAAAACCATTTGAATCATTAAGAATAAGGAGGTGTGTGTCTTTGTGTGTGTGTATGTTTGTGTGTTAGTGTGTGTGTCTCTTCATGAGATAAAGATGAAAACAGAGGGTCTTAGCAGGAGCAGAGGAGGAACAGAGGAGGGGCAGAGGAGGAGCAGAGGAGGAACAGAGGAGTCCAGGCACACTGGTGCCTTGGGAAAAAAAGGCCGGAAATATAACAAGAGGTCTCCAGAGGAATGGTGAGGAGCAGAGGAGGTCCAGTGGAAAGCAGAGGTCCACACTGACCATGTCCTGCCGTCTGTATCTTGGAGGTAAGGTGTCCTCTCTCTCCCCCACTCGCACGCCCTCCTCTGACGTCACGTTCTGCTCAAGGGCACAAAACCTCATCAGAGCCTGTGCAGCTGAGAGTATTACCTGTTCAAATGAGCTCTGACTGCAGACACTACTCCCTCTTCACAACAGTCTGACACAGCGACGCATCACCTTCACCCTCCCCTCATAAGAACATCAACTGAACATAGTCTGGTTCAGACCAGGTTCAGACCCGGTTTAGACCTGGTTCAGACCAGGTTCAGACCTGTGGGGTCCTCACCTCTGTCACCTCAGGTCCCGTGAACTTAGGATCAGGACGTTTGGGAGCTTCTGTCGGCAACAGGGAGCCCAGAGCATCCAGGGGGTCCAGAGGAGGCACAGAGGAGGATGTCTGAGGAGTTGAAGGAGCCTGTGGGAAGAAGAGGAGGTGTGAGAGACTAGGAGGAGCAGAAGAGGAGGAGGAGCAGAGGAGGAGGTCTGAGGTATTTACCTGTTTGGTCTCTGGGGCTTTGGGAGGAACTTCCACCTGAATCTGCAACATATGAAGAAGAAGATCAGACATTAGACCAGACTTAGACCAGGTCTGACTGAGACCAGAGACCAAGCCTGACTTAAGGAACACAAACACATGTCTGAACTCTTTGTGACGATGGGGTCCTGTAGTCAGGGCCTTTGATGCCTCTCATTATAAGTGGTACATGTTGTTTGGGGGTGGGCTCTAAAATCACGTTCCCACCGTCGATGCATGGACGTGTTTATGGAGACATGACGTGCGTTCACCACATTTCAGCCGCATGTGTTTTGTCAATCTGACACACTGCCCTGCGATGGGGAAAAACGCAGGGTGGAATTAGTGGGCACGGCTTTGATGTTAACAAATTTAAAGTGATTGTCTGGAGTTTGTCAGAAAGAGAGACAGAGAGGTGCTTGATTTGAAAAAAACTACGTAAGCTCCCTCCCCCTTCCTTTCTGATTGGTCTACACCTACGTTTCCGTAACACTTTTAAATGTTAATCAGAGAACACATTATACATATACATTATTAATACACATGCACAGAGGTTTTCAGAATTATTTGATTAACGTTTTAATGAAAAAAATAATGTTTTTATGCACAAAAAAAGCGATCACGGCAAACCCGGAACAAGCTATTATCATGAATTGCACATTATAGGACACATGTGCAGAGGATCTGATTATGGATATAGGTTCAGTACATAAATGATTATGGATCTGTTCAGAATTCTTTGTTCAGTTTTCATGAAGTTCCAGAGCCTAATGGAGGCTTGATTCGGAGGTTCCGCAAAAACAAACAACTGAGCATGCGCGCAGCTACGAGCATCAGCGCTGATGATTGACAGCCCTTGGCATCACTTGATTGGTTAACCTCGATGGCACCGTGGATTCTGAACTATAGCTAAGAGAAGGGAAGGCGGGACTTACCTGTAATATTAGAATTAATAAAATGACTTATTTTATATCAACATTTAAGGCCAGGAGGTCAATTTAACACATTTCCTAAAATGTGTAATTAATTTAGAGTTACAGATCACTTTAAGCTAACAGCTTTTTGTGTACAATCCTCCACTAGGAGCTCCGCAGCGTCTCTGTGTCCCGGAACCCTCCAGAGACGTCATATAACAGGAGTATCTGCTCACGGAGCTGCGTCATGGATGTATTATATTATTAACCGGTACTTCCGTATCCGTAACATGTTAGCGGCACTTGTTTACAGTCACAGGAGAATGAGAACTCAGGATGGAGGCATATGTTCACAAGTACTGTTTCGCCCATTGTCAGCCCCTGCCGCACATGTGTGGAGCGAGGATGTTCAGTGAATCTCAACTCCTGCTTTTGCTGCGTGCATTGAGTCGCATCTGCTGCGCCAGACAAACATGTGTATCTCGACTTACGTCATCATTGACTTTGAAAATATGAAACTTTCTGCAAAGTGTATTCTGGTGGGAATGCGTCTTAACACTTTCAAAGCTGAGAAAAATTTACTAGTGCTTTGAACTAGGTCTGAAAGGAGGAATGGGCCAAAATTCCTCAGTCCCCACCTTCTGCTGAGCTTTAGCTGCTGATGTGGATGCAGCTGCAGCAGCAGTAGCAGTAGTGGTAGCAGTAGTGGTGGTGCTGCTGCTGGTCTTGGTTGGACCGGTACTGAGTTTTGTTGTCACTGGGTCAACTTTTACAGATGTAGTCGCTGTTGTCTAAAAACGCAAAACACATGCATCCAGTAAAACAAACATCAGAGCGAGACCAGAGAGAGACTAGAAAGAGACCACAGCGAGACCAGATAGCAAGACCAGAGAGCAAGATGAAAGAGACCAGAAAGAGAGAGACCAGAGAAAGAGATCAGAGAGAGACCAGGGAGAGAGAAACACATGTTTGGACTCTTTGTGAAGATGAAGTCCTATAGTTTGGACCTCTGAAGCCTCTCATTATAAGTGGTACATGTTGTTTGGGGGTGGGCTATAACTCTTTCACAACTGAGAAACATTTAGTAGTCCTTTAAACAAGGTCTGAAAGGAGGAATGGGCCAAAACTCCTCAGTCCCCACCTTCTGCTGAGCTTTAGCTGCTGCTGCGGATGCAGCTGCAGCAGCAGTAGTGGTGGTGCTGCTGCTGGTCTTGGTTGGACCGGTACTGAGTTTTGTTGTCACTGGGTCGACTTTTACAGATGTAGTCGCTGTTGTCTAAAAATGCAAAACATATGCATCCAGTAAAACAAACATCAGAGCGAGACCAGAGAGCGAGACCAGAGAGCGAGACCAGAGAGCGAGACCAGAGAGAGACCAAAGAGAGAAGGATCAGAGAGAAAGACCAGAGAGAGAGACCAGATGGAGAGACCAGAGAAAGACCAGAGAGAGAGACAAGAGAGAGACCAGCAAATGCAAATTGATTAAACGCAGAGTAGGTAAGGACTCATCAAAAACCTTTCATCTAGTCATCGGTTATATGCAAACCCAGCCCTCCCCCACTCTGCCTCTCTCTGGTTGAGACACGTTCAGGAGTTTTACCTTGGACCAGCCTTTAGGAGCAAGGAGCGTCATGTTGGGAGCAGCTGGGTCAGTCTGATACACATAACGAGACGATGAGAGAGAAAGATAAGAGAACGACCAGAGAGAGTGACCAGAGAGCGAGATCAGAGATTATACAACCACAGTAAACAGTGTTTTCCCCTACTGAAGCAGGAAAAAGAAAACTTGAACAAACCACATCTAGAACATCTAGAAAGAGCATTTATACTAAAAGTAATACACTCTGAGGGCCACCAGGGGGAGCTGAAGAGCAGAATGTAAATGCCGACTAGAGACCAGATCAGGACCAGATGAAGACCAGATCAGAAACAAAGATGCAACAGTCCACAGATCAAAGAGCTGCTGTGAGTTTGAGTAACTTCCTCTGCAGACTTTTACACCACGCAACCACCACCAAAAACGCCACTGATTGCTGACCTTAGAAGCTGCGACATCACTTCCTGTGGTCTTGGACGCCATGTTGGATCCAGACGAGGACTTCTGCAGCACACACACATGGCTCAGGACAATAAACAGAACACAACCATGGAAACCGAGGAGAGTCAGGTGTGTGGAGAGGAGAGCAAAATCAGACCCTCTGTTCCTCTTGGGGAGTCTGAACCCAGTTCCAAGATCCTAAAGACCCAAGAGAGACCAGAGACCAGACCACAGAGAGACCAGAGGCCAAAAAGAGACCCGAGAGAGAGAGACCAAAGAGAGAATAAGACCAAAGAGTGAGTGAGACCAGAGATCAGAGAAAGAGCGAAGAGGGCCAGAGAGATAAACCAGTAAGAGACACCAGGGAGAGAGAGAGAGAGACCAAAGAGAGAGTAAGACCAAAGAGAGATCGAGCGTGCGAGCAGAGAGAGACAAAAGACCAGGGATTGTCTGAGCAAATGCCCTTGAATTCAGCAAAACAAGGGAGTGAGGAAAACGTTCATCCCAGACATTTTTACGTCTGAGGAGAGGTTCAGAACCAGCGAAGCGACATTCCACAGAGCTGGTGCATAATTATGACAGCAGCTGATTCTACAGGACTACAGTGAGAAGAATGGATAACAACATGCTAACTTAGAAAACTTTTGCATACTTGTACGTCTGACTAGTGAAACAGTGTCACTATTTAACTCTTTGGGGTGAGAGCTAATTGGCTGAGTGAGGGTTGTCCTCTCTTTTCCACTATACTGTCTGAAAAAGCTGATATATAGATGTGTCAGAAGCCAAACATACATCCTATGAAAACTAGTGATCGAAGCGGTTTAAGAGCCAGTAGAGACATGAGGTTCTATTTCTAGTGTTGTGGTTAGTCATGTTGCAGTAGCAGCAGTAGTAGCAGAAGCAGCAGTAGTCATAAGAAGGAAGGGAGAATGACTGCTATCACCAAAACCATGTTATCAAATTCACAATAAACACACACTTTTGAAACACAGGAGAGACTGTATGAATACTTCAGGGCCCAAGACCCCATGTGTGCCTACACTGGTCCCTGGTTTATGAAAGAGATTAGGTTCTAAAAAACAGCAATAAGTGAAATCCTTGAAGTAGCACCTATATGTTTTAAGGATGTAAAACTCTTCACTAGAGAAAGACCTGAGAGAGGGACCAAAGAGAGCCCAGAGAGAGATCAGAGGGAGAGATCAGAGAGAGACCAGAGAGAGAGCAGAGGGAGAGATCAGAGACCAGAGAGAGACCAGAGAGAGAGCAGAGGGAGAGATCAGAGACCAGAGAGAGACCAGAGAGACCATAGAGTGACAGCAGAGAGAGACCAGAGAGAGAGACCATAGAGATAGACAAGAGAGCCTCAAAAGTGTACTTTTGACTTTAAATAAAAAGGTAACTGTCATGTTGTACTAGTTGTTGGAGAATAAGAAGCATGTACTACTACTGCAGTCACAAAGTACGACTACTGCAGTCACAAAGTACTACTACTGCAGTCACAAAGTATGACTACTGCAGTCACAAAGTACTACTATTGCAGTCACAAAGTACGACTACTGCAGTCACAAAGTAGATTGAGTGCAGGTTTATTTTTTTCTCTTTCACAAAAAAAGATGGAAACAGACACAAGAAGGAGTGTGGAGCAAAGCATCATGGTCTGTGTAGTTTGTAGTCTCAGACCCAAGACCTGGGTCTCCAAGACGTCTGTCCTGACCCGCTTTAGTTACACTGAGGTCTGTGGGAAAGTCTCCTTACAGCCCATGTGGATTCAGGCTGCAGTACCACGGGGGGCCTCTAGTCCACGTGGAGATGGCTTCATTTTTATAGAGCCATGGTTTAAACAGCCTCCAGGTCTGACAGCTTCAGGCTATTGTGTTTGTGGTGATTTCACAGAGAGCACCCATGGGTGCTCCTCACCATAGCTGGGTGAGAGTGGGTGTGGCCACTTCCCAAAGACGACATCAAAGAACAGGATCTGACCACACACACACCTCCAAGTTTGATTTGGGAGTGCTCTTCTCTGATTGGCCCCTGCACCTGTCACACTGTTATGAGAGCATGAGTCAGAGCCCCACCTAAAGGTGCTGCATGACCCTCCCACTGGGGAGACACCAGCTCAATGGGAAACTGGCTTTAAAGCTGGGGTACGTGACTTTTAGCCCTAACTCAGCCTCATCTCCAGGTCAACAGCAGGAGATCCTCATCCTGCTGTTGTCAGGGTCAGGTCTGGGTAAGGATCCAGGTCCAGGTCAGGGTCAGTTCAGGGTCATTGGGGCCTCTTCAGCCACCGATAAGCAGAAAGGATAGTAGCTTTCAATCTGGTTTGGTTTGAGTTCAGGTCAGGATTTAGAAAACTATATTTATCTCCAACAGACAGACACAGCCGCAGCAGAGGAGACCGCTGTGAGTAGAACATGCCCAGCTCGGGTCGTCTCCCCCAGGACCAGCCTCCTCCAGACTGTGTTGCAGTCCCTCTTCCACCACCACCAACCATTCCACACACCAGACTCATTCTACAGTGGATGCAGTGTCTTGCCTAAGGACACCACCACAGTTCGGCACTAGTACTGCAGTCCATCTGCGTTCAGACGTCACTGTGTTTGTATGTGTTTACCTCAGCAACAGTTTTTGAAAGAGACTCAGGCTTTCACTACCGACAGCACTGTTCGAGCTGGGGGACATAACTTTAATCTCATAAATAACACATGTTTAAAGCTGTGGATGTAACTTTAGTCTCATTAATAACACATGTAGTTTGAACAGCAAGAGTCTCAGACCACAACATGCTGTCTTCATCTTTTGTGTATGAAAGACACAAAAGAGGCACTATTTGACTCTGAGCTGAGAGCTGATTGGCTGAGTGAGGGTCCTCTCTTTTTCACATTTCTGTCTGTAAACGTTTATCTAAAGATGTGACAGATGTCAGTAATACTTAATACGAAAACTAGTGATAAAAGCAACTGTTTTAGAACCAGGAACAAGAGATATGGGTTTACTGCAAAGTTCTATTGTGGTCCGAAAGTTACGTACCTGAGCTTTAAATTTAGTCCCAACCACTATTCCTGTTGTTGCTGCTCCTGCTTCTCTGATCTCAGCTCTTTTGCAGTACTAAATGCAGTAGTGCAGTAATGGGCTGGTCACTGGTAAAACTTGTTTGCTCCATATATGAAACAAAAGACTTTGACATGATTTAAACTGACTCTAGTTGCGTTTCTGATCAAAAGTGTTGGAACTCGTCTGAAAGTTTCCAAAGCAGAGACATCCCGGAGACCAGGACACGAGTTACAAACAGATCCTTCTGAGGCTGAGGTCATGTGCATAGAGAGAGTGGCCCAGATCAACAAACACCAGAGCAGAGACAGGAAGCAGAAACCAGGAAATGCTACGTACCATAGAGGAGGCCTGAACCAGGACTGAACCAGGACTAAACCAGGTCTGAAGGAGCACTAGGACCAGGACCGCCCCAAACAAACCAAAGTGTCCCGTCTCACTAGTCTGACATGCGTGACCACATTCACACACATGTAAACACTGGCCACGCCCAAACAAGGGAGAGGAAAAGAGGAAACGCCCATAAAGAGACACGCCCACAGGGACAGGCCTCAGATTGAGAACCAGGAAGTCTAAATAAACACTGAGACGTCATGGTTGCACAGCCTGACAATACTTATGACTGGCAGTGAACTACAGCTGCAAGCGGCATCCAACGGCCCTCACAAACATAGACCCCTCTGTGTGCAGTGTGGTTTAAGAACCAGCTCAGTGTGTGTGTGTGCGTCTGTGTGTGTGTGTGTAGAAATCAGACAACAATGCAAGAAGGAGTCCTGTGTGTCACAAATTGACTTTGGGCTGTGAGCTGATTGGCTGAGGAAGGGTGGTCCTCTCTTTTTTACTTTTCTGTCTGAAAAAGCTGATCTAAAGATAACTGAGGCCAAAAATACATGAGACTGGTGAGAGAAGCAGGACCAGGCCCTGGACAAATTATGAACCAAGACCAGGATTAACACCAAGACCAGGACCAGGACCAGATCCAGACCCAGACAAGGCCAAGACTTGTGAAAACTATTGATAGAGCACTATTTTAGAGCCAGAAACTAGAGACATGGGTTGATTACAGACTTCTATTAGTGTAGTCTGAAAGTTACAAACCCCAAGTTTAAAGTTGCGTACCCCAGTTTTAATAAGAGCCTGTATGTGGGGGGAAAGGGTTAAATGTTTTTGAGCTGTTGGGCGTGACGCAGACTCAGCGCTCAGGAATCTACAGCAGAAACAAGAAAATATAAAATGGAGCAGAGAGCAGGGAGTGGAGCAAACACCAGGACCTGCAGCCGTCGCGCAGACCACCCCCTTTGGGCTGCTCTGCTGAGTGAGCTCCTCTCTGCAGCCGGAGAGCTTCATAAAGACACTTCTCACTACAGTCGTACATATGACACTGAGGGCAGGCATTTCACACAAAAACATGAGAGCAGCTCCTCCCAGCGGACAGACAAAGTACTGCAGCAATAGACCACAGAGACTAGAGAGAAATAACAGAGCGACCAGAGAGGGAGAGGGACCTGAGAGAGACAGGAGAGTGACCTGAGAAGGGCCAGAGAGAAACAAGAGAGAGACCAAAGACCAGATTGACAAGATAGGGACCAGAGAAATCAGAGAGAGACAACAGGGGGCCCCTAGAAAGATCACAAAGACCCAAGACCAGAGTGACTAGAGAGAGACCAGAGAAAGACCAGAGGGATCAGAAAGAGACAGACCACAGACACCACAGAGAGAGACCAGAGTGACCAGAGACCAGAGTGACCAGAGAGACCAGAGACCTGAGAGAGAGACCAGAGACGGACCAGAGGTTCTAACCTATAGAACATATAGTCCAAATAAAAGATGGCTGAATTAAGTGGTTTTCCTCTGGGGTACATAGCATTAAAGCTGGAGTTATATTTACATAACTTTTAGACCTCTATCACTAGTTTTCATGTATTTTTGTTTGTGTGTGTGTGTCACATACAGATTGTGTTTCACATGTCAGAGTTTATTCCTGTCACAGTTTCACCCTGAGATCACCTCCAGAGAGCCCTGTTCGTCTTGCATTTTGGGTCTGTTCATCTGAGCCAAAATGTCCACAAATCACTGCTACTGCAGTACTCAAAATACTACTACTGCAGTACTTCATGTGTGTTGAGGATTTATATACACGCTAGTTAATTGTGTGGAATGTGGTGAAAAGCACTACAACAAAGAGTTTTATAAAAGAAACAAATTAGTCAAACGAACAGTTGATAGTACTACTATTACTACTACTGCTACTGCTACTACTACTATTGCTATCACTACTACTACTGCTACTGCTACTCACACATGTTACACATGTCACATTGCTACCTCACTGCAAGGACCATCGACTACCTCTCGGACCGACCACAGTACGTGCGGCTGCGCAGCTGTGAGTCTGAGGTGGTACTCTGCAGCACTGGGGCCCCTCAGGGCACTGTCCTCTCACCGTTTCTCTTCACCATCTACACTTCAGACTTCACACACGACACACACAGCTGTCACCTGCTGAAGTTCTCAGACGAACTGGAATATCGGTCGGTTATCACAGACTTTGTCGACTGGTGTGAGCACAACCACTTGTGCTTGAACACCAGTAAGACCAAGGAGATGGTCATCGATTTCAGGAGGAAACCACTTTCCCACACGCTGCTGAACATCCAGGGGGAGGACATTGAGCTGGTGGTGGACAGCTTCAAGTACCTGGGTGTTCACATTAACAATAAACTGGACTGGTCCCATAACACCAACGCCCTGTACAAGAAGGGCCAAAGTCTTACTTACTTACTCACTGAGCGGGACAGGAGTAGAATGGACAGGACTGTAGAGGAGCTGAGGAGCTCCTTCAGTGGAAGAAGGAGCACTACCACAGGGCCTTTATCCCCACCGCTGTCAGACTGTACAATAAGTCACTTTAAGTCATTAATGACCTGCACTAGGACTGAAGAATCATTACAGCTATTGCCACTTTTTCATTGTACATAATTATATCCTGCACAGAATATATTTTTTTAACTTTTAACATGTTGCACATTTCTGTCTTTTTGCACAATCTGAGTGACTATCAATGCCAAATGTGACATGTACATTTTTCCATTGTGAGATCATTAAAGTTTATCTTATGTTGCATAAATGTCACACACGTTACACATGTTGCACACATCATACTAATATTACACACATGTTACACACATTATCCTAATATTACACACGTTACACACATTATCCTAATATTACACACATGTTACACACATTATCCTAATATTACACACATGTTACACACATTATCCTAATATTACACACATGTTACATACATTATCCTAATATTACACACAGGTTACACGCATTATACTAATATAATACAATTGTTACACATATGTTGCTGTGGGAATGGGAGGCAGTGATCACAGTCCAATGGCTGTGATCAGAAGGACACATGCCTGAATCTGGGAATAGGATCTTACTATAGATCCTGTAACAGATCGAATCCTGATCTTTTTGTTGAAGATGTGAAAGGTTCAAACGGGTTTCAAGTTTTTCATGACGATGAAATGTTTTCATCACTGATAAACATATAACATATAAACATAGATGAGGAGCCAAAGGATAAACTGCTAATGTTATTGAAAACTAAGAAACACAATTACTAAATTAAATGACATTAAAGAGAAAGCATTTTATGGACATAAAATGAGAAATTCTCTGAACAATGTGAAACAACTGAGGAAACGAATGGAAATATCATCAGTAAACCACAATAGAATCGCTAATCATTTGAAATGTCTTTAGTAACAAAGTGAAACTTGTTAAGTCTGGCATGACAGAAACAGTAGTTGCAGCAGTACTAGTGTTGATGATAAAACGTACTCCTTAGGACTTAACTTTGAGAGTGAGGAAAATATTGCTACTCTTGCTTCCTGAAGATAAAAAGCCTGGTATTGAGGAGCAAAGCAATAAGCATTTTGAATAGATCAATGCTAAGCAGTGTTTTTCCTGAATCCTGAACTTTGGAAACGATACAAAATTGCACCAAAAACCACAGATGAGAAATCAGGATTCACTGCTGCTAATTGTAGACCCCTTTATATTGTCCCTGTCCTGAGCAAAATATTTGAAATGTTTAACTATAATAAAATTTTAACACATTCTTTTTCAAATGGTCCACTTAAAGGCACACCGTGTAACTCTTGGCCACTAGGGGCGCTAGACCTGCAACTTTCACGTTTAGCGCCCCTAGTGGCCACAAGCAACTCAGCACTGTCGCAAAAGTCAACAAACAGTCAGCCGGTGTCTTTTGAGTGTGTATTCAGACAGCATGCACTGGTGTGTGTGTTCAAACTGTAGAGACATGCCTACAGATATTGAGAGACTCTGCTGTGGTCAGCCTCCAGACCGCTGCATTAGTAATCTACCACACATGGACTTCTATATCCTGGATGAGGGAGTTCTGCGTCTAGCTCGTGCTGCGTGGAATGACATCTTTGCAGTCGATGACATCCAGGAACCAGGTGAAGAGCAGCGCTCATACAGACATGCAGCTTACAGCACGATCCCTTTCGCGTTTCCTCTTTTTAGCCTCCTCCGAAGGTTTAAAATTTTTCCTTGCCTCAGCCATGACCAGGAGTCGAGCAGGTGAAAAATGAGTAGCAAAAGCCTTAGCTCCATGAGTATATCAGCGCCTGTAGCCGTAAAGCAAATCTTTCTTCCAAGTCACGTGACCTGGTGGCAGACGGTCCGTCTGCTCGAAACTTACATGGGCGGTATTTCAAGAGGGCAGCCCCGCTCGGAGCATTGCAAGTGTCAAGCGCTGTATATTGGCCCAAGTATTCATATAAAATAACTCATATGTGTCAACTCTTTAGGTCACAAAGTCCGCGGTGTGCCTTTAAGTCACAGCTGGCTGTAGACCCGAACACTGCAGTAGTGCATGTGGCTGACCAATGGCTCACTCTTGTGGATGATAAAAACCTGTTGGTGATTTAACCGGGCCTGTCTGGCTGGTACTATACTAGGACCAGTGTGAACTGGGTCTCCCTGGATGCTACTATCTCCCCAAGGTTTCTCACTTTTTCCCACTGGGTTTTTTAAGAGTTTTTCCTTGTCGATGCAGGAGGGTCTTGTTGGACAGTTAGTGTCCAACAGAAAGGATTGGTGATGATCAGGACACTTTAGCATTCTACAACATGTATGGACATTTTCTTCTGTGTGTGCTTTATATTCTTCATGTGTTTTAACTGTTGATTCTCTGACCTGTGTTGGTGATTTCAATGGTTTTGTTAAGTCCTCTGAGATGACTTCTGTTGTGACCTAGGGCTATACAAGAATAAATTGTATTGTATTGTGTACTATATGGGACCAGTGTGAACCGGGCCTCCCTGGGAGATGCACACCTTCTGATCATGGAGTCAAAAACAGGAGAGTTAAAGATCGGCCTCTTGTGCCATCAACATGTGCAAGTTATGAGGAGCACAGTTTTGTTCTGATCCTCAGCTCTCTGGTATCAAGACAAACTAATTATAGATATATTTTAACAGAAAAATAAAACATGCTTGAATGATGTATAATGTTTTTCAGATTTGGTTATTTTGTTTTGATCACTTTTCATACCGTGTTTTAACTTGGAGTGGACCCAAACGAATAAATACATAAAAATCAATACTCCTACTACTACTGGTACTGTTACTGCTGCTACTTCTACTGCTACTACTACTACTACTACTGCTCCTGCTACATTACTCTGCAGTACTCTTTGTACTGCAGCTGAGATTTTGGGTGGGACTCAGACTGACGTAACCTCAGTCATACTACTGAAAACAACAGATACTTCAGAGCTCTGATACTGCAGTACTTCTGTGGTACTTCTATGTCTGACACAGAAGTGGGAGGACGAGTCTGAACATTCCAGCTGCAACAAACTGGAGATAAGCCAAAAGCAGACCACAGCACAAGACCAGAATTAGACCGGGTTTAAACCAGGTTTAGACCGGGTTTAGACCGAGTTTAGACCGGGTTAGACCTGTGCACAGACACCTGAACCACCAGATCAGGACTAAAGTTACACATGATTTACTGTCATAACTAAAGCGGAACTAAAGCGGGTCTAAAGCAGGACTGAAGCAGGACTAAAACTGGACTAAAGCAGGTCTAAAGCAGGTCTAAAGCAGGTCTAAAGCAGGACTAAAACTGGACTAAAGCAAAACTAACACAGGTCTAAAGCAGGACAGAAGTAGGACTAAAGTAGGCCTAAAGCAGGTCTATGGTGACATTGTGATGTCACATGGCACACACTCTTCCTGCAGAGTTAGATGGATGGGTAAATCCCTGTGAAACGTGAAGACAAACAGTGTGTTGCTCAAGTACGAGACCAGGATCTCTGCGTTTAACCCATTGTGGACGGAGATCAGGGATTCCTTGAAAACCATACTATATTAAATTATACTAGTCCTGCTTCAGATCTGTTTTAGACCTGCTTTAAACCTACTTTACGCTTTAGACCAGCTTTAAACTTGCTATAGACCTGTTTTAGATCTGCTTTAGACCAGCCTCATACCAGCTTTAGACCTGCTTAAGTCCTGTTTTAGACCTGCTTGAGACCAGCATTATACCAGCTTTAGACCTGCTTTAGTCCTGTTTTAGACCAGCCTTAGACCAGCTTTAGAGCTGCATAAGTCCTGCTTTAGAGCTGAGATAGTCCTGCTTTAGAGTTGCTTTAGAGTTGTTTTAGAGCTGTCATAGACCTACTCCAGTCCCGGGAGTTAAAGTCCACACAATGCCACTCCTATAGTAAATCTTTGACTTACTTCTTCCACAGACACGTCTCGTAACCCGGGCTCGTCCCGTGGAGGAGACCCCCGAAACCAGCTGATGATCTGCCCCATGTCCGTGTCACAGTCCCCCCAAGATCTAGGAACCCAAGACCAAAGACCAAAGACCCAAGACCCAGAATCAGTCCCGAGACCAGAGACCAGGGACCGGAGAGTCTGCAGTCCACACTATTCCTTATCACTCCAAACACATGAGCGGCAAGCAGGGGAGGAGCTAGGGGAGGGAAGGGTGGTGTTTGTGCACGTGTGGGCGGGGTTACAGGGGGAAGTGGGCTGGGCTGTGTGGGTGGGTGGGATCGGCTAGTGTTAAAGGGACAGGAGGGGATATATTTTTGGCCTCTGTCACATCTTTAGATCAACTTTTTCAGACAAAAACAGTGAAAAAGAGAGAACCAACCTCACTCAGCTAAACAGCTCTCAGCCCAAAGTGTCAGATAGTGACTCACTTTACTTTAAGGCTTTTTCTGTTTAAACAACATGTTATTTATTAGACTAAAGTTACGTATCCCAGCTTTAAACATGTGTTAATTTCTAGACAAAAGTTGCTTACCCCAAGATTAGGGTTAGCTTTGATATTAGAATGTAAGATTCTTAGAGTTGGCCTGGTTACTCAGAATACAGGTCAATACAGGTTAGACCCGCCCAGGACCAGAGAGGTCCAGACCGGGTCCAGAAGAGAAAAGATAGAGTTATGTAAGGGCACCTCACCTACTGCAAGAATGTCACTAATGTGGAGACAAAAGCAGTGTGTGTATGTATGTGTGTGTCTTTGTCTCTCTCTCTCTCTCTCACACACACACACACACACACACACACACACACACACAGAAAGAGAGATGCAGAGAGAGAGAGAGAGAGAGAGAGAGAGAGAACCCGGGTCCACTTTTGACCTGTAGAACTCAAGTCACAGTCACTGTTCCAGCAGTAAAAAAAAACAAAGTATGAACTGATCAGAAGCAGAGGAGCAGTGGAAGAGCAGAGGATTCCCGGTCTGTCCGGCTCAGGGCGTGACACAAACACATTTCATCAAAGCCACTAATTATTTTCACTTGATTAGTCAGAACAGAACTGTGTGAACCTGCGTTGGTCCTGCTCTAGACCGTCTTTAGACCTGTTTCAGGCCTGCTTTATTCCTGCTTTAGTCCTGCTCTCGACCTGCTTTAGACCTGTTTTAGACCTATTTTGGTCCAGTCCTGCTTTATGGTGCTTTCAGACCGCAAACGCTCACACGCTGAAGCCTCGCTCACCAGATGCCCATTCTCTAGTTTTCAGACGCGGGGGTCTTCACACCAGAACGTCCTGACCAGCACCGGGTGGTCAGGACCGGGTGGTGTGTGTGTGTGTGTGTGTGTGTGTGTGTGTGTGTGTGTGTGTGTTTTGTGAGTGTGTGTGTCCAGGTCCAGCTGTATATTACCCCTGTAGTCAGTGTCATATCCACAGCTATTACAGTCAGCAGGCCAGTACGGGCCCGCTCAGGTTCTCCTGGTCCTGTGGCAGAAGGTGTGCAGTTATTCTAATTCCGCAGGACCAGTGCAACACGTGAGCGTTCTGACTAATCAGGGCTGACTGTGGATGGCGGAGTTTGTAACCTATGGATTTCAAAAGAACAAAAGTTAAGGAGACAAGAGACACTAAAATCCCCCTTTGTGAAAGCTGTAGGTTTCCTGTCTCTGAGCACAAGCCATTATAGTGAACACAGATGTCTATGGGGAAAACTCCTACAGCCCATTAGGCTGCAGTACCACGGATGGCCTCTTGTCCATGTGGATTTTGGCAGCAGTACCACGGGTGGCTCTAGTCCATGTGGAAACGGGTTTGAACACCCTCCACATAATAAAATACTTACGAGAGCTAAACATAGCTGCAGGTAGGTGACAGTGGAAATGTGTTTTACCTTTAGATATTTAGAAACAGCAAAAGAACAGAAGTCTCTGAAGCGACTGGGGAGATGAGGGTCCAGTACAACCCCGCCATGCTACACACACACGCACACACACACACACACACAAAGTGAGAACAGGAAGCTTCTCATTGTTCAGAGTGTATTATTTCAGCCCTGTGCAGACTAAAGGGGCATACAGACCGCCAACGCTGGAACGCAGCATCCGCGCGCACCAGACGCACATTCTCTAAATTTCAGACGCAGGGGTGCTCAGACCAGAACTCCCGGCCAGCGGTGGCGCCCGCCGGAAGTGGCGCCTGCTGGAAGTGGTGGAAGTAGCGGGCGGACTTTGATGCTAACAGAGTTAAGCTAGCGGCTTTTTGTGTAAAGTTCTGTTCCAATAATACAGCTTTGCAGCGTCTCTGTGTCCAGAGACCTTCCAGAGACTTTATATAACAGCAGTATGTGTTCACGGAGGTGCGGCATACGTTTATTTTATTATTAATAAATACTTCCGCAACGGCGAACACGCTCGAAGCGGTTGTATACAGTCACGGGAGCACAGAGTCCCCCATTGTGTTTTAGTCCTGGTGTAGCTCCTGTTTTGGCTGTTTACGAGTATTTTCAGTCTGCTCGCTCAGACCACTAATCGAGATAAACATTGCTGGTCCCCGTGACCAGTAAAGTGGTCACGGGGACCAGCAATGTTTATCTCGATTTTCCGCTCCTGCGCCTCTGCCGTGCCTTTTCCGCGCAGTCCGTGCGTTTCTACTGCACAGTCCGTGCGTGCATCCCGAGACGCCCATGCCGTTCCACGTTCGAACGCACGTCACCATTGACTTTGCATTGGAAGTCACCGCAACCGGACCATGACCGGACCATGCATTGCGGCGACTTTCAATGCAAAGTCAATGGTGACGTTGAATATCTAAACTCTGAACATTGTATAGCGCTTTGGGTGACCTTGGTATGTAAAATGCGCTATATAAATAAACATGATTTACTTACTTACTCCGTTCAAGTGTGCAACTGTATCTGCACCGCGGCACGCACGGACTGCGCGGTAGAAACGCATGGACTGCACGGTAGAGGCGCAGCAGATGCACAAAGGAGATGTACATTGCTGAACTATTTCCGTCGGTTACACAAAAAGCCGCTAGCTTAACTCCGTTAGCATCAAAGCCCGCACGCCACTTCCGCCCTGCGTTTTTTTCCCACCGCAGGCCAGGACTTCTTGTCTGAACGCCCCTAGCGTCTGAAATTTAGAGAATGTGCGTCCAGTATGCGTGGAAGCTGCGTTCAAGTGTCGGGGGTCTGAGCGCCCCATAAGCCAAAAGAGTCAGATAGTTACTCACAGAGCTCTTTTGTACACAAAAGGTGAAGATAGCTCTTTCTGTCTAAACTAAATGTAATGAGACTAAAGTTACATACTTCAGCTTTAAACATTTGGTATATGAGCAGTCCCATAGATAAAGAATGCAAAGCTTACTACTTACTTTAGTAAGTTACGCGCCCAAGCTTCAAACATGTGTTATTCATGAGACTAAAGTTACGTACCCCAACTTTAATGTTACGCCCACTGTGCCGTGCCCTGTACCACGCGGAGGCGGTGCCGTGACCGTGCGTATTGCGCGTAACGTAATGTGCCAGTGTACTCAAGTGCCAGTGTGCGTAATGTGCCAGTGTGCGTAATGTGCCAGTGTGCGTAATGTGCCAGTGTGCGTAATGTGCCAGTGTGCGTAATGTGCCAAACACATAAATTGATGTGATGATTGTTCTACTCACGAGGAACATCCAGTACGCCGCGTACGCCATGACAGAGCCAGGACCAGTGCTCTAATGTCTGCTGCAGATCAGAGTCCGCCCCGCGGCTGCATCATGCCCAAAGCTCGTGCCACTCCCTGCACGCTCCACACCTCGTCTACGCGCAAGCACACGCGCACGCGCCCGGTGGAACAGGTCTGAGGACTGGGGACTACGGGCGGAGGCGGATGGAGGCGGCGGAGCGTAACGGGACTGTTGCACACATAACCCGGGTTCTATGAGTCTATATGAAACAGTTACACTGTTTCAAGATGTTCAAGAGATTCTGTCCGTTAGAAACTCTTCAGGACTGATGATGTCAACAAAGCAGTACGTACATTCATTAATCCACTCTCATTCTCTTTATTAAGGGTGGAGGGGGGAGGGGGGGTTTGCAAAACAAACATCTATGCTGGACCATGACTGTCACTGGTTTAGCTCCTGTTTTGGCTGTTTTCGAGCGTCTTGAGTCTTCAGGCATTTTTGTTCTACAGGCAAACAACTCCAAATGTGGTCATTTAATGTCAAGTTTGGTCCTTTTTATCCTAGTTAAAACAAAAGATTCTGAAGTTACAACTATGTTACACAAAAAGTGCTTTAAGTCGTTACTCAATAAAAGAGATGTTAAAGTAATTCAGCAACTGACTGTCTTTTTTAAATGGTTCAATAACTTATATTACTACATATAACTTTATTTTGGGTTACTGGTTACTCAAATGAAAATTCAATAATCGTGATTATAAAAAATTGCTAGTTATTAAAAAAAATGGTATTGTATGATATGTGAAGCGTCTTTGAGTGTGCATTGCATTATTATTATCATAATCTTGAAGTGTGGCCTTACACTGCGTCATCAGCTGAAACATCCACAGAATCCACAGTTCTCCAACCATCCAAACTGGAGAAACGGTTACTGCATGTCTGACTATGTTTTCTGTCTTAAATACAATAAATATACATAAGGTTTCCAGAACAGAGCTGGGGTACGTAAACACTCCCCCTTGGACTGCCACCTTAACGCGATGAGGGAGTTTGCCAACTCAGATGTTTGTAGGAGCTTGGTTGCCTGGGGCTTTAAGCCCCTGGTAGGGCCTACCATGGCATAGGTCCTAGGTGACGGGTCAGATGAAGCGTACAAGGTTTTTTTTGTTGGGTACCAAGAGGACTGGGTGGCAGTCAAAGGTGGAGAACTCAACAGCCCAGTCTACGCATGCAGCATCTGTCTGTAGGGATGTGAAACGCCACCTCGCTGGGGGAGGAGATGGAGAGAGAGATGCCGACAGAGGTTGCAAACCTCTGGATACCTCCTGGGCGCCTCTCTGGGAAGGTGTTCTGGGCAAGTCCAACCAGGAGAAGACCACAGGGAAGACCCAGGACAGGTTGGAGGGACTATGTCTCTCTCTGGCCTGGGAACACCTTGGCATTCCCCCGGAAGAGCTGGAGGAAGTGTGTGTGGATAGGTAAATCTGGGCGTCTCTGCCCAGACTACTGCCACCGCGACCCTGCAGCAACGAATAAAGTGGAAGAAAATGGAAGGATGGATGGCTTCCAGTTTCATTTTTGCTTTTTTCCACTAGAATTTTGTAATGAAAATGTAATGAAAACCAAATATATGTAAGAAGAATTATGTATTTACATCCGAGGTCTGGTTACGTCACAATATGGACCAATGAATGGCAATTATTGTTTCTTCCCTTTCTGCAGAGCTGGAAACGATGTACAGAACTAGATACATGAAAGTCCCTAATAAAATGTCTGATGTCTGTGTTTCAGTCTCATAAATGACATATGTTTAAAGCTGGGGTACGTAAATGCATGCATTTATAAGCTGCACAGGGACTGCAGGTGGAAATTAGCACAAGTGCTACAACCTGGTACAATGCATCTCTCCTTTCTGAGGTTAATGTATATTGTACACTGTCCCTGTTCAAATAAATAAATAAATGAAATGAAAAGTAATAGAAACAAAATGTTTTAGAGCCAGGAACTAGACACATGGGTTTATGGGTGTGTTCTGAAAGTTACGTACCCCAGGTTTAAGAAAATGTGTGTGTCCCTCTCTCTCTGAGTGTGGGTGAGAAGATAGGATAAGATAGACTTTTTTTTATCTCACACAGGAGACATTTACAAGGGGTTAAAGTAGGTTTTTTCTCTCCTCATTTACATAAAGTCTGAAATCCAAACATTCCACCGAGAAGGAGCGCCGTAACCACAACAGCAGCAGCAGGATCAGCAGTAGTAGTAGTAGTATGAAGACTAGTTGCAGTAACCATTCAGAGAGAATAATATTAGTAGTAGTAGAAATTGTTGTTGTAGTTGTTGTAGTAGTATTTAAAGGACTTGCCTTGTGTTGTGCGTGGCTCCTCTTCTTATGCGGCATCTTCAAATGTTTCTGTAAATGTGGAATTCTTGTTTTCTCTTGTTTGTTTTTTTTTGTCTCTGGTGGAAAATCTCCGTCACTCAGAGACAGTGACAGAGCAGTGACGCCACCTGGTGGAGACTAGAGCCGCAGCTGCGTGCCCATGTGACCTTGGAATGTAAAACCACTCTAGCTCAGTCAACATTTTGGGCTTAAATCCGTGGTTTAGCGCTCTCTGTGATCCTGTGATATTGTCTTCCAGATACAAGCCATATAAGGTTGGATCACTATGGTGTCACACTAGCTCAGTACACTCCTTGTATATGCTCCATGGCCATGGCTCACATTGCTTGGGTCACAATCAAACTTTCCTACACAGGGTAACACACAGCACTCACACAAATCATTAAAACATAAACACCAAAATCACCATTAAAAACATCACTAAACGTAATTAAAACCAATAAAACATTAAAAACACAAGGGATTAAGATAATAAATAACAACAATGCATTAATAATACTACATGTAGATATAAAATCCTTCAGTTGCATGCACAACCAAACAGAACCGTCTTTAACCTGTGTCAGGGATGAAGCAGACAGAGACGGATCGTGGTGCGCCAAACTCTGGAAGTTTATTTAAGTTTCTCTCAAGTTCCACTGGTTTACTCTGTTTCTTTCTCTCAGACAGAATAAAGGCAGTACACAGTTTATATAGTCATTGTCACGTCACACATCGAAAGACATACGTGTCACAAAGAGACAGTCAAATCATAGTCATAACATGGAGTCCTTGTAGAGTCCTTGTAGAGTCCTGCACGTAGGCCATATTGCTATCTAATACTAATACCCTCCCCTTTGATCACATAATCACATGTGATCATTCAATTTGATCAATCAATAAAGTGGAAAAAGAATTCCTAAAAAACTTTAAAAAATTATTAAAAACAAAGAAAATGTATGCATTAAACTCATAATCATCAAATCAATATCAGTGGATTTTATCCTCTATCCTGGGAAAAAACAAACAAACAAAAATAAAGTAAATAAACAAACAAAAAACAAATCAAAAATAAAAAACAAACAAACACTATTGGACACACAAGAACTCAGCAGATTCAGTCAAAACACAGACAAAAACGAGCTGAGTCTCAAATTAGAAGCTAATTTCACTTTTATTACTCTATACTTTTATTCTAATGCTAATTGTTTACACTTCACTTATTTCACTATTATTTTCACAAATTCTAATCTTATACTGTGTACTTTACTTTTACTATCACTATAGTTTAATAAACTATTCTAATCTATTCACAAATATGTTTGCATATTTGCTTCTATTGAGCCATATTCTCAAACATACATTTTAATCTAATAAATCTCTCTGTGGTTTACTCTCATTATCAGTTTGGGATGAATGTACATCATTAATCAAATTAGTATTATCCTTACAAGAGCTAATCTATTTGAGCAGGTTTGGGGTTGGGGTCAGTTATTCTACAATGGTGTTTGATTCTCTAATCTGTGCTAATAAATCAACAACTTTTAAACTTCTCAAAGATATCTAAATATCTACTATTTTGTTTTTGTGCTATACACAAATACATCAAAATGCGTTTGAATCTCTGTTGGTTGTAATCTATCTCATTAATCTAGGCATTAATCTAGGCTACACTCATATGAACTTTTTGCATAGTCAACATTCACTCATGTGTGAACACAAGTGAATTTGGCAGTATCTAATAAAACTGTACATAAACTGTAATTAACTTTATCTACTTCTGAAGTAAATGTTTGTGAAATGGTCCCTTTACCATTTGATATTAGCAATGGCTAGAAATAATCTCTATTTTTGAAAGCATCTATGGTTGATGCATTTATCTATCTCTATTTTTACACTATTGTGACTCCAAAGTTTGGCTGCAGTTTGAGCAAAGGCATATTCCTAATTTGTGACTTCTGTCACTTTTAATGTCTCTAACATTATTCTGATTCTAATATTATAGCTGATCTATCAAAAGGATAACATTGTAGGGTACTATTTTAACTCTTATGTGGAAATTTGTTTATGAAAAACAAAGGAAGGACAATTCTACTTTTTTACTACTATTTAACATCTACTAAAACGCTAAAATACTCATACTTTATCATTTTCAAAGTTTTTGTCTGTCAGATGTCTGAATACTTAACATGTATATTGCATTTGTCACAGTTTCTGGTTGTAGCAATAGCATCAGCAATAGACGGTTTTCATTGGCTGGTTCTTGTTCTGCAAATGGCTGTGTCCAATAGATCATCAGATGTCCAGAAGCTAGGGACAAACAAAAACAAAAGAAAGAATCATGAGTATCTGTCTCATTTAGCACTCATCTATGTATGATTTCAAAAATATAAACATCACTCCTCAGTTTTCTCTCTCTCAGATCCTCAGGTCCTCAGGGTCCCCTGAGGGTGAGTCTCAGTCGTCATCAGGTCAGGTCATATTTCGAGAGATGTCATCTTGGACATCAGTAGGGTCCAAGCCATGGTTTGGTTTCTCCAGATGCACATCAGGATCTCCAGATACAGTCTTTTCACTTGAAGCACATCAGGTCACTTGGGATGCACTTCTGGTCAATGGTGCAGTGTCTCAGTTCCTGTACACAGCTTGT